GAGTGTGGTGGCAGTCCTCGGTCGTTCTTGAATCCGAAAACGTCGATGTAGTCATGGTATTCGCTGGGTACCCCTTCTAGTACGTCCATGACAATGGCTTCCCGGATGCTGTGTATCGTGGGTTGCCAGTGGAGTTGAATGTTGTCTTCCCATACGATTGTGGGGTTGCTGCTCCGTAGCCAGTTGCTTCCTAAGATGACTTGGTTTCGTCCAATGTCGGCTATGTCGAAGGTGATGGTTTCTTGGTGTCCGGGGAACTCGACTTGTAGCGGTAGAGTTTCCCGTCGTATCCATCCGTTGTCGTAGAGCACATATGCTCCTTCAATGTTGACGAGTGTGTAGGGTCTTTCCTTGTCTTTGTAAGGAATTTCCCACCTGTTTACCCATTGTGCGTTGACATAGGTCCTGTTGGACCCACTGTCGATGAGTGCTGTGCATGGAATCCCGTTGACGACGATGTTGATTGTCGGGCTCCATTTCCCGTGGTGTGGATAGGAGGACGCAAGGGTTAAGATCGGCGGGGACGAGCCTCCTTCGCCCGCCGTCGGTCTTTTTCCGCCTGGACGGTGGTTGCAGTGTAACCTCTGTCCAGTAGCCCCTCCTTCCATGCTTCCTCGATATCTTTCCATAGCGTCTTCCGTCGATCGTAGGCGCTTAGCCCCGTAGGTCGTTCGGCTGCGTCGCGGATCATGATCCCGGCTCCGCGGATCTCTGCTCGGCTGAATCCCGGAACTAGCCCATTCTGATCGATGAACGCCATGACTTCGTTGAGGTGGTCGCTGAGTTCGTCGAGATAATCCCGCGCGATCGTTCCTGGTTCCGCGACTCGGTCCTTGAGCCCTTGGTAGACTTCCACGAAGTCCGGCTCCTGTCGGATGTCGTCGCAGATTTCATTGAGGTTCCGCGTGGTTTCGGCGAGCTGCAGGATTTCGATTTTTCGTTGTACGTGTATGAGGCAGTTGTTCGTGATGCAACGCTTTCTGCCCCTTCCTCCCAACACGCATTCCTTGGGGTATTCATACGTGTCTGCTAGTTCGTATGCTCCGTCGACGAAGGTTGGTTGCCATTCCCGTAGAACGTTTCCTGGCAGGGGGTGTGGGACTGGTGTCCCCTCCTGTCGGCGCGGGAATATTTGGTGGCGTACTTTGTCTCCGAAGTGGTGGTAACACCCGTCGTTATAGCAGTATACCCATAGAATGGTGGCGTGCATTGGTTCCCAGCTTAGCATATACCGGTGGTCTCCGGGGTATGCGAGTTGTGTCTGGTACCTTCTTGCCGCGATGGCCCAGTCGAAAGGGTCATCTTTGTCCTTGAGCGGCTTGCCTTGAAACCGAATCCCGGTTTCGTAGCCGTCGATGTCGCTGCCTTCTTCGTTCTCCCAGTTTTCGTCGAGTTGGGTGTCTTCGCAGCTGTCGGGTGTTCCGGGTCTTGACTCTAGGGGGTCATGAGTTCCCTCCGTCGTTACCCAGGCATTGTGCACCTTGCTCCGCCAGTTGGCGAGCTCGTCGGTGTGTTTGAACATCCCGGTGGTGGGTCCTTCCGGGGCCGAGAGGTCGGCCGCCCGGGCATCCCACATTTTGCTGTATTCGCCGTTGCTTTCTTGGCGATTGGTCCGCGCTAGCTCTCGCATGGCGGCCGGCGCGTTGTTCCAGCCGAAGGTCTCTACCTCGTATCCCGTATCGTGGATTCCTCGGGGGATCTCGTCGTCTCCCGGCGGCTGGTTTTCCTTGTCGGAGTCGTTGGACTCGCTGCTTTCTGGTTCGTCGTACTGGCTCTCCATTATCTCTGGGGAGTCGTATTCTTCGCTGCGTGCGTAAGCCAACACAAATGGCTCTACGTCGTCGTCGGGTGCGTTGTTACTCTGGTTGCTCGAGTCCATTTCCTCAACGTCTTGCGGCATCGTTGCCGGTATGGTGGGCGTCCTGGGCGTCTCAGGTGTCGTTGCCTCACTGAGTGGCGGCGTCCCTTCGCTTGGTTCGCTTTCTTCTGCCACGTAGCATGCTCTGATTGCTTGGGTTGGTACCGGTTTGAATGGTTTCTTGGGCTCTGTACACTTCCTTGAGAAATGCCCTTCCTTTCCACAGTTGTAGCACAACTTCTTGTTGTCTCTCGGGGTCGCCTTCCCGATGTCCATGGGTCCCGCGTGGGTGCCCGTTGCAGTGGTTTGCTGCCTAAAGGTCCTCTTGAACGTCTTCTGCATCGGCTGCCTGGGCTGATGCTGTATTTTCGTGGTGTTGCCATGGTGCTTTTCGGCACGCCGCTCGTACAGACGCGTGTCGTGTTTGATGGCAAGCTCGCAGTATTCGAGGAACTTGGTTGGTGGTTCCAAGTATTCGGCCATTTTGTCCTTGACTTCTTCCTTGAGTCCGCGGTAGAAGCTCGAGATCTTGCTTTCTTCGGTCATGTCGAGCTGTGCGATGATGCGTCGGAAATCGGTGGCATACTCCGCAGCTGACTTGGTTTGTCTGAGCTTCTCGAGTTCTCGTTCGGCTCGTCTCTTCTCGTCGGGGTCCTGGAACAGAGACTCCAGGGCCTCTTCAAAGTTGTCGAAGGACTCGAAGATTTTCCTCGTTTCTCCCTCCATATCTTCCGGGTCGTTCTCCAGTGCTTGGGCTAGGTGTGGCTCGAACCATCGCAGTGCTTTTCCTTCCATGAAACCGGCAGCGTGTATAATTCGGTCTTGCTCGGTTTGGAACTGGTTGATGTACTGTCGTTGATAGGCTTTGAGCTGCACCAGGAATCCCTTGAGTTTCCCAGGGGTTCCATCGAACTTAGCGGGGGTGTTGAAACGAACGCTTCCTCCGCTAGGTGTTGCGATGATGCTGGCTGCTCCCAGAAGTGCTTGGACCTGGTTCCGAAGCTCGGCGACCATGCCCTTGTACTCCTCGGTGGTTCGGTTGAGAGCCAGGATGGCCTTGTCCTGCTTCTTGGTGTGTTCGATTGCGCCGTTGGCCCATTCCTGGAGTCTGGCCAGTTCTTCCTCGGTTGAGAGTCCGGGCTGGCTGACTTCGCCCAGCTCGTCCTCCAGGGTTCGCCCGTGGGTTGGAGTGACGGCTCGTCCTGCGGAGTCGGTTGACATGTTCGACATGGCTTATTCCTTCCTGGCGTTGCTGGTGCTCTGAAAGTACTCTTCCTCGTTCCAGTGGGTGAAGGATCGTCCGGAACAGACGTCGTTGTGGTTGATGTACCGGAGGTTGTAGCAAAGTCGGCAGATTTCTCCGACTTCCTTTCTGAGCTGGTGTCGGTAGCAACGTCCGAGGTAAACTGCTGGCTGTGCACACTCCTTGCAGCGCGCTTCCACAGGTGCTTTGTCCTGCGATGGATTGGCGGTGCTTTGCTGGGTGTGTGCTGGGTTGTTGTTCATGACCTGTAACTGTGGTACCTGTTGTCAGTATTGCTCGGGGTGTACTTACCCGAACAAGAGCGATCAAAATGTCACGATCCGATCTCCGGGGTCAACCGTCTGATCGGCGCGGTGGGGTTTATGTTCTGAATAAGGCAGGTAGCGACCTCATGCAATACTGACTCCGTGCTTCTCGTGTTCTCGAGGGGGTTGTCGTTCGTGTCTCTTGCGAGATATCACACTCGGATCAATTGAGTGACTAGGTCAAGTGAAGGGTGAGGGTGATACTTAGATTGATCGCTGAAGTACAAAGGTAATGACTGTCTACAAGGAGATCCTCCTGGTGCTATATATCCTTTGTCCTTCATCGTGGTTCCCTGGATCACTTGGTTTCCTCGTGATCCTGGATCGTCTTGGATCCTTGGTGATCCTCGGTGATCCTGGATCGTCTTGGATCTGTGGTGATCCCAGCGATCCACTTCCGTCTGGCTGACATAATGGGATGCTTATGTAACCAGGGGTGTGCTGCCCCGCGTGCATGACCTGCCCTTGTCCCTGGCCCGATCTTGCGACCTGTTGGTCGGGTCGTCACAAGTAACTAGTTCTAGTATGTAGTGAAACTAATACTTAGATTAATCGCTAAAGTACAAAGGGAACAACTATCTATAAGGAGATCCTCCTAGCTCTATATATCCTTTGTCCTTCATCGTGGTCATAGCCGCCGTAGTAACGGTCATAGCTCTGGTTCTAACGGTCGTACATATAGTAGTAACCGTCTGGTCTTGGCATAGTGGTGGTCTTGCATCGGAGCATAACTACTAGTACCGTACTGTCACAATCCTGCCTCCGGGGTCAACCGTCTGGCAGGGCGCTGGGGTTGCTGTTCTGCAAGATAGGTAAAGCCTGTACAATAACAACTAACACTCTGCTGTCGTTCTCTCTCTGGGTTGTCGTTCGTGTCTCTTGGAAGAGATACCAGTCTCGGCAATTGAGTGACTAGTTCAAGTGTGGGTGAAACTGATACTTAGATTGATCGCTGAAGTACAAAGGTAATGACTGTCCACAAGGAGATCCTCCGTACTCTATATATCCTTTGTCCTTCATCGTGGTCATGACTCTGAGCCCGATGGTCGCGGCCAGGTCATGAATCTGGTCCTGACGGTCATGCAGATATTGGTGACCATCCTTCTTGGCACAGCGTCGGTCATGCAGATATGCATGACCGGTACGTACCTTCCTTATCGTCCCTTATCGTGCTTACATAAGAAACCTGTGACGGTGCTGCCACATGATCCGCCCTTGTCCTTGGCCTGATCCTGTGGCCTAGTTGTTTGGGCTCTTTTGCGTCCGTAACAAGCATCCCCTGTTGGTTGGCCGTCACACGTACCCTTGGTCCTCATCCTTATCGTACTTACATAAGAAACCTGTAATAGTACTGCCATATGATCCGCCCTTATCCCTGGCCTGATCCTGCGGCCTTGCTTGTGCTTGTGTGCCCAAACAATCGTCCCCTGTTGGTCGGTCGTCATACCGGGTTGCTTATGGACTACGTTATATAAATACATAATTATTATCAGTCATTTGAAAATCCCCGAACCTTCCTTCACTCCTATCAGTCTCGGTTCGATAGCCCTCGAAACCACGGCCACTATTATACCTACTTGCCCACCTTATCCAAGCCTGTGTTCATCTCGACGAAATAGTCCTGCAACGTCATATTAGCACATTGTTCCCTTCTCACACGGGGCTAGTCGACTCGAGGACTGTGATGCCAGACAAGCACGACTTACAAATAGCGACGCAGGCGCGTGATACGCCATGAACGGGATCATCGCAGACATATTCCCAACCTTGACCCTCCCCTCTCTCCCACGCACCATTTCCCCCACCAGCCCGCGCGCGAAAGCCTCCACAGTCCCCAGCCGTCCGTGCACCTCCTGCCCGCTCGCTCGCGTCTGGAACTCGTCCGATGCAGCTAGATAGAGCGAGTCTTCCGGCAGCGCCGGCGGAGTAGGCGCATTGGCGAAGATCTTGGTCTTGACAGCCCCTGTGAGGACCGTGAGCACCTTGACCCCGAGCGGCTTGAGCTCATGCCGCATCGTCTCGCTCATCACCTCGCACGCCGCCTTGGACGCGGCGTAGCCGCCCATGTACGGCGGACACACGTACGCCGCAACCGAGGCCAAGTTGACCACCATCCCCCCTTTCCCTCTCTTGCTGCTCTGTATCAGCAGGGGCGCGAACGCCTGCGTCACCGCCGCCACGCCAAAGACGTTGACGTCAAACATGGCACGCATGTCGTTGTCTATGCTCATGTCGAGAAACGGCCGCAAGGCCTGCCGGCCGGCGTTGTTGACGAGGTAGTCAAGCGCCCCGTCCGTGGCTGCAGTGACGACGGCGACGGCGGCCCTGATGGAGGCTGGGTTTGTCACATCCATGGTCAAGAGGGTGATGCCGGATAGATCTTGCAGGCTGGCCATCTTGTCGACGCTGCGCGCCGTGGCGAAGACGTGGATCCCTTGCCGGCGGAGCTCGTGGACCAGGCCGATGCCGATGCCGCCTTCGCTACAGCCCGTCACTAGGGCCGACGGTGTCTTGTTCGCCATGTGTACGCTCTGAGCTAGCCGTTTCGAGGGGAAGGCTACGTGTAAGGCGAAGGATGGGGGTGATCAGGTCAAAATGTCGATCGGGGCATATATTGGTCTCATCGGACGGACAGAACGGAGGGAACTCTATTTAAACCTACATAGTCACTGCCCTGCCAGTAGCCCGGCTTCCCGTTTCACGTGAACGCACAGGAGCGCAGTGACCATGGCGATATACTTTGTGTTCCACGTTGAGTACCCACAGCGGGCCAGCCACAGCCCCGGCTCGGAGACTTTGCCAAGGTTTCCCTCCTCGACGAGCACATACACCCGCGCACGGCCACACAGAGATAATGGTTTTAGCACTAGCGCATCAGTTGCGGGATCACCGGAAGCCCGTGTTGCCGACATTTCTTTTGAGCATCAGCTTCATGAGGCCTGGTGCTCGTGGCAGTTTGCTGTTTCAGTAATGTAAATGCAGTCGTGTGGAGATGCGTGCCAGGACGTATTTGTGCCTTGCCAGCTCAACATTTGCAAGAGATCTATTTCCATTTGGTTATACATAGAGGCTTACTTGACCCTCTATTGATGGGTCGGTTGGCTAGGGTCGTCTCCCTTCAGACCGAATACTCGCGGAGGGCGATCAAAAGAAGTACTGCGAGCGAGCGATGCCCCCGTGTATCGGCGAGGCACTCCAGGGACAGCATAGACAGATTCATGTGTCGCGACCGACCGTCGACAAAGGCTACGACAATACGGCTGTCAAGTGGGCCATTGCCCTGACCGCGGTCGACTCCGTGGGTTGGATGCAAGCACACAACAGATACTGACTGCCTGACTCGTACATCGATAACCCCATAACGAGAGCCTGCAGCTGCCGCCCCTTGATGAGCCCATGGCCACGGCCGTCCATTTGGCTCGTCTCAACGGTGAAGGCCACGCTGGGTACCTCAATCTCGGCGGGCCGGACGGCGGGCCCAACGTCGCCAAGGCAAGCACTATCACCACGGGCGAGGGCATAGGGTTGGGACAATGTCGCCTTTGCCGACGTCAACGGCCACGAGCGGGTCGACTAGGTGGCCGTTCTTGCGCGATAACGGTAGCGCCCGGCTGCGGCTGAAATGGCGGAGGGCTGGACGAGTCCAAGGTGGTCTGGTCCCCGCACGGGACCATCGCCAAGGGGTCCGGAGAGAGCGGCATGGACATGCAAATGAGCCGATCTCGACGACGCCGACAGGACCAAGTATTTAGACATCAAGCTGGCCACGTTTGCCACGTCGGCGTGGCTAGACGGATGCTGATGTTGCGCCTGATGGAATCGCTGGTGACAACCAAGATGTTCGCTCTTGTTGATCAAGGTCGGCACGGTCTGAACCAGTCATGCTTGATCCGGGCAAATGCTCCTTGCCTCGCCTTGCAGTGACGATCGCTAATGCTATTGTAAGCTTTTCAGCCCCTTCTGATTGTAATGCCCTACGCTTCATCTTTTGCGAATAACGGCGTTCTCACATGAAAGGCGGATGGAGTCCCACTGGACCTCACCACATGAGCTCGTTCCTATGCCAAGTGTTTCTTTTCTTCTTGGCAACGCTCGAACAACACTAGCATGAGAAAAGTGAGCAAGGCCTCTGCTCCGAAGCCAGCCACGGTCATTGTCAGATCTTCTTCTCCTCGAGCAAGAAGACAAGTCCGACTGCAAGACGATTTCAAGCAGAGAACACACAGCCATGCGTCCTGCTGTCCGCCCGCTTCAGACCCGGCAACGCCGACTTCGAAGCTATGGCACTAACACGGTTCCCAGCCTCAGCTTCTCAAAGTCCTCATTGATCCCGACGACGCCGACAGGCCAGGCGGACCGCACATGCTCGCCTATCAGCACCTTGCGCTCGCTGTCCTCTTCACCACCCTCTGGTTCGTCCTTGAGCGTCAGGTACCCCTGCAGGATCCCGAGATCGGAGGCAGTCATGGTCGCCTTGACCATGCGCAGGACCACCTCGGCGAGGTAGGAGTTGCTTTTTGGTCATGCAGGCCCTTGGCGGCAAGGATGACTGTTGCGCGTATTTCTGCTTCGCTGTTGTTGATGGCGGCGGAGGCGTCTTGGCTGCTGCTGTCGCCACCATCATCATCGTTATCATCATCATCGTTCCCATCGTTCCCATCGTTCCCATCGTTCCCATCGTGTTTAGCAGCAGCAGCAGCAGTAGTAGTAGTAGCACCAGTAGCAGCGTTGTTGCCTCTCGCTTTTGTGTCGCCAGGCCGGGCTGTGGGTGCAGCTAGCTCCTTGAGATGGATAAACCCAACACACGAGAGCAGTTTGATCAGGAAAATGTCGCACGACTCGAAGCTGTGATGCAGGTGATAGAGCCGCGGGAGGCCTCGAGGCGGTCCTTTGCTTGGGCGAGCAGACTGCTCGCATCGGACTCCTTGGGCAGGTCGAACGGCAGCGGAGGGGATGCCGAGGAGGAAGAGGAGGAGTCGCGATCCCGCGCGGCCACGACGGACTCGAAGATCATGATGATGTTGTAGTAGTGCATGCTGAATGATAATGGTTAGCTAGGTAGTCTGCGTTGATGTGGCCTTGCAGGGAGGGGAGCTGGGCTTACTGGAGCTTCAGCTCGTGTGGATGATGCATGTTTGTCGCGGATAGCTCTCTCGGGAGCTGTGTGTAACAGTCCATGATTTTCCTCCGAAAATTCATCGTGATCAGGAAGTTGAGGTCTTGAGGCTTGCGGATTCGGCTGAAGAAGTCCGATGCGGACTCGTTCATGACGGCTCGAAAATCGCACATGGCTTTGAATGAATGGCCGAAGTGCATCGGTGATAGTTGCTTGGTCGACGGGTAGCGAAGCTATATCTTAGTGTAGAAGCATAGAAGCTCCTGTCCGCATCCGGATCTGGCAGCGGGATTCGAGGGGGCTTGTCAAGTAGCGGCAGCCGGTAGATATGACATCTGTGGACGCTGCAGTTGTATCAATAGTTAGTGGATATATCGCCATTATGACTAACTTGCAACCCACGGTCTGACGTACACTTGTATCCCAAACACGCCCCGGCAGTGATCGCATGGGACATTTTGACTTTGCTGTTAAGAGACTCGTTGCGCTCGGCTTCAACAGATCAAGCGCGGAAGCCCGGCTCACCGCGAGCTCAAGGTACATATTGCCAATCTCGTCGCACGCGTTGGCGCTGTTGACGACGAACAGCACGGCCGCCCCCTGTACGGTGGTGAGCTTGGTCGTGCCCGCCTCGAGCTCGAAGAGGCGCCAGCATTCAGCCAGCAGTTGGAATTCGAGGCTCTAGGGATACCAAAATGCGGCTCGGTCGGGGATGGCGCGGTGACCGTGCTATCGCAAAAGTAGCTGTCAGAATCCTATGTCATGTTGCACGGGGATTCTGGGAAAACCAGCAAGTCCTACACGCAGAAGCCAGCACCGCATTAACCAGGAAAGGAAAGCAGAACGCCTGGTAATTCGCTACCATGTCGTCCAGGAAGTAGTTTATGTGAAAGTGTGGAAACTGGACGTATTCGTATCGGAAATAGGTTTGTAGAAGGCGGATAAAGATATCGTCGTTTTTGATGATTGTGGTCCATGCTGGTGCGTTGACAAGATCAAAGCGAGCATCGGGAATCTCGGCTGCATGGGACGGGACGTAACAGGGCTAGTCATAGCGGAGGAAGCTAAGGGAGCCGAGCCAGACCTTGAGAAACCTGAAAGGGACCGGTGGCAGCCGTAAGGTCAAGAATGGGCTTAAGTCAGTCTCAGAGGTCGAAGAAGAGATTGCAAGTGTGGAGGCAAAGATAGCCACGACCAAGAATCCTGGGGAATAGCCGTGGATACTGGTTGGTGAAGTTCACGTCAACGGTTGGATGTATGGGGCTCAGAATTGGGGAAGACCTTTGGAAGGCTATCGATCCTCAAGCAGTCTTCTAGCAGCCATCTATCTATTCTCTAGCATCTATTTATCCTCTAGTAGCCATTTATCCTCTAGTAGCCATTTATCCTCTAGTAGCCATCTATCCTCTGGCAGATTTTCAGAAGCAAAATCTCCCAGTACTAATGTCGGTTTAAGATTTGCCTCATGCTTCTTTTTCGCTGAGGACATCTTGTAGCGAAAGGGCACCAAAAGCACATCCCCCATGTGGTCGTCGAGCAGGTATGTCGGCAAGCTCATTCCTAGAGCTAGAGTCCGCCCTCTTTCAAGCTCGCTCTCAGTCTAGGCTTAACCTCAATGGCACCCTTGATCTGGACAAGCTCGCCCCGCTGCTTTGTCAGCCAGTCATCCTGGCCCGGCAGCACCTCCAAGTCGAAGTTATACAAGATGCGGCTGGTGATGACGCGCATCTTTGCGTAGGCGAGATTCTTGCCGATGCAGTCACGCGGGCCCGCGCTGAAAGGTCTGAAAGCCTCCTTCTTGTCCGCGGCGAAGCGGGGGTTGTAGAGAGGGTGTGATGCTGACAGCCACTATATCACCGCGGATCGGGTCAGTCAAGATCTTCACACCAAAGCAAGGATGAAGGAAAACAGGACACGTAGTAGAGCCGAAATCATCAGCAGGATCAGCCAGCCGCATAGGAAGCAGGGCCTAGAAATTGAATGAAAACGGTCTCTTTGTCACGAAGCAGAGGCTCTACTCACACGCTCAGGATGGAATGAGTCTGAATCTGTAAAGTGGTCCGGATTGCGGAACGAGGCAGCAGAATAAACGTGTAGAATGGTCTGTACAAGGGGTCCTCCAGTTAACACGATGCTCGAAAACCTTAGTCGGTGGTGAGAGGTCACTTACACCACGCGGTAGCCAGTGGCCCGCTACCTCTGCGCCTGGGCTAACGCGCGGAGGCACGGATGATGCTGGAGGGTACATGCGGAGAGTCTCCTCGAGGACGGCATTCAGGTACTCGAGCCGGGCTGTGGTTGTCATGTCTATCTCAGCATCGTCGGTAAAGGCAGAACGGATTTCATTCTCGAGGATGCGCCGCTTGTCCGGGTTCTGACCGAGGAAGAAGACGAGGCCTGACAGCGCCGTCGCCGTGGTCTCGCTGCCTGCAATGACGAGAATTCCCGAGATAGCCATGATCTCGCCATCGCTGAGCACCTTGTTCCCCTCTTTGTCCTGGCGCATCATGTACGTGGCGAAGTCGCGGCGCGATGAGTCTCTGGGCTCCCCGCCCATGGAAATGCGCGTCTGTCCCTTGAGCCGGCCCAGGGACATATTCTGTGTGTTCGCCTCGAGGGCGATTTCGAACTCGCGGGAGCCCAGTATGAGCGCAAGCGGCACCCGCAGCAAGGGGAAGTGCCACAGAAAACGCCCGTAGGCGGAGCCAACAATACCGCGGAAGGCGTTTTTAACGAAGGTGGTATCGCCGTCGAGCGCGTGGAACGAATCCGCAAAGGCGAGGTCGCCAATAATGTCAAAGGTGCAGTAGTTGAACCAGTCGACCATGTTGATCGTCTCGCCTCCTGCAGCTCGGGTCCGCATCTCGTTGACGAGCTTGTCGATGTATTGCTTGATGATTCCCTCTTGTTCTTGGAGGGCTGCCGTACTGAAGGCGTGGGCTAGCTGGCGTCTCTGCCGCCGGTGATCGTCGCGGCTAGCTGCAAGTAGGGCCATGTGATCGTTAGGAAAGAAGAACCCCGGAACCTTGCTGAACTCGGCCTCGGTGCGCGAAGGTCGAGCTCCGTGGATGTTGGGCCAGGCAATGTTTCCATCAACGGCAAGGCGGTCCGGACCGATCCGGACGATGGGACCATACTTCCGGTGCAGCTTGATGGCATGGTCGTTCATGTTCAGCCTCACGGATGCGCGCCATTGTCCAAAAACATCACTGGCGGCATAATGCTTGGGGCCAGGGATTTTGGCTAAGGGATGAAACCAGATTCGGTACACGGTGGTGCCGACTACGAACGAAATAAGCTGCCGCAGAGGACGACAGAGTCAGCGGCCACGATCATGAGTACTGGATGAGGTGGCAGATATTTACCGAGACGACAGAGGCGCCTGCGATGAGTGCGGCTTTGCTGTATCCGTCGAGGACGGCCACAAGCTCTGAGATTGCCATAGTGGTGAAAGTGTGCTTTCTCGATAATGAAGTCAGTGGCGAGAAGAGTGACCAGGAGACGAGAGGGCTGACCTGATATATATGCTAGAACTCGCACCTCTGCAGCTCAAGGACTGACTGACTGACTGGCCGCGCAATTCTGCATAAAATGCGTCCTTGCGCGCGGAACGGTGCCCTTCCGATATGTCTATGCACTAGGCCATAGCGTGCTAGCCAGTAGCAACCTGGAGATAGTAAATTTATATGGAGCAGATGCAGCTTGGCACGCGAGGATAACCCCCGAGCAGACACTCGTTTCAACCAGCCAGCGTAGGTGTCGTCGCCTTACAGGGTTCATGACTATACAGCACGGCAGGCGTTCGACTAGCGTTCTCAGCCACCCGGGAGAGGGGCGAATAGTGCATCGGCCTCCGAATTTCCGCACTTTGGGGATATTCGACTCGTGTGCTCAATTTGCCCCACCCCTTTACAGATTAAGTTATGTCTCCGAACCGCTATTCGGATTGTGGGGAATATCAAACTTTAACTAGCGTGGATCGGCGTCATTTGACCTCCGAGTCTCCGTACTATGGGGCTAGATAGTACATTCGACTATGTGTGCTCAATTTGCCCCACCCCTTCACAGATTATGTCTCCGAATCGCTAGAGCACGCCATAGTAGCAGAGCTGAAAGTACGGATGTATAATACGTAAGCTCCCCCTCTCCATAAATTGGCCATGCAAGATAAACCTACGTTTGACAGTCCATTCTGAGCCCGCGTCAAGAGTTGCACTCCCTCCATTCCGCCATTCCCTGCCTCTTTCCCTTTGTCGTATCCTCATTAGAGCCTTGGACTTGATTTACCATTGCTAACCATGCCTCCCCTCTCTACCATCCGCGTTTCAAATTCGCGCATCACCGCAGCCACAGCGCCGCGTGTAGCTGTCTTCACAGGCGCCACTCAGGGCATTGGTAAGGCTACCCTGACGCAGCTTGTCGGGGTTGGTACACCAATCACGATATACCTTATTGGTCGGAATGGGTCAACTCAGGAAGGATTCCTGGAGGAACTGAGGGCATCGAACCAACAGGCCAAAATCGTGTGGTTGGAAGGACAGGTTTCCCTGTTATCGGAGACGAAAAGGTTATGTGACGAGAGTGAGTCCCTCTTCTTGCGAATATTGAGAACCTCGGATAACAAAACTATCTTGAACCACGCCATGGGAATCATAACGCACTTTGCTGATTAACTTTTACAGTCAAGAGCCGCGAGAAGAGCATCGATCTTCTCTTTTTCTGCGCAGCCTACGTCGCATTGGGGGGTCGGAGAGGTAAGCTCGTGACACGCTACCAGCAGCACCACCGCCCAGCATGAATGAGAAAATAGTCTCAAGGCTTCTCGCATCCAGACTAAGCCACTCTTTTTCCACAGACACATCAGAAGGCTACGACACCGCAATAACCCTGGCGTTTTGGGGCCGAGCCCTCTTTACCAGTCTCCTCCTCCCCCTTCTCCGCAATTCCGCTGCTTCCTCCTCCTCGTCCGCCTCTGCGTCCCCATCCTACGCACCACGAGTGATCAGTATCGGCGCAGCGGGCCTAGAATCTGCCAGTGTCCCCCTCGACGATTTGGACCTCAAGTCCCCCAAAATCTTTGGCCCCTTGGTCTGTGCCAAAACCTGCGCGACTATGAGCACGGTGTTTTACGACCATCTGGCTTCCTCCCCAGGGAATGAAGGTGTGGTGTTCATCTACAACCACCCGGGCAACGTGGACACCAATATTCTGAAGAACGGCTGGGGAGAAGGATCGTGGGGTCCGACATTGGTCGGTCTCGTCCAGCGCTTGGTTTGGCCGTTGATACGGTTGTTTGGTGTAGGCGGGATCACAGCTGCAGTGAGTGGGGAGCGGAGTTTGTTTTTATGCACTAGTGCGATGTTTGGTGGGAGGGGTGTGTCTGTTGATGGTTGTGGAAGGGGCAGAACGTTAGCGGGAAGGGAGATGGGAGGTATATTTTGTGTGCCGGAAAATATCGAGTGTATCCAGCCTCAGGAGGTGGTTGGGAAATTATTTGTTAATGGAGGGAGGGAGAAGATTTTGGAGAAAGTGGACGAGGTTCTCAAGCCATATCTTTGAAGGCGGAAGCTCAATCAAGGTATCTCACGCTCGTATTAATAAAAGTTGTACTATTTCAGTACCATCAAGTTGGGATCTGTAGATGTTTCGTTTCATAAAGTACTGTTTACTCTAATGCGTAGCTAGTACTACGTTAGAGCCGCTTGAATGCCGGTAGATACCAACCAAAAACGGCGGCACGAACGGTAACTTTCTCAGTTCGACCTGTATATAATAAGTTGCTAAGATTCCATCGGTATGTCGCGAACTAGCTCGACCATAGACTTACTTATCTGCACGATTAGGCCTATCTATGATAACTCGTGAAAGAATTGTTCCAGGCCATCCATCTGTCTTATATGCTAATCTTAGAATGGCTTGCTAGAGCGTACTACTATGTAAATTGGGCGATACTAAAGCCTAATGCTACCTAGGATAATAGGGCTTCTATAACTGACTCTTTCTATACCTTCTCAATCTGCTCCCTCCTGGTTTGCGTTAAGTTCGTATATCTCGTTATTAGCATATCCCTTCTAGCTGTCGTCCCTTGTTAGCCAGCCTTCCACTCCAAGTGTTATATATATATATACGTTAATAAGCTGGTAACGTTATTCTTCTTTAATTTTGGGGGGCGCTGGCGAGACACGACAGAATAAGGGCCCCTTAACCCACATCAAGAAATTCAGTTGTTTCTCCCACCCATGGCTGTCCTCGCATAGCTCGAAATCGAATTTGACAAGTAATGCCCCCATGATCAATCGTATCTCATGCAATGCTAAGTTCCGGCCCAAACAGTCTCGAGAACCGTACGAGAAAGGATGGAACACATCTGGACTGGGATCCGCGTGGAAATCCACGTCAGTTTTGTTCTGGGCGCTACGAGGCAGCCATCGCTCAGGAATAAAAGCGTTCGCGTCCCTGAAATTCTTTTCGGAGTGATAGGCTGCATATTGTGCGACGGACAACCGAGTTCCTTCGGGTACCCAACAGTTGTCGATCAGCATACCACCCTCTCGGACGACCCTGGGTACACCCACCGCAACTGGGGGGTAGATGCGCAGGCCTTCCTTGATACAAGCATTCAGGTATGCGCACTGACTGAGACGCCTGAAGGATAGATCGGATACGGTATCAAAGCTCGCTCGTATCTCATTTTTGAGTAGCTCGAGTTTCTCCGGACGTAGACAAAGGTGGTAGATCAAGCCACTTAGAAGGGTTGCTGAAATGTAGGCTTTGTTAGTATCTCTAGATATGATAGAGGGATTTTATTCCCATTGTCTGAACTTTACCGATAGTTTCTGTCCCAGCTAGCATGAAAAGCTCGGCGTTGGAACACATCGCATTGAGACTGAGCTTTTCAGTAGGTCCTGCTGGAGAAACCTGCTTCCAGATGTCCGGCCGAGTTGATCCTGTCTTGACCCTTTCGTGTACCCTTTGAGCTGAATGTTGGAAGTGTTCATGTTTTTTCTTCTGGATGCACTTTGGCTCAAACTTCCTGTATAAAAAACGTGAAACATTGTAGTACTCCACGAACAGAGAGAGCGGCATTAGCTTGATCAGTTTGAAGATTGAGTTGACCCAGGCGCTAGATCGATCCCTTTCCAGTAGCCCCAGTGGCTGTCCAAAACACAAATCGGCCATGATGTCAAATGTTGCGAAACTGAATATGCTTGTGAGTTCAACCTTCGCGGATGGCGATGTTGAACGTAGGTTGGTGTCAAGCCTGCGCTCTATCAGTGAGACCATGGCATCCATACTTGAGAAGAATTAGTTTCGAGCGTCCACAGTACCGTTCGTTTCAAATTCACCCTTGTTTGAATGACTTACTGTTCTTTGAATATTGGCTGCTGTTTGCGTAATCCCACTTCGGAAAATGCGGGTGCAAACATTCGTCGCCATAGACGGTGGGTATCAACATCGGTGGTGCTGAGACTTCGAATAGCTAGACAGAGGTGATGATTCAACTATTAGCTTTGGAAACCTGGATCGAAGCTTCCATTGTTCCGAACCGTTTGCTGGTTGAATGCCATAATCCGGCGCTTTGGAAAGCTCTAACCGGTTACCGTATATCTCCTTCCAAGCGCCACTGGAGATGTAGCTTAAGTCATCTGGGCCGAATCGCAAGACAGTACCGTAACGGTTGTGCAAGTCATGCAGCCAATGTACTTCATTGCCCCGAAAAAGCTGAATCCAGTATGGAATGCGCGTAATGGCGCAGAGCCACGGACCTGGTAAGGCAGAAAGGGGGTGGAATGTGACAGAGTAGAAGCTTTGGCTGACAAACCACAGTGCCAATACACATAAAGCCGCCTCTATGCCATCGGAAACCGACATCTCGCTGACCAGATTGAAGCCATACTCTAAGAAATCCTTCGATGAAGACACCATTGAGGTTTTCAGAGACGAATGTGGTTCCGGCAGATGGTAAAGATGGGTGTTGCCGTGCAAGCCCTAGATCTGCCCACTTCAGCGACTGACTACGGTCAACAGTCCAATTGGCTTTGTCGGTATGGTATAGCAGACTAAGCTGCATATGAAGCCACTCACCATGCAGGGTCTGCTTTAGATAGAAGAGATGAGTATATTTTCCGTGCGGTGCTCCAAGTAAACCTTGAGTAACCTAAACAACCTAAAGAACTCACACAACCAAAACAATTTAAACTGAAGCAGTCCTGTTTGCATAAACGAGCATGACGACTCAACCCAACAAGGGACTATTTGTGGCTCAAAGAGTACCACAAATAAGGCCGCATTCGGTGATCACCCACCTTCGTCAGCAGAGGCCCAGCTCAGACAAGGGGCAAAGAGCACTGTACAGTACAGAAAAGCTTGTTGGATGGATGCATGGATGCACCCTTGCTCGCTCCTTGCAAGCATAGACCAGCATTGTTAAGCGGAGACTTGCTTTAAGGCAGGTGTGACCGCGGAGCCAAAAATGGAGTGCCCCACACTCACCTGGAGTCGAGGGTCTGGGTGATATGACTGCCGAGCCATGAGCCGTGGTTCACGATCAAACGTCAGCATCTGGAGGCCAAGGCAGCGACTTAGAATGTATGTGCTGTGAACCTCAGTGCAGGTTCAACATCGCATGCACCGCCACGCGACGATATGCATTCTGCTTGAAAGAGCCACAATCCGTGACATGCCCACATCGTGCTTCTTTCCTCATCAATCCAACATCAGGGGCGAGAGCTGCATCTCACTTAAGAGATTGCAATGGGCCGCCATTCACGATGGCTGGCGTCCCCGTGTGGCGATGGCGGCGGTAGTCCTTGCCAGCTCCAGCTGAATGCCCAATCAGTGCATTGATGTGGCTATGCCAGCATCGTGCTACTCAGTCACGTGAGCTACGGCTGTTGATGCAGAACGGCCGGGCGACAACCGGATTTATCCTAGGTCGTGCAAAGTGCATGAGCGAATCAAGTGTTGTGCTCGTGCCGCAGGCGCCTGAATTTCGTCTTATCATGATTGGCTGGCTGCGTGACGGACCTTCCCACTAAGGAAGGAATGACAACCCATTTCAGCTGCTCATCATCACTGCCTAAATGGGACTGGTCACAACAATGTGCCTGTGCTTGGCCTTGATCATGGCGCCACAGTGGCTGCTGACAGCCACTGTCATCCTCATGAACCCTCACATATTTGAAGATTCGCACACGGTTTCAATCTCGCGCTCACTTAATAGGGCCTGATCATCTGTCGAAATGCGGTCAAGTCTGTGTTTCCGAAGTATATCTTGCTAGAGCAGCGCAAACGCACACCTGTCTACAGCGCACGCATTTGAGTAAGGTGACTACCCTTGAGGGTCGGTGTATCTCGTGTTTAGCTGCCATCAAAAGCTCGATTGGCGTTTCAGTCCGCATAGGAGATGTAGAACGAGCCTCGTCACGCAGAAAGAGGAACAAGAGAAATTACGTTTGGGGTTTGCTCTTCTAATATTTTGGTATGAAAGACTTAGTTATATGAACTGACTCTTTCTCAATCCATAATTAACTTCCTAATCTCCCCCAAGATGAAAGCCTGGATGCCCTGGTCATTGCAAGTGCTATGCCGCAGGATCTCCATCTTGAGAGCGAGGATCTCATCGCGTAATTCCTGAACGTGGGCGCTTAGGGTACTGTTCTTCTCCGAGAGCTGTTTCTCTGTCTCTTGAAGCTCTGTGGTTTCGCACTTCATCTTGTTACGATATTTGGTCGCAGCGCTTCGGTTCTTCTCGCGTATCGTCTTCTTCTTATTGCTGCTTGGAACGGCCGTCCTATTCGACGGCGTAGACTGCGACGCGAAGCTTGCCGTTGCATCTGCCGACCCTGCGCTATGTACGTGTATCTCGCTATGCCTGTGTTTCGTGCCGGCGAGCTGCTGTATTTCCGAGCTGTGTTGCTGTTGAAGCTGGTGGTAGCTATAGCACCTAAGTGCTAACGACGAAGGCTCCAGCGTACTTCCGCTAGGGCTAGTGTGGTTCGACGCGCTAGCAATGTTAGAAAGGGTGGAAGAATCGCTAATCGGGGATATTGGCCACGAGTGTGTGCTCCACGCGTTATCGTCAAGAGCAGGGTTCGAAATTTGTGAGGCAGCGATAGTACCAACGGGTACTACATCGTATGGCTGCAACGGCATATTGTACATCTCGGGCCCAAGGTCCATAATAAAGCCGCCGTCTGCGGCAGGGAAAGGGACGTCCAAATAGCTGCATTTGCTATCAAAGACCATCTGGGACATGTCGCTGAACTCGATGCGGCCGAGGTCAAGAGTGTCCCCGGACCAGCACTCTATTGTACGTGTGGATGGTTGGTGCAGCGTGGGGTCTGTGAGGCCAGCCATGGTGACAGCTGCGTGTGATTGTCTGCCTCTGTCGCCCTCGATCATTGTTCTTGTTGTTGTGGCAATACAAAAAATGGGGGTCGAGGTGTGATCACAAGGCACGGCTTATCAGTGCCCGGGTTCGTGGGTCGCTCTCCAGAAATGGCGCCGGCTCGCTTTTGGAGCAACAATCGCGCCGCCGGACAGATAAGCAACGCCAGCCGCGACATGCTCATGACGACAGCGCGAGTGAAGCAAGCCCAGGGGCTCCCTGCTTGAATATGCAGCCAAGGCAAATTCCGTGCGCGTTGGCCTGGCTCAAACGGCGGGAACGGGGTGTAAGTGGCTGAACTCGGGGAGAAGCTCTGGCAGGCCCCGCTGCGGAGTTGGTCAGGGCAATACCCCCGTTTGCGAAGGCTTGACGAAGCAGGCTAGCCCCCGAATCAAACCCCCACTGGGGCGCGGAAACGCCACTCGGCCGGTTTGGCGCCAGATTTGGCTGCGAGGTCCGGAGCGGCACCCGCGCCCTGGCTGGCGTCCGGATTGGGTTCGTGGGCTCGACGCCAGGGCAGTTCGCGCTGCTTCGCCACCCTTGAATTTCGAATCATCCCCAGGAACCGGCTTTTCTCGATTCCCTGGGCCGTCGCTGAAAGGCTGAGGGGAGGGGGGGTTGTACGTGGGACGGACGGCACGTGGTTCGCTTGGGTCTCCCGTGGACTAGGAGCTGAGTAGAGTCTAGGGCGTTGTGGGAGTCTGGTGCCTTGTGGGGCCCGGGACGGGAGCCTTGAGGAGTCGGAGCCGTGCGGGCCCAGAAATGAGCGGGAGTCGCTCTGCCGCGGCAGCCTGTAAAGAAGCAAGCCTTACCCAGTACAGCAAGTGACATTCAAAGAGCGAGCATATGTTTAGTACATGGGAACCAGCTTGGTAGCTGTATATGACACCCCGTTTGCCAAGGGCATCGTTTGGCAATTTTCTCGCATTCCTGGCATGCGCGTCATCCACGAATCACTAATCAGTTTGGCACTTTTGTGACCTTATGGCACATAAATGGTTCTTGATATTTCTGCTACGAAACAGTTCGAACTTGACTGTGCTGTTATGCGGGGCCCCGCGCTCACCCACTCGTTCCCTTGAAGCCGAGGCCGCAGTTTATCACCCCTCAATGTACACCTCAGCTGCGTCGCCGCGCGGTTCCAGCAGCACATTGAGGTCACAGATCCCCTCAACTGTCGTGCTCTATTGGAAGATTGCCGCTGTGTTGCAATGCATTGAGTGGATTGGTGAGTCTGTTTGAGAGTACCTGAAGAATGGGAAGAAAGCCAGCCCGCTGATTGCGTGCGAACGGGTATTACAGGCGCCGTATCCGCCACCGAGGCCTACGCGTTCATTACGCTCGAGTCGCCCATCCGGAGGTAGATTCGGACGAGAGTGCTAGATATGAGGGCGTTTCTATAATAAAAATCGTTGCACCCGCGGTAACATGGCCGCTTTGTCGCTGCAAAGAAGTAATGGGGAACCTCGAGCCACCTCGCCCCATCCTATGAGGCGCTGCTACGCCTTAGCCCGACCGACTGTGGCAACCCCACGCCGAGAACACGCAACAATCCAGCAGTACTACTGGACCGCCTAAGGTTCGGCAAGGCGGCCACCAAGTAGCTGATCACGCGGCACCTGCTTCCACAGTTCGGGAAGGCAGGGGAAGAGGCCGAAAGATAGGAACGACGCTACAGGAGCACGGGCAGACGCAAAGGCGCAGCGATAACAGAGCGGGGAAGAGCAGAGCGAAGCCGCAGCAACCCATGCGCTACAGTGTGTGCTTTAGTGGGCTGGTGTGCTGGCCAGTGGACGCTCTAGTAGGCAATCTAGGGGGTTACGTGCCCTGTAGTGGCTCGTTTACTGTTGGTAACACCAATCTTCAGGGGGATGCTACAGGGGTGCTGCTACCCCGAAGCGCGATAGGTTAGACCTAACAGAAACGCTTTTCTAGCGCGTGGAGCACCCCACGCGCGACCGCGTAGCGCTCCCTCTCTACTCCTTTCACTTCTCGTCCACAACCCGGCGCACAAGCTGGACCAGGTTTTAGCCGCGCACTTAAGTCGCACACATAGCAAGGTCCAACTTACAACACCCCGAGCAAGGCTCTCGAGAGCTAGTACCTGACGCGCAAGTCAGCCCGCGCTCTGAGCTGCCGAAATAGGCGTAGCGGTGGAACCGCTGCCACCGACGCAACCCTAGTACGGAAACACCAGCCGCACGCAATGCAGCCTCGGCGGCGGCGGCGAACTCCAATCGCAGGATGCCAGCATCGTCAGCGACGCGCGCTTGGAGCGGGCTAGCGAGGACTTACGGCGACGCGGGAGTGGCCAATTGGCGCACGGATAGCGTCCGAGGCCACTGCGGCTTGCTGGTGTGTTGAGCGGCGCCGGGCCTGGACCAGGCACCGCTGCTCTTGTTGCCGAAGCAGGTTCACGATGCTGTCGGTGGAGGCAGCGGCAGTGGTAAGGCCGGAGCCGGAACGCTGACCGGGTTCGCTGTACACAGTGGTAACAGGCTTGCAGAAGGAAGAAGAGGAACAGACGACGAACGCAGCGATAAGGCTAGCCTGCAGCGAGTTGCTGTACCTTTTGCCCCAGATACCAAGATGAGGCATTACGAACACCGGACACACCGTGTAGCGTTGAAGGAGCGCTCGCGCATCGCCCTCCTATGCACACAACCCGCATATTAGGCATTCCCCCGTAGCAGAAAGAACATGGGGCCCTATGCAACCTACACAAGCACTCTACGAGCCTCTAAACAGTTGGTTGGTCATGAGAGCTATTTATGGCGGTCCTATCGCATGTGCGTCACGTTGCTCCACTACACATGGAGCCCTGAGGATATCTGCCGGCATGATTTCTACAGTACTGCTGGTCGGAACCACAGTTTATTTGCTGTATGCTCCAGAAGTTGAGCAATAGTATTTAGGTAAAACCCACCTCATTCAAGTGAATACTGAGGGGGTTTTCTTACGTCTGTGGTCCAAGTGGCTTCACTTGACATCTCTCATTAGCAAGATGAAAGCTTGTCTATCTCTAGCATTCGCGGCTACCTGCTTCGCAAGTCTGATGGACCTAGACTCTTTGAACGTTTCAGGCGAAATTTATGTGACTTATGGGCCTCCCGATCACGAGCTGATTCCACCAAGCACGGAAGAATATCAACCGAGTTCACCTCATTCGAGTGAAGTACCACGAACTACACAGACGGCTGCCACAGCATCGAGTCTCTCGACCACTCGAGCCTCAGAGCTGACTCTCCTATACCCAACGATCACGCTAAATACTACAGCATCTCAGGTGATGCCCTCAGCTGACTCCGCAGGGTTGACGTCGGGACCCAGCTCCCCCATCACACGCAATATTACAGCGTGCCATGGTGCATTCCCAACATCTTGGACTAATGGGACCATGGCTATTCCGTCGACAAACATTCCACAATACGCGACACAGTCAGGTACAGGTTTCTCTCCAGTCGACAATTACCAGACAGCCGAAGAACCTGCTCCATCCCCTGACTATGTTCCTACGGACCTGCCTCAAGGCTTTACGACTAGTAGCCATCTGGTTCCCACCCATGGTTATGCGATCACATCTCCTGCTTCTATGGCTGCCTCCACTGCACGAACAGTATCTGTGTCGTGGTTGCTCGTCGTACTTGTGGGCGGCTTTCACTTCTTGGCTGCTTTTTATAAGGCTGGGTAAATACTCTCAGACGGCCATAGTATTGAGTTGGAGAGGGTATTGAGGCTACCTAGAATCGTATACGGACTAGCAAAAAGTTACTGTAGTTGGCCTTACTGTTTGAGATTCTAGATATCATAGATACTGTCAATTTCTGACTGGAGCTGTGCTTCAGCTTTGTTCTAGCCTGGGCTAATATGTATTACTACACCTGAGTGCATATCTAGCTTGGGCTACAGTTTTGGGATACGTGACGTCGGCATGACGCTCAAATTATTCTCTACGGTCTTTTGCTCATGGTACAGATCTATGGATGCAAATCATAGGTCCATTAACGATCGAGCACTGAGAATGTGTAATCCAGTCGTAACGCAGTAACCCGAAAGCAGCCTCAAAAGGAAACAGCACCGTGTGGATTCAATAAGCCTCGGTATCCTTAGAAGTCGCTGCCATAAGTGGCGCAAGTAGATGCACCCTGGGCCTCGGCTAGAAGTGGCGCTTAAGGACATTACCGATTGTGCCTTTTATACGTAGGTATAGTTCTATATCACAATGCTACAGTAGGTCAAGACTGGCGCGTAAAGAGGGCAACGATTCCGCCTCTTACGCGTATATCTAGCATAAAGTATATGACAGCATTGTAGAATATTAACAAGCATTCTGCGTTCATACCAAATCTTGTTAATTATGTCATTTGCAACCGATAAGAGCTATACACAATCCAGCGCGACAAGTCAACATATCGCGCAGCTTTACGTAACTGTAGAGCCTGTCCCTGATATATCAAGAAGCTCGTATAGGACCCAGCCTGGGACTCTCATATCCAAGTTTTTTACCAAATATCTTCGAGAGCCATCGATAGACGAGTTCTTCCTACTTAGTGATAAGGATGTTGCCGAAACTTCCGCTCCGGAATTCTCATCATTCCTCCTCTTAGACTAGCTGCTCGACCTCTTATACAGGAATGTTGAGAAGTAGCTGTAGCACGAAGGCCAGACCGTCCATCTCTACTCTTTCTCAGGTATGCTAGTTATAGCAGCATGTATCGCAGCTATGAGGCTGCTTGTGCTAATTATGGAGAATAGAGAGATGACTGCCGAGGTTCTTAGGAGTAAGAAGAGTGTAAAGAACGTCGTGTAAACCTGTACTGGTTGCAGGCGGATAGAATCGTAGTTCAGAGATCTGCTAATGAAAGTACCCAGGAGGAATAGAAATATATCGAGTAGCAGTCTCCAGTTAGTCAGAAGGGAGTATGATGTAAAAATGATAAGAATAAGGCTATATCCTCTCGAGAAGCGATCAAAATTCACTCTAAGACGAAGCTTCATCGTCTCATAATTCTGAGGAATTGAAGCGTGCTCCAAATCAAGGAGCTTAGGTATCGCTTCGTATACAGGCGATAGTTGAGCTAGAAGTTCAATTATACTTGAAGTCTTGGCCGAAGGAAGCATCTTAGCTATGGAGGTTTAGAAAGATATACTACCCTATAACAAGTGAGGGACCATTCCTTATAAGTTCACTTTATATTTGCCCCTATGCTATCTTTCTATACCAATTTTGGATGCTTTGTAAAGGTACTAGGCCTCCGAATATGGATGCGATCCACTAGCGGCCTCTTAGATGCTCCGTACTTGAATGAAGTAATAGCTAGAGGGTTGTCCCTCGGAATAAAGGCTTCTCGTATGGGCAACCTCACGGCCGCTTCTAGCCTAAATGCGCTATCCGTAGTCTGATAATTAGAGTGCGTTATACGCCCCAAGTATAGCGGTGAAGCCTCCTCCGCCTCTAGATCGCCCAGGCACGAGCCCTAGCCGGGGCGGCGAAAATGGATAACCCTACGAGGACGGGCTTACTGGCTAGACTAGCGCCTAGAGTTCCTTGAAGTGGGTCTATTTTCCGATCATAAGGAGCTCAGTAAAACTAGAGGCTCTGGCCGTCGTTCGGCTCTGGCTGGAGAGCCCAGTGCTTGGGTAGCTAGAAGATTCCCCTCGAGTCGCCCCCGTGAGGCCCCCGTGAGGGCTGCCGCCGCTTACGTCCGGGACGATTGGCTGTCGTCCCTACCTCTCGCGCTTAGCAGCACCCCCCTTCCGGGGGGCGCATACCTCTAATATTACCTAGAGATCAAAGGAACTATGTAGAATATGAATAGGATAGGATCACGAACTCTAGCCCCCGCACTACTACGGTAAGTCCGTCTTCGGAGGGCCATCCTCCTCGGCTGCCCGGACTAGAGTTCGTGCTTGAAGGACCTAGAGTACCGCCACACTTGAACCCAATAAGGTCGCTGTATTTAAACTCTGTCCATAGATCCCTAGGTAGCGTAGTCGGGCAGAGTTTAATAGCTGCGACGACTAAACCCTTTGCTTTCGTTTCATTCAAGCACGGGGCACGACCGTAGCTTACTACAGCTCCACGTCTGGCTAGGTAGCTAAGGCAGTTTCTATCTCTACTGGTCTATGGTCAGGCTCACAACCTCTAATCGAAGTGATTTGTCAGTTATAGGGGAATCGACTCGGCTATAGTTTACAGCTATATTCAATGCTACAATTGTCCTGGGTGGTGTTTAGCGGAGTATGGTGTAGCTGTAAAAGAGATAAAGGACTCTGCATTTAGTCCTCAGACGAAGCAACGTTGTAAGATCTAAAAAGTAGTACTAGAACGATTAACTTAATCACTATATCAATCTCTATTAACACCTGTAAAGATAATTATCTGGCGTTACTATGAATCATTTGTGATATATTGGGACGCCTAGCAGCTAAGTAATAGGTCGATCTAGTCCCTTACGCTAGACCTAACTACTCTCCCGGGCACATTTGAATACTTAACGCCTCCGCCTCCGCTTAGATGGTGTTGGTTGCACAATAGGCCAAGTACGTTTACGGTGATCGGGGGTACCAAAGCGATTCTCCAAGTGCTGCATGTCCAATAGCTGTTGTAGACTGACGGGCGATCCACTAATAGGGGACTGCATTGTTCCCTCCTGCAATGCAATCATAATGGGCTCGGTACGACTAGACGCCTGGAAAGCAACTTTCATTAGGAGGGGCCTGGTTAGAGAGTTATTGGATAGCTTAGTGAAGTCAGGTGACTTGTGATGCCCTCTTATCACAAAGGTAGCATGGTTCTGCTTGAATTGTGCTACGAGCTCTTGAGCCTCGTCCGAACCGGGAGATAGTCTGCAAAATATCGCTCCAGAGCACTGATATGTACTATTAATCATTCGAAACGGTTCAATCTGGTCCAACTCAAAGAAGAAAAGCTCTGCCCGGATGCGTAGAACTAGTTTGTCCAGTACTGGCGACACCGAAATTGTCTCAAACGCGTTTCTAGCCATATCTGGCATACTTTCAACATCATCAAGCGGCGGTTCTACGTCCTTGAACTCGACATCAAAGCGGAAGACTTCACTACTCTTGCTAACCTCCCAATGGCTGAGGAGCTGCTGCCAGGCTCGATCGGCACTGCCATACTGCATAAATGCTCGGAAGACTCGGAAGAAGAATGAATCTCGCCAGAAGCGGGGACTGGTTATAACAGTATCGGGCTGTGACTGTAACGAGCCAGTACCGAGTGAGACCACAAGGCTGGGCCCAGGAGTGGTAGGATGAAGGACAGCAGCCTCTCGAATTGCCAAGGAAGCTGGGTTGTTATACATAAGACCGCCATCCTGGAACACGCCCAAGCCTTCGACCGTTCTCGGCTTAAAGTAACTGGGATCTTTAGTAAAAAGAAGAGCATGCCTACTTATATGACTTACTATGGTGCTGCTGTCGCGCAACATAATCTAGAAGTGTTAGTCTCTTGATAATTAGCTGAGGAATGGACTGACTCACGACTCCCAGAGGGGTACAGGCCTGTCTCCGTCTTTGAGCGTGATCATTTGATAGTCTGTGATCGTTAGTAGAGAATTCTCCGCTTCTCCCTGATGCCTACTGACCGCTCTGACCACGCCTCCCAATTCCGTTATAGTTCGAAAACACAAAGGTACGAACATCGCGGATAGTCGTTACGGGAACTCCAACAAGAATGCCCTTCTCGTCTGCCATGGAGTGGTCCAACATGCTTCTTATCGACCCAAAGGTTGACTTGAGAGCTTCTTCTAGGGCTATCGTGGAGTAGCGGCTGTCTGCAAGCATAGACCAACACAGCTCGTAGAATTTTGTAATAATGGGTATACGAAAAGAACACCGAGATTTGAACGCAAGGCGAGCGAATCTCTCAAAGGCTGCGATGCATTTATCCACAGGCCAGCCGTTGATACAGAGCGCGCAGGCAATAATCGCACCTACTATCATTAGCATCATCCACTCAGTTGCGATGTTTGCTTACCTGAACTAGTTCCAAATACCAAGTCGAAATGTTCGTGGATAGGCAACGGTAAACCGACTCGTTCCTGGAGGACACGAAGGAACTCCAACGGAACTCGACCCCTTGTCCCCCCTCCATCAATACTGAGCACACGAAGTCCTGCCGTTTCTGGCCTGATCTGAATACTAGCCGGTGCCGACAATAGCCCGCAAAGCAGACAATGACCAAGCCGAAAGAGCCAAGGCTTGAGCTCATCTTGCACCGCGAATGTCCTTATACAGCATTCACAGAATGAATGCCCACACTCCAGTCTAAAGCGAGGCTGCCGGCGTATGCAGCAGAGACAAGTCTCATTTGATCTAATAGCTTTCCAGGACCGAGCGCAACTCGCTATTTGCTGCTGATGTAATGTTTTTGATGATTGACAGGAAACGTAAGCATCGAACAACGAAAGAAACTTGTTCTCCAGTGACTTCAAGACCTTTGTTGCTTGGGCCGTACCGTTCTCATAACTCGAGAACAGTTGTGAGGTATCTAGTGCAGCCTTGCAAGTCTCCTCATATAGCTCATGGAACACTTCGCGAGGCTGAAAGTCTGTTCCAAGTGGTCAGCATCCAAGAGTACAAGGGGAAGCAGGAACCTACCATGCATGCCCGGAGGGTAGCTGTCTAAGATAAGGCTTGATGCAATCGCACTAGGGATAAAATCTATTCGGTCTTCCAAAGGGATTGCTGCGCACTGGTCCAGAAACCTCCGAATATGTATTGCCAAGTCTGGCGCTGGTGGATTATCTATCCGGGCCGTGAGAATAAAGTTGCTAGACTGATCTGGATCGACCATAGCTCTTGTGGCTCCGTAATGGAGTAAACCTGCAAGGTGTCGTGCAGTAAATAAAAGGGATTGCTGGGCACGACCTTCCCTTGAAACATTGCACAGGTTTGTAAGCTCACGAGTGAGGACAGATAGCCGATTCTGACGCGACGTCGTCCGGCCGAGGCTCAAAACACGGAGGCTCGCAAAAGATGTAGTTATACCATTGCTCATAGCAGCTAGCAGGGTCGCGGCAAGGCCACAAAAGGTCTCCTCTTCTGCTTCGCTGTTAACCGCTACGACTAGCCATGGGCGAAATCCACCCTGATGCGATGGTTTCATGCTGGCCCAAGATGTTACGACCTGCACAGCGCGATGAACTCCTCCGATGTCCCCTGCAAACAGACATAGTACGTCCGTATGAGGTATCACTAGCCGCGTAAAGATGTGCTCTTCCGACTGCAGTTCCTCATTCTTAGAACTTTGCAGAAACTGCCGATGAATGATCTCATGACACCGCTGCTGCCGCTGGCTCCTTGGTAGCGCAGCCTTAGAAGGTAAGTCTGCGTCTATAACGAGCATGGGATGATTGCCTGAGATACTGTTAGGGGCTAAAGCTACGTGCAGCTCTCCCCGGAATCTGTGTGCCCTAATCCCATTGACATTGATAGATAGCTTTTGAAGGAAGCGTGCCTTGGACTGATTTCCGATCAGTGTTAGAACACTGGGGTACTGTCTGTCTGGGTTTGGGAGGTCGTCTAAGAGTGTTCGGATTCGATCGGACACTTCTAGGCACGTTTCTTGGTTTTGCGTGGCTAGACATAACCATCGAGTATGTCCGCATGATAGCATAGCGTTGTACTTTATGGTATTGAAGCCGGAAGGGATAGGCTATCCGGTATATATATTTATAGGCCGCAAGGCTAAAGTACAGCAGGTATGCACTAAAAATTGCGAAGGCTTTGGGAGAATCCATATAAGCATGCTCCAAATCAGGCGCATTTTATAAAGTGTATTAGTTAACCCTCGAAGGCGCTTCCCGAAGCCACTTCCGGAGGTTACTAGAGCTGGTTCATGCCGCTCAAGGCTTTCTTAACCCCAAGTGCAGTGGTCCAAGGCCCCATTCTACCGAAGTTGTTACTTGAGCTTCGTAGAATCGCACTTCGCGACGTAACGTTTGACGTGAGCCTCAAAAAAGCTTTTGTCAATGGAAACGAACAGCCGAGAAACTTCTAGCATATATTCTGATTCCTTTGAATTGGACCACATTTTGGAGCGGCTAATTGGGAAGGAATCGGACCACGAACTTGCTATACTTCGAGCCTTACAAGATGAGAATCGGTATCTAAGCCGTGCCCTAACGAAAATCAAAAGTCTTTGGGACATAACGTATTCTTGCATGCAACAGGCCACAGAGACAATGAAGAGCTTTGCTAAGCTCCAGACTGAAGCGAAACAAGGGATAGATAAAGAGGCTTTATGTTGGAAAGTTAACTGTACCGAATTCTAAGGTTCAAGGGCGCTGAAGATCCGTAAGAATCCGAATACGAAGCTAAGGCGTAAAAAGTGCTAAATCACTGGACTTATAGGCTCTTAGCTTTAAATAGATGTAAAGAAATTATAAGGCGGCGAAATATAACACTGACCTGGTGCTTATAATATAGCGGTATCACGATCCAGATCTCTGGGTCAACCGCAGGACAGGGCGCGGGGGTTGCTGTTATGGAAGATACGTAAAGCCTTCGCAATACTCACAGACTCCTGCGGTCATTCTCTCTCGATGGTTGTTGTGTCTCTGGGAAGAGATACCAGCCTCGGCAATTAAATGACTAGTTCAAGTGTGTAGTGAAACTAATACTTAGATTGATCTCTAAAGTACAAAGGTAACCGCTTGTGACGACCCGACCAACAGGTCTTAAGATCGGGCCAAGGACAAAATCAGAGCATGCACGCGGGACGGACACACCCATGGTTACATAAGCATCTCACTATGTTAGCAGCAACGGATATGTGGATCGCAACATATCCAAAGATCCGGATCGCTGGACATAAACCCCACCGCGCCCGACTAGACGGTTAACCCCGGAGATCGGATCGTGAACCGCTATCGCGCTACATGATCCTACCGAACATATACTCCTTTGCCCTTCACCGCAATGATCGCCCTATGGTTAGCTCATGGTGAGCCGCTCTATGAATCGCCGTGATCCGGGTGCGTGGCTCACCAGCTCACCGGGTGATAGTGCGACCCTATCGTGCTGACATAATGAAAATGCCTACATAATGAGATTCCTTGGAGGGGTATCGTCCCGAGTGCATGATCCGCCCCTTATTCTTGGCCTGATCTTGCGACCTGTTGGCCAGGTCGTTACATACCGCCGAATACGAGAGCCAATAGTGGATTTTATCATGGTTATATATTGTAGTACTAATGATAGGTATAGCGCTGATGTGTACATAATTCAAGCTAGTTACACTAAGATGCAAGCAATGAACTTGCAGCACATTTTCAAGGAGCTTTCACTCTATCCATTAACCGCGAAGGATGTTACCGATTTTAAGGCAACTTGGAAGTGCATCCAGTCACGATATGCTCGATCTCTTGCGCGAAGTGAATCTTATCGTTCAGAAATCATCCAGAAGCCCGAATGGGATAGCTACGTATCGCGGTTCGCGGAGCAAGGATCGATTCTTTATTCAAATCAGACACACTTAGACACCTTAAGTAAAGGTCTCGCGCTCGAACGTCAAACCGTCGTGGAGTATCTCCAGCTTCTTAAAGACAGCAAGCCTAAGTATCAAATAGAGGACATAAAAACCATCGAGCCAGGCGCAGATATTCTTGCGGTTATTGATACTGGACGGACACGAACTCGCATGGTACCTATACAGTACGGCAGTCGCTGGCTTTTTGCAGCAGTCTATAAGGATACCATCCACTTGTATGACAGTAGTCCAGATAATGAAGCGCAGCTACTAAGTAGTACAGACGCTACTATTCGTATAGCTGGACCGAAGCATAATCGGTCACGGAAGCAAGACTCTGGTTTATTTATGCTACTCGGGTTGCGCCTAGTCGCTAACCAGGTAGCTCATATAAGTGGCCAGTCGATTGAAACCAATAGCCTACGTACTCAAATTCTAATTGAGCTCGTTACTAAAAAGCTCGACCCCACGGATTATGATTTTAAACGAATGCTCGATGAAGAAGCGGCTTGCGAAGAAGTGGCATGCATGGAACGACAAAATCAATTTAATCCATCGAGTTTTGACAACCTTTCCGGGGGATTGGGAATCTCCCTATACAGCTCACCTTTACCGTGGACGTGGTCTGACGTAGGTGATACAGCACCTAATGCAGCAATGCAAACACAGAATAACTGTCAGACACCAAGACCACCCCTTCTCAACCCACCATCGCCCGTATTGTACGAGCGTAAAGCTATCCTCTCTATGCTTCACGATGCGGTCCGACTTGTCAGATCTGTAGAAGTGAACGAGGCGAAAGATATACGGACCTTGTGGTCTTTAGCCCAGGAGAGCCATTTCAGAAGTGAATTTCACAGGCGTTATAATCGCGCCCTTTTCTATGATCGCTTCAGAGTTTTCGAAACCACGGTGTCTGAAACTCTAACAATTAGTCACGGTATCGACGAGGAGACACTCCAGGAGATGAGAAAGGCTCAGCCGACAAACCATTTCTGGAATACTTTACTCCACCTTCAGAAGGAATCTGATCTCCAAGATTTAAAGCATGCTCTGCTTTGCATTCCAGTACACCACTCAATACTGAGGACCGACAAGGCTCGATCTGCTGCGATCAAAGACATTAAAGAACGCCTCCAGGTTAGTGACGATCCACTACGCAGATGCCTAAATGCAGCAGTAGGACTTTGTGATGCTATTCTTAAGCTCAAGCTTCCATCATACCCTCTCATGATCGAGACCTTCAGGAGCAAGTCCTGTGATCCATTAACGGATGATCTCTATAAGGCGTTTTTAAGTTTAGAACGGAACCCCAGGGTACCCCTGCCAAGCCTATCAGGACCGTAGACCGTCAAAGAGGACTGGGAAAGACGTGTCATATGATAGCCTAGGCATTGAAGCTGTTTCACACGTATTAGACTCGATTCCATAGTCGCAGCTTTTTTCTTCTACTTATTATATGTATATAAGCTACAGCATGCCCCCCTACTGTTAATTCGGGCGGGAACAAACGTATCCCTCCACTATGGAAATCCCACGCCACTATATTCTTATAGCCCTTCATATTGGGGCAAGCATTGTTCTATTGTACTTTCTGTCTACGATTCTACAGAAGGGAGGAAATACCTCTGAAGGCATTGTCCTCCTCTATGTATGTATGAGATCCTGGCGCGAGATCCTGGCGCGAAGGGGTCCTTTACTAAAAAGAGTAGCTCAATCTGGGAAATGCTCGACGTGCCTTTATTCCGTCGCTTCCAGATATTCCGCTACAGCCTTCTGGTGTCGACAATGCTATAACAGGTCTAGCTGCACAAGCTACAGCCGTAGCAGAGTCTGTCGCGGCTCAAGCAACTTCAGCAGTGTCAGCAACGGTCGAAGAAACCGTAGCCTTTGCATCCTCCGCAGTCCAAGGAGTTCTTGCCTCGAAGTATACTATCGGAACGAAGCTCGCTTGCGCCGGAGCGATTTGCAACAGCATCCCATCGCTAGAAGCCGTCGTCGGATGTAGTTTGTCGACCAGCATAATCTCTGCGATATCGATCATAGCAGCGGAAGCTTTAGCTAGGCCGTGGATATTATGGATCGCCCTATGTTCTTCAATGATCTCGATTGTCTTATGTACAGTCCTTGCGGTATGCTCAGCACTTGTAGTTCGCTTGGCGTACCTAGTAGCCGAGTCCCCTCTTTTTACCGTGGACGTAGGTTACGTATATCAGTCATCTTTATGTAGTGCGGCGTTATCTCTACTTGTTTTCGCTTGTGTAATAGTGTATCATATTGCGACGATAAGGACAGATCATACACGCGGGGTTTCACCCATTGGGAGACCACTACCAGGTTCAAGTAATCAAGGAACGGATAAGCACGATAAGGAGTCACGGGCTCACGCCGCGAGACTGTAAGCCTCACCAATGGATCACAGTGATCTGGATCGCTGGATTGCAACGCACGTAAAAGCTGATGAGTAGGAAGGTGTTTTTGACTATAAGGATCTCCTTGCTAGTTAGTGAATATATTTTATCCTTAGCGATGAATCTAATTATCAATTCTACTAAAAGATGAACTATTCACTTAATGACCAGATGTGATACCTCTGCTAGTAAGGCACAAACCAAGAGATACGACAAATTAAGATTCACTATTGCCATGGCTTTTCCTGCTTTTCAGAACAGCAAAATCCTAGTGCCCAGCTAAAGGTTGAGCTGGAGGCTGGATCGTAACACAAATCCTCACCAGTCAAAAGTTATATAGAACACCTACGCTAGGTTAGGGGCGATTAAATTTCAGGTATATCTGCTCCCGGTATATGGGTTATAGAGGTATACTACTCGTTCCTTTGCTTTTGTGGTTCGAATATTGGCCATATCCGAATAGTGGGCTCCACTATCGTACGCTCCATCGTTAGGCGTTATACCGGTAAGTAGGCTACCTTGTAGCCAAATTCGACCTTGCTCCAAAAACGCCAACGACGCATAAATCGCGTTTGATACGCAGACCCCCTGACAACACACCATGGTGTAAATGAAATGTTCATCTACTATATTAACATACCGTTGACCTATTATCGTAGACTGCCAAAATATCTTGTGTTAGATAACTACTACTATCCGACAACATGTACGACGTCCCGTGGAGGGTACATTTGGCCTGGTCCGAGGTACACGACACTAAGATACAAGAATGGAAGGCTTTTGCGGAAGCCCAGAAACAAGAGATTGTTTCTTTAAAGCAGCAACAACACCTTCTGCAAAGAGATCTGGATGAAGCAAACAAAAGCCGGGACCTCCTCCACCGCATTGCAGAAAGGCAGGGGGAGCTCATACGGTCTCTCGATGCAGACCTTCAAAACCTAGCCGATCTCACCCAGGCCCATAGGGAAAACCCGCAACCCACGGAGGCAGTAGATAGAGGGCAGTACGGGCAGGAAATGAACGCCTTACACAATTCCGAAACAGCGTTTACACAAATGGATAATTCTCACCTCTTGAGCTACTTAGCAATGCCCATGTCTACACACCAAGATATTGGCGCGTCTGATAGCTATGGGAATCCTACCGGGACTCAGAATGGAGATGATGCTTGGAGGCTATGCGAAGCGCAGTCTAGGGGTTCTAGCGCGAGCTTGGCGAGTCCAGGTGGTGTATAGTTAACTACTTTGTGTATTTTCTTCTTCTTAGGAGAGCACATAGTACTCCAACATAATCTTATGCTATCTATCTTCGAAATATCTTCATTCTATCTGGTCCATTATGATTCGCAAAAGGCTCCTCGGCTGATGTATAATGTAGCGCAAAATGACTCAACATTGAATCGGCGGCTGCCTTTCTAGTTGCCCTTTGTACTACGGATAAGCAGCAGCCGGAAGTAGCCTTACACAATCGATAAGACCTTCTCCAGAATAGGAGCAGAAGTCACGCTTATTATGTCCTTAGAGGCATATCTATATAAGAATGGCCGCGGCCAGCTACATACTCCACTAGTTAAGTCAAGGCTAAAGTGTGCGGCGAGTTACCTACAATTATCAATGCAAAAGACTAGGACTCGTACTGAGCAAACAATCCCTGCGTCCAGTCGGCCTTTGTCTCCCAGTATGATCGACTTTGAGATCCGTGCCTTAGGCGGCATGACCACTGCATTTGACACAAAGCCTGAGGAGCTGCAGAACCTAAAAAGCCCTATCCCGGTCGGAGATAGAATTATTGAACTGAATGTCGAAAATGCGCGCCTAAGGCGTGAAATAGACTACTACAAGACCTTAACCAACGAGGTCCTTCACCCACTTTTAGCCCACGTCAGGTTTCACACACAGGGACTATTCTCAGCGGTCCAAAGACTTGATGCAAAGATCGAAGAGGCCAATGCGCGATTGTGAGAAGAGTCGACGGGCTAAGTAGAAAAGGCGCGACTTCAATATAGCGCTAACTATACTCTACAAGTGTTGTATATCCATGTTCGGCATTCCCTGCTCTTTATATATGGACGGGATATTAGTCTTGGGCTATAATGGGTCCTTACCTCGTTACTACAGCTCTACTTGATTCAAGAGGCAGGTAGAAAGAAATACTTATCATATATATGTGTAAAGCCAGTGATATTACATGGGCCTGAAGCTCTAACTCAACGTCTATTAGACTGCCGTAAAGAGGGCAATTAACGATAAGATAATAGCTACGACTAGCAACCCATCCGCTGCCCAGTAGAAGCACAAGCCCGCTATCCGATAACAATAACGTACTACCTTAAAAACATAACGTAATCCACAAGTGGGTGAATCACACAAGTGGATGAATCAGTTATCGGGTACTCGTACGACAATATATAAGTCAATTCAACCACAACGCCTCAAATCAATTCAAACTATTCGGAATCCTCTTCTTCAGAGGCAGATATAACTTTCTGACACGTACGAGCATTATGCCCGGGCTCGCCGCAGACGCCACATCGTCGCGCGCGCATTTCGGGCCTCCTCGTACGACCACTATTCTGACTCGTTTCCGCTATTAACTGCTGCGTCGCATCGATTTGAGCCTTCAAATCCTTTGCCTGATCAATTGTGAGGGACCCTCCTTTCTGTAGCTGCTTTCTTTTCGTACGACGACGGCGGCTGAGGCGGTCGTTTGCATCTCGAAGTTCGGCGATTTCTTGGCGCATAAGGTCCTGCTCGTGCACCATCATTATAACTCCTTTTCCTAGCTGTCGTAGGCCCTGAACAATGGACGACGGTGAGCTATTCTGGTGTCGTACGATACGATTTTCAATATACTTCGTCTGCGATTCGGTCTCAATTGGGTTGTTCGGCGTCTTTGAAACCCATGGGGGTGGTAGTCCAGCAGAGGAACCTGGCGGTGTCGGCGTATGAAACTTCACATCTAGCTGCGAAATCACATAATTCGGGTCGTACGGTACTAGGCCTGTCGCTCTGAAGCCTGCCTGGATGTTTGATTTGGTCATTGCAGCGTCGTACGCCTTATAAAAGGCTGGGAGGAAGTCCTCCTTTGAAACGTGGGTTACGTGCGCCCGCATTAGACCTTCGATTTCTTTACCGTACGCCCGTTTCAGAGGTCCAAAACACCCAACATCGAGAGGCTGGAGCTTATGCGACGAATGAGCAGGCATACAGAGCGTAACAATATTCTGTTCCTTGCAGTAGAGCTCGAAATCGACGGAATGGTGGCTCTCGTGGCCGTCGAGGATAAGGAGGCGGTAGGTACCCTTCGTACGACTCTTTGTATGGAAATCGAAGTGTTTTACCCATTCTAGGCCTCTCTCGTTCGTCGTCCAACCGTTTTCTGAAAGCGCGATTACCCAGTTGGCCGGTAGAGGGCTATTCGCGGTCCAGGAGTCGAGGTGGACCTTCCCGGCGAAGATAATGTACGGCGGGATTGAATAGCCGTACGACGCGATACCCTGGATTACTGTAACCCATTCCAGATTGCCTTGTTGTACGGCTCTTGGCCTCCCGCGTCGATCGGAGGTCGTAACGACAGTTTCGGCGGAGATTTTACCCATCGCGAAGCCCGTTTCGTCGAAGTTGTAGATATCGTCATCGTGGATCCCGTATTTCGCGATTATGTTTTGTACGAGCTCAAACCACGCGCGATACGCGTCTGGATCTTCGCAGAGGACTCTCTGGTAGTCGATTCTTCGATTAAAACGCGTACGGAGCTCTGATCGTCGTCGTACGAAGTTTGAGGCCCAGTTCGTTCCGACACGCGGCGCGTCGCGTACGGCGAGGAGTCGATCCGCCATTTCTCGAACACCACTAAGTCGCGGTGGAAATGATCGCGAACCTAGGTCGATTACGTATCGTATAATGCTCTCCTCTTCGTACGAAGTCAATTTCTGGCAGGGTGGTCGGGTATCGCGTTTTTGCTGTGCGCCGCGTTGTCGGTCGCGAAGTGTCGTACGAGGGACTTTGTAGATCTGCGCAGCCTTTCGTACGCTTAATTTTGGATCGGATTGAAGCGCGTTTAGCGCTAGAATAATGTCGCCTTCATTCGATTGCTGTAGCATGATTTTTGGTGGAGGAATATGGGATTGAAGATAGCTTGTACAGAAAGATTGGGAAAGTGGGCGGGTCACCCGTGTGGGCGGGTCACCCGTGGGTTACGTTATTAACGCGCTGACAATTATGCACTGTGTTAAACGAAGAAATGCCTTCCTGGGGCAGAGGAAATAGTGTAAGCTACTAGCGGTGCTTGTTAATCGCCCAAGAGGGCAGTTTTGTACTCTGGACAAACACTTAAGAAGCTATTATCCAGTTACACAGTACTAGATTGATATGCCTGGGACATTTCATGGAGGAATCCCTTTCCAAGATGGCTTAGATAAACAGCCATGTTATACTATGATAGTGCGAGACAGTACTCCGTGATAAGTGTGCAGTCCTCTAAGGTCTCTTCTAGCTCCCATGTCGGGCACTGGTGATCGAGCCACTTGATAGCATAATACACCAAGCCATTACGATCCTCGTAATGGGCACAAACATGCTCAATCTTACGTAAGACAGTCTGTCTAGACCCATACGGCCGTAAGCTACCTTCTTTCCAATCGTGGAGAATGTAGTTATCTTCAAGTGCCCAGGCGAGACCAATAAAATCTGCGGCCTCATTTGAAGTTCGGATCTCTAAGCCATGAAACGTTCGATTATTTACCCTAACGGAACAAAGTACTTGGGTCACAACGACATCTGTCGACCATGTTGTTTGAACGGCCGATCCGCGGAATATCTGTTGGGGTTCAAGTACGATCATTTTAGAATACACAGTTTATAAACGGTAAGGCAGGAAAGAATTCCAAAGAAAATATGTGATGATATGGCTGGAATCGTTGAGTAGATAGTGAAAGCGAAGTTTCTCGTTCTTAAAGAGCCCGCCACCTATTTATATTAAGAAGGCTACAAGTAGAGAGTCCTAGGACGAATGATAGTCCGAAAGTAGCTCGTCCTAGGAGGCTCGTAGTCCCATAACGCCAGTGGTACCAGGATAGCTAGCGATCCTAGGAGAGCCGGTACACCTGTGGTCCCAGGACAGGCAGTGGCCCTAGGACAGCCAGTGGTCCTAGGACAGTCAGTAGTCCCAGGACAGCTAGTGGTCCTAGGACAGGCAGTGGTCCTAGGACAGGCAGTGGTCCTAGGACAGCTAGTGGTCCCAGGACAGCCAGTGGTCCCAAGACAGCTAGTGGTCCCAGGACAGGCAGTGGTCCCAGGACAGGCAGTGGTCCTAGGACAGGCAGTGGTCCTAGGACAGCTAGTGGTCCCAGGACAGCCAGTGGTCCCAGGACAGCTAGTGGTCCCAGGACAGCCAGTGGTCCCAGGACAGCTAGTGGTCCCAGGACAGCTAGTGGTCCCAGGACAGCCAGTGGTCCCAGGACAGCTAGTGGTCCCAGGACAGGCAGTGGTCCTAGGACAGGCAGTAGTCTCAGGACAGCTAGTGGTCCTAGGACAGGGAGTGGTCCGAAGACAGCTTGTACACCCACGGTCCAAGGACAAGGTTAGTCCAAAGCCGAAAATGGAGCGACCCTCCATGTTCCAAAACTAGCTCCTAGCACGGGAGAATGCTTGCTATAAAATGTAGGACTACTCTACATTCTTGCAAAATACTAACTACGTAACTACTCAAGATGGGTCATAAACCTTTCCTATCACTCTTCGCATTCGTGCTTTCACTATCTAAGGGTCTTTGCGACACTTATCAACATAACCTCTTCGAACTTTGTGACGGTAATAGGCATTAATCCCTTATACACTTACATATACTAGTAGCTAATAATAATGAATCTCAGGCATACGCGTACATAGTACACAGTCTCCAGGTGCCTTCTCTGGGTCTGTTATCCTAGGTGCAAACTGCCATCTATGGCCCAATTCATCAAGTGTAGCATACTCGTACCTCGATTTAGCGCCTTGCCTCTGGAACCACGGAGGACGCTTAGCTATATCAGACTCCATAGACGAATGTGGTGGCTATTTCGTGAATTCTTGCGAAAATTGTTTCCTTGATCCGAAGCACAATACGTTATCTTGCGAATGTACATCGCCCTCAGGGAAAAAGATGTCAAGCGTATTGCTAAGTACGAGCTTAACGCCCTCTCTATCTAAGTGAGAAGCTAATAGTTAACTAGGCGACTTTCTGGATGCTTCAGCTGGACATCTAACTTGCTCTAATGGAGCCTGGATTGGTGCTCGTGGTCCCAATATAAAGGCCTGTACAAACACGACTATGACCTTTAATCACAGGCGGAGTCTGTTTGGGAAACTAAGCACACTATAAGATTATGCTATGGAATTACTGATATACTACACTTATTGAGAGCTTCTTCATTATATAATTCGCGATCTTAGAACAGTAGACCAATGATACTATATATGACGTCAAACTGGGACGGTAGTATGAGATGGCGAAGGGAAAGAAAGCTTGCGCTATCAATATGTTCCCATTTAACGACGATACTCTTTTTGCAATAACTCGAATAACTATCATAACTCTTCCCATACGAGGTATTGCCATTCAACCTCTTGCAGTAATCCTATTGATACTACTCGCTGACAGAACGGGCACATTACTCCGATATATCTCATAGACTCCTGGATACAGGACTTGCAGAAGACATGACCTTCATTCGTTAGTCCAAGGAAGTAAGTAAATAAAGACGGATTAAACTTACCGCAGGCCTGTATAGCGATCGGGATTTTGATAATGTCTGAGCAAATAGCGCAATCAGACTCCCAGCCATAGAGCTGTATGCATTGTAATCCCACGCGAATCGCGCATAACAAGCAAAGTGCCTTATTTCTGTTAGATGGTTTGGAATCCCTTCTTGCAGGCTACGTACCGGTTTGTTTCCTAGGATAGCGTAGAGAGTATCACCGCTCACGAGCTCGGATGTACATCTCGAACATAAGTTTCGCTGCGCCTCGCGAAAATCTGGCTTGTCTGTCTGGGCCATAGTCTTCGTGATCATTTGCTCTACAGTAGTGACCGCTACCTGCGTCCGCTTTTCAAACACTAGTTAATGTTTCCGCATGGACCAGCAAGATGTGGCGCATTGTGGCGCGTACTGTGCAGATTGTCCCGTAATAAGTATCCTCCAGAAATGGCGAACAGTAACAGGCGATTGAACGACGCTGGAATTGCCCTATAGAATCCACTGTACAGAACATAGAGCGTCGAGAAACAACCTGGTTATTTGCGACGTCCAAATGCGCGCCATGCTTTTTCTGGTAAGGCGGGCCTTAGCCTGCCCGCCATTGCCCTCCACGACCTAGCAAACTGTACTACAATTCAAAGACTGCTTGATCTATTAACACATGTCTTTTACATAATGTGAAGGGGGCTAGGGCGATCTAAACGTCGTACGGTACTTCTGTAGCTTGCAGACCGTCCTCCGATTATATGCCCTAACTTAGTGAGGAGACGGCCGTGAAGTAATAACCCAATTCGGCGAACCTAGACAGTCTCGAAGGACTTCAAACCACAGAACCTCGATGTCACAGGCCACAACGGAGTTGAGGCCACCACCAAGCAAACATTAGATCAAGATCAAAATCACCATATAAGCGCCCGGCCCTATATTTCACGAGCAAATACCAAGGATACGACTATGAAAATAGTCACACTGCATCTCGGCACATGTGGATTTGGCGTATATCATCCAATAGAGAACCTCAAAGAGACGGCAGGACCCATGCATGGTGAGGCTCTGGACCAAATGGAGCAGCCTGTAGCGAGCTGCCGTCTTCTTTGCCCTGGGCATTGAAGTCGGCGCCCTGCTCGACTAATTGTGCAGCAGGTCGTTGCAGCCCGCACAATGCTGTGAAGTACAAACAGGGACTTGGTATGTCCTCATCATCCCGGTTAGCCCATAAGTGTCTGGAATAAAGAGCCTCAAGCTGAGATGGTACGCCCCCGTGTTACCAAACAGCTCCATTGCCAACGTCGTAGCATGATTTGTGACAGTCTAGTCGACTACGGCATGTTCCGCCCAGTATCTAGCAGCATACTCAGCCAATAGGTACCGGCGCGTGGCTTCTTCGGTGTCAAGGTCGCCAGGGATGCTAAGCAGATATGCCAGACAAGTTTCTGCGATGACCAACCGGGCGCGCTGCTCCGGAAAGTTATTTGCATCTAGGCCCGACACCAGCCATTCCTACACTGAGTAGTGAGATAGCTGGATATCTTCTGAACAGCTTCGACATCTCTGCTTCCCGAAATGACTACCAGACTGGAACAGTACTGCGAGATCTCGTCCGGCGCAGGCATGCGATCTTCTGGGTCAAACCGCCGCTGTCGTTCAGGTCGAAGAAACTGTGGATGAAATTGCTGTGGATGGTTCTGAAAACGCTAGGAACTGTAAGATGTGCGTTGCGTATGGTCTGTTTTCTTGGGGATTTCGTTCCATAATCCGGTTATATGTATCAGTCAAGGTCCCCGAGAGGGATTGCAACGCCTCCTTTAGCGCCCTGTATTGCAAACACTTGTTAATGCGATCGAGCTGGCATATTGCCCATCGAAACCTATAAGCGCGTTAGCACTGATGCCTGGCTGCACTGTGCCATGCTACTTACATCTTATCATCTTTCTCCATCAGCGCGTCTTGGATAACTACCTGGATATCTGGCCTGGATCGCCACCGGCCCAGGTCGTCATCACCATGCACCCTTGCAGAGGGTCAGTAGTATGGGTCATGGCCACATCCTCCACATTGAACGAGGAAGCAACCACCATTTCCAGAGTCACCTCACCAGCAATAGCACTACCGAAGTCGAGAGGCTTAGCGCCTGATTGTTGACCCAACGGAACGCCCCAAATCGCCTTATCTGATCCACACGAGTATCCGTCGCAAGCACCTGTTGCTTTCACGTCGCGCATGAACACTTGCGAAATTCCCAAGGGCACCACTTTTGTGCGGTCACAGTGAGGCTTTCTTTGAACACTGTGCACCACGGCTTTCTGTAGGAGCAAGATGACATGGAAAAGGTGAAGGACTATCATTGTGGAAGCGTAAATAAATACGCTAAAGGAATGTTCGAATACAGTAAGAAGGTTACTCATTAGGGGAACATCTATCATATCCTCCTAAACCAAGAGATCTTTCTCAGCATTCCTTGCTCGGCACGCCATGTGCCTGAGTACTGCAGGGTTAAAGAAGTGTGTGGATGGTCTTGTCCTAACACCTGTAACCTACGTTGGTAGCAGAAATCCATCAGGTCGATAGCCTCCATTGTGCGCTCTTGAGCGTGCCAGGTGCAAGCCAGATTAGGCGTGGAAGGATGATCCGGTCCGAGTTTCTGCTTGCGAGTCTCCGTCACCTCCATAAACAGCTGCTCCGCCTTGTTATACTTCCCATGATCGTTCAAGATCTCGCCAATAATTGAAACACTATTCCATGTCAGCCGGTGATCCTTTCCAAGCACTTCTATCCTAGCGTCCCTCGACTGCTTCGCCATTTTCTCCGCCAATCTGTATCTGCCTTGGCTCTGAGCGTACCCACTGCCATTGTAAAGAACCTGCGCCCACTCCCCGAGCAGCTTTCGACTTTTCGGCCGGTGATTAAGCGCACCTTCAACATGAGCAAACAATGCTCGGCATTTAGCCCAGTTACTGTAGTCCCCAGAGGGGAATTCGCGCGCCATCCGATGCACAAACTGCTCCTTGCACGGGTCGGTTCTGTCTTCGGCACTAAGCCATTTTCTGGTCGACAGCTGCACAAGACTGTGCATCCCGAGGACCGCTCCTGTCTCGTCTGTAGAGATTAGGCTGTAGCTTCGAAGCATAAGTAGATCCTCTTCAAAATCTCGTCCCGCAGAGTCTTCGGAAGTGCTGCTGGTACAAGAATCGTCACTCTCGCGGTCGCATTCGCTCTTTCTGTCGCTCTCCTCCTCGGGTCCACCGAGGTCCAGGTCCACCGAGGTCCAGGTCCAAAGAATTCTAGCGCCATTGAAACATTTGCCACTGAAACTCTCAAGCTTCGGCCACTGAAACTTTTGCCACTGCAAGCTTTGGACACTGAAACTCTGCCAAGCTTGGCCAGTGAAACCCTGCCGCTGAACTCTGCCAAGCCGTGGCCACTGGGTTCCGTTGACGACGATCAGCTGCGGGGAAGTCCTGCCACCCCCACCTTTGTGTAACCTGGTGAGAGCCTGATCTGGTGCCTCCATTTGGGCAGAAGAATCCGGACAGGCACACACACAAGAGATTGTACTAGACTAACAATTCTTTCTCTGGGCCACTCAAATCGCTAAGAAAACTGGACATCTGAACCTATCAGACCTCAATATGCGAGCCTTTCTCCACTTGAAGCCAGAATCTGCGTAAATCGTGTAGGTATTGAGTCGAGGTCGGCGTTGAGCTTGTCCTGCTTCACAGAGTGCCACCCTGTCTCAACGATCGCTCTTAGATCGTCGTCAGTCAAATGAGGCGTGTTCTTGACGTGCCATTTGACTCTTCTAACGTTTGATTCAATCCAGTTAAGATCAGGTGATGAGGCAGGCCCAATGACAAGTTGGTGATGGTTCTTCTTCGCCCACTCCATAGTCTCGTTTGCATGATGGGAGCTATCGCTGTCCATATATAGGCGAACGTCCGTATGTTTAACATGTTCATGGATCTCTGTAAATAGCTGATCTAGCAGAGGTTTGAGGACCTTTGCGGTCATCTTGCCATTCTTGTTTGAGGGTATCGTGTACCATTGTAATGACGACCTGAAGTTGTACCCAACCGCGCAGACAGCGTGGAGGATTGTCTGCTCGTTCTCGTTCTCTAGCTCATCTGCTCCTGCAGTATCTTTCTCCTTATTTCTGATCGCCTGCTTAGCATTCTTGAGCTTCTGCTTTTTCTGTCGTGGGTTCTCCGGCTGTATCACCCAATGTTCGTTCTTCTGATCCGGGCGGCGGTGGACCTTTGTTGTTAACGCAGGCTGGAAGCCGAAATGAACCTCGTCCATTGAGAAGCAATTATGACGCCATCGCGGGTCCCTCCATGGCTTCTTGAGTTGCTGATGGACGTACTTGACTCTCTGCCTCTTGACGGAGTCGCTGAGCCCCTCCTTGACCGTGGAGTTGCAGGTGTGGTACTTGAATGGTTCCATTGCCATTCTGCGTCGTATTGTGCATTCTGCTGCTTCGACGTCGAGGCCTGCTTCCATTGCAGCGACGGGCCAGGGCAGGCGATGCGCCTGATACTTGTCACCTTCTGGGAGATGTAGAAGCCACTGATGAAGCTGCTCACCGTCCTGGAACGAGAACGCCATTGAATGGCCACGATTCTCAGCAAAGTTGATATTGTTTGTACGTCGTCGGGAGGCCCAGTCGGTACAGCGTTGCTTTGGAGGGCGGTCGGGTGAAGGTGATGGGGGCCTTCTGTCACCCTCTTCAGAATCAGGTCTGTCGGGGTCCAGGAGAGGCTCCGTCTTTAGCCATTCATAGCCCTGGGTTTTGGAGACGCCGTAGTATCGGAAAACATCTCTTTTGGAGTACAGCGGGCGTGCATTATCGTCATGCGGCGATGGGTTGCTGTCGCTGCGAAGTTGGTGGTGGTCAGCGAGGAACTGTAGTACGCCCCGCACCTTTGCACGCTTGGGAGTATCGTGCTCAACTTTCGACATCTTGATTGAGCTCAAATGAGGTCTAAAATGGATTGAACTTGCTTGCAGCGATTGCCCTTTGTCGTAGCAATTAAATGATCATTGAATTGTACGTGCAAAATGACGTCGTCGTCGTTGACGTCAAAAATGAGGTCATCGCCGACTTCTTTGTTGTGGTCGCAGGGGTACGCGATTAGCGTGTACGGACCCACTGTCCGGATTCTTCTGCCCAAATGGAGGGTGCCCACCAGGGTCAAAGAGCATCCGGCCCTTTCCATGCTCCTCCCCGACTTTGCTTAGATCTTTTGCTACTTAGTGCATCTTCACTCTGGTTCCTCTATATTACAAGCGATTGCGTACCAGAGACACCCGCACCTTCCCCTCCGCTCGGGATCGAACGCCAGCCATGTCAGACCCCCAGAAATACACGGTCGGTTGGATATGCGCCATCACCACCGAGTCCGTAGCAGCCCGGGCCTTCCTCGACGAAGAACACGACGGCCCTTGCCAAGTCTCACAGCACGACAACAATAGCTATGCCCTGGGCCAGGTCGGCGGCCACAATGTAGTCATCGCCATCCTGCCTGATGCAGAATATGGCATAGTGCCCGCGGCGGCAGTAGCCCGAGACATGCTCCACAGCTTTCCGAACGTGCGCATCGGATTGATGGTCGGCATCGGAGGCGGTGCGCCTAGCCGGAAGCGTGATGTCCGACTCGGTGATGTAGTAGTCAGCAGTCGCGATGGCGGCAAAGGCGGCGTGTTCCACTACGACTTTGGCAAGACTATCCAGAATCAGTCATTTCAAGAGACTGCATTCTTGGACCAACCACCCTTGGTGCTGCGGACGACTGTGAGCACGCTCAGAGGCACATACGAGATGAAAGGCCACCAGCTTGTGGACGATGTGGACAAGGCATTGAAGAAGATCAAGAAGCGAAAAAAAATACACACGGCCTCCTCCAGCAAGCGACAGACTATACAAGCCCGACTTTATGCATCCTTCACAATCGTCTGACGGCTGCGACGTCGCGTGCGGCAATGATGAAACCCACCTGGTGGTCCGGAAGGAACGAGACGAAGAGGAAGACGATCCCGTGATTCACTACGGCTTGATTGCCAGCGGAAGCCAACTGATGAAGGATGCGCGTATCCGGGACAAGCTGGCGGATGGAAAGGGCGTCCTTTGTTTCGAGACGGAGGCGGCCGGCCTGATGAACCACTTCCCATGCCTAGTGATCCGCGGGATATGCGACTACTCCGACTCGCACAAGAACAAGGAGTGGCAGGGCTTTGCGGCAATGATGGCGGCGGCGTATGCGAACAATCTTCTGCGTCAGATCCCGCCCAACAAAGTCGAAGAGGAGAGGCGGATCAGTGAAGTACTTAGTTCGGGTTAGTAGCGCAGTTCTAGTCCATGGAATTTTATCTAACTATAAGTAGCTCAAAAAGGTCTCGAACGTTTACACCTGACGGCGAATGAGACCAAAACTGCAGTTGTGACTATGGAACATAACGATCGCCTCGCTCAACTCGATCGATGGCTTCGCCCACCCGACCCATCAACGAACTTCAATCATGCGAGAAAACAATGGCACGAGGGATCCGGGCTATGGTTCCTGAATAGCGCTGCCTTCAACGAGTGGAAGCATGGATCACATCGCCATCTGTGGCTTCACGGCTTAGCAGGATGTGACAAAACCGTCCTCAGTGCGACAATAGTGGATCATCTCCGGAAGATGGACGATTGCGTCACCCTTGAATTCTATTTCGACTTCAACGACACCGCGAAACAGAAGATGGACGGCGTGTTACGCTCCCTCCTCTTTCAGCTCTACAAGTTAGGGTCTCGCTCTAAAGACCTCGACAGCTTATACCAATGCCACCTCGACGGCCAGCGGCAGCCAGACACACTGACTTTAACAAACTGTCTCCGCGCGATGATCAAGGGCTCGAAAACTACTTATGTTATTCTGGATGCCTTAGACGAGTGTCTGGAGAGAAAGGAACTGCTTGGGTGGATGAAGGAATTCTTCACAATACCCGACCTGAGCCACGTTCATCTGATTGCCACTGGCCGGCCAGAAGAAGAGTTTTTGAGCTTCATTCCCGGCTGGCTCGGCAACGAGCACTGTTTGCCACTGGACAAGAACGCTGTTAACGCCGACATACGCTCCTATGTCAGAGCGAGGCTTGAACAGAGTTCCGATTTCGTGGACAAGGGCCTATCTCAGGATCTCCTCGAACAGATACGCAATAAAGTCGGAGACCGGGCTGATGGCATGTGAGTTTCCCTCTATCATCTATAAACCCAAGCGAATATCTGACATCCAGTATAGGTTCAGATGGGCCGCATGTCAATTGGCCAGTCTTGCAACATGTATGAGTCCCAGAGCTATCGAAATAGCTCTCGAGACTTTGCCCCGGGATCTCGATGAGACGTACCGTCGCATGCTTCGAAGCATCCCGGCAGATATTGAGAAGGATGCCATGCGCCTCCTGCAGTTTCTCGTCCACACCAAGCGGCCGTTGACACTGTTAGAGGCCGTAGAGGTAATAGCCACACAGACGGATGAGGAGCGCCGAGGCTTCGACCCGAAGCGCAGACTGTTTCGTGAAGCCGATATTCTACGGCACTGTCCCAGCTTGGTGTCAGTCACGGACTATGGAAGGACTAGGAAGGAGCTCCATCTTGCCCACTTCTCTGTCAAAGAGTATCTTCTAAAACAAGACCAGTTTGACCTCACCAGTGCCAGCGTTGTCATCACAAGAACCTGTTTGAGTTACCTTACGGGATATCGAGGGTAGCTCCTGGAAAATCAAGCAGGATTTTCCGATGGCAAGATATGCGGCGGAGTACTGGATGGGCTATGCAACTTCGGCAGAGACTTCAGAAGCCGTTGTTCGGACAGCAGTCAGGTTTTTACAGGACGAGTCAACTTTTCAGCGGTGGAGTCGGTTGTATCAGGCTGACCGGGAATCGGACAGCGATCCGGGCCCTCCTCGAGCATCCAGACTCTATTACACTTGCCTAGGTGGACTCGTAGCAATTGCAATAAGCCTTCTGGGCGAGGGCGCCGACGTTAACGCGCAGGGCGGCCGCTACGGCAACGCTCTCCAAGCTGCCTCATCCAGAGGCTACAGAGAAGTTGTGCAACTCCTACTGGACAACGGCGCCGATGTCAACGCGCAGGGCGACTACTACGGCAACGCTCTCCAAGCTGCCTCATCCAGAGGCTACAGAGAAGTTGTGCAACTCCTACTGGACAACGGCGCCGATGTCAACGCGCAGGGCGGCTACTACGGCAACGCTCTCTATACTGCCTCATCCAGAGGCCATAGAGAAGTTGTGCAACTCCTACTGGACAACGGCGCCGATGTCAACGCGCAGGGCGACTACTACGGCAACGCTCTCCAAGCTGCCTCATCCAGAGGCTACAGAGAAGTTGTGCAACTCCTACTGGACAACGGCGCCGACGTTAACGCGCAGGGCGACTACTACGGCAGCGCTCTCCAAGCTGCCTCAGACGGGGGCCACAGAGAAGTTATACAACTCCTACTGGACAACGGCGCCGACGTCAACGCGCAGGGCGACTACTTCGCTTCTTGCAGGAGCTTCATGTAAGGCGGCTCCTCCTCGTCTGAGTCCTCGTCGCTTAGTGGATCAATCCACCCGGAAAGGATCCAGTTCGGGAATAAGTTGCCGATTGCGGATCTACTGAAGATCTCATAGGCTAAGTCTTCCGCCGACGAGGAGCGACAGTAGTGATAACTCTCGAAGACGTTGCTGAATCCCTGCTTTGCGGCGTTCTTTAGGTCGTCGGATATGGCATTGAACGTCTTTTCGGCGATCAAGCTCCCCAGACCTCCGGGAAATCGTGCGGGCCAAGCTAACTCCCAGAGCGTGGCGAAGAGGGTGTTTGTGCCCGCTTCAGCTGAGAGCGGTTGAGAATGAAAGGCGTTGGAAGCACGGTTCCCGAAGCATATCCGTATCGCACGCTCGCAGATGTCCCTGAAGGTGTCTTTCAGCTCATCCAACTCCTCGAGCATGGAAGTGGACTCCAGATATTGTTCTGAGGCTGCCGTCAAAGTCCGCCGAAGAACGGCAAAGAAGGCATTCCTGGGATCGCTCAGACTTGACAGGGATCGTAGATAGTCCCCAAAGCTTCTGGCATCTGCCACTGCCGCTGTGATTGACGGCGAAGGTAGTTCGGTAGCGAGATGTTGAGTGTCAGCAACGGATTGGAGTTGGATAAACACTTCGGCTAGGCATCTTCGGATAATCTCTTCAACATCGTTCTCCCACCTTGACGACCATGTGCGAATGAAAGACCCAGAATCGATAGGACTGGAAGACGACAATTGCCTGAAAGCTTCCTGGCTGAGATGTTCCGTAAGCAAGGACTCAGTTCGCGCCGTGATGTCTGCCTTGATACCTTCGATCGCGTTCGTCCGGCCTGCATAAGACAACTCGTAGGGAGCCGCGCTCTTAAATGCGATTGGAATGCATCCATGGGAGTCCAAGGTATCGAGGAACGTCTTTGAGAGCGTAGTTGTCTTTTCGAGCATCGCTCCGGACAGCATCCTCGATCTGCTCTCGGAGCTCTTGAGCCCAGTCCTCGAACACGGAATCCCAAGTAACACCAGCTAGATTGCCATCGTATGATTGCGTGATCTCGGATCCTAGTTCTCTTGAGAACTGATAGAGGCGGCTGCGCTGCGCTGATCCGGCCGGTAGGAAGTCAACCGATCTTGACAACGTAGTTTGTGTATCGAGCAACCATGGAAAGACGACGTTCGACGCTGGTAGTTGACTATCCTCAAGCGCCCTAGGATCATTGACGAGAATCGTTGAGGCTTCCTCGAGTTCCTGATGTTGGTTCGCAATACGACGCAGCTCGTCAGGACCAACCCCGCGAACATCGCACCGCGAGCGACCAAGGCGCACACACTCAGCACACCGGCTGGAGTCAGACAACGAAACCTCGCAGGACGCAGTGCCTCGACCCTCGCAAAACGAGCAAGATGGCATCGTAACGGCGTTCTGCAGAATGACCGCCAAAAGGGAGTCGCGCTGATGTGTTTTGGCGGCGCGCGGAGCACGATTTTTCGATTGCTTTTCAATTCGACCTGACGACATGATGAGCCTTGAGGAACAAAGAGGCCGGGAACCAGGTCGAAGGGACACACTCACTTATGTACCCACTCTGAGGACAGAGCCAGGGGAGGAGGAGAATAATGTGACAACCAGCCAACAGGAGGGCGCTTGTTTGGGCACAGAGGAGAGGACAAACAAGGCCGCATGGTCGGGCCAAGTACAAGGGCAGGTCATGCGAGGGGCACGGCTGAGTCATCAATCACGATAAGGTACAAGATACCTGATAAGGAATGGATATGTGGATATGAACATATCCAACGACCCATGGATATGGGGATCACAACATATCCAGCGATTCATGGCATAACACGATGAAGGGCAAAGGATATAAGAACACGATGGATTTCCTAGATAGACAGTCATTACCTTTGCACTTCAGCGATCAATCTAAGTATCATTCTCATCCTTCACTTGACCTAGTCACTCAATTGATCCGAGCGTGATATCTCGCAAGAGACACGAACGACAACCCCCAGAGATCACGACACAACGGAGTCAGTATTGCGCAGGTTCTACCTACCTTCTCAGAACATAAACCCCACTCGTCCGGTCAGACGTTGACCCCGGAGGCCGGATCGTGACATGAAAGTGCGGGATAAGGCAGACTCGTCACTCACCTATAACGCTATCCGGTGCATATACATTACGACTTTGCCCTTATATTCTCTCAAGTGCTGGCTTTAAATCATTAACAGTACAAAGTGCTGCAAGTAGCGATTTGGGATAATTAGTTAAATCAGTCGTGGGGGCTTTCTGTCAATGTTAGGTTCAGTGCAACCAATGGAGTTGCATAGTGCTAAGAAGTCTACGCACAGTCTGAAGCCATATGGGTCAAAGGAGTCCGTGCGGAGTCGACGACTTTTCTGCATTTCACGGACACTGATCGTGGTCGCCACTGTAATGTAACGGCCAACCAACAGGGGATGAGTTTGGGCACGGAAAGGAGCACAAACAACTAGGCCACAGGATCAGGCCAAGGACAAGGGCGGATCATGTGGCAGTGCCGTCACAGATTTCTTATGTAAGCACGATAAGGATAAGGGACACGGGCACAGCACCACCGGTCATGCATCTCATGCATGACCATCACGAACGCCAAGACTGACGGTCACAACCAAACCACCATGACCGTCAGCCCGGCATGTCATGACCACGATGAAGGACAAAGGATATATAGAGGCCGGAGGATCTCCTTGTAGACAGTCATTACCTTTGTACTTCAGCGATCAATCTAAGTATCAGTTTCACCCACACTTGAACTAGTCACTCAATTGCCGAGACTGGTATCTCTTCCCAGAGACACGAACGACAACCCAGAGAGAGAACGACAGCAGAGTGTTAGTTGTGATTGCACAGGCTTTACCTATCTTGCAGAACAGCAACCCCAGCGCCCTGCCAGACGGTTGACCCCGGAGGCAGGATCGTGACATGTAAGGGAGGTGATCAAACTCCATAGAATCATATAGACTTAACTTCGGAAATACGCTCGCTGGTAATTTAAGCCGCTCGTACACTGTGAAGTGGTCAAAATGTATAAGCTTATGGAGATCTAGAGGACTTGAAGTGAACGAGCCCTTGAATAACGGTGCTCCCTATAGAACCACTTCATGGATTTACTCCTCAATATTTAAACGCCTACCGTCTTGTCGTACTCCCGTTGTGTCTATCTTGACTCAGGCCCAAAATCATTGACAGAATCCTCAGGCCATTTGCTCGAGAAGGTTTACCGATTAGGTATAGCGTTCACATGACATACCGATTGGGTATAGTCCCCTCCGTTGCCTTGGCTCGAGCAAATGGTCTGACCCCGCTGAGGTAAATAGCTTGTGTCGAGGAGTGCATGTGACTTACCGATTAGGTATAGTGCGACAACCACAAATGGCCTGAGCGCTGCTGAGGTAACATCAAGGGAAGCGAGTATCACGTGACTAATTCCGACCTCTTTGCGGGTCAAGCGACTGGACCGTCAACAGCAAGTTATCATTCGCTTCTCCTCCAGCAACCGGAGACATTGCTACTTTCCCACTTTCGACGCCAAGACGAAGCCCATACGAAATAGAACGCCACTCGCAGTTACCACTGACAACAAGGCGATCCAGAGTGCCAGAGCGCCTCCGACCAAACACCCTGTCCGTCTTCTCGACCGATACAGTACGACCAGCTACAGTCCGCTTGGGACCACTAGACGATGCCGATAATGGATAGCACCGGCGCGAAGTAGCGCGCAAAATAAGTCCGAGAATGATACTCCATACGCTGGAAGTGCGACCTCCCCAAGAGGAGCTGTGCATACAGCATCAGGTGGATCTCGCCACATGCCTAGCGCTGGGAGACCTCTACACCTCCCAGGCCCGACGTAAAATTGCAAACCTGCTACAAGATGATGTCCGTAGGGATGATACGGAGGTTAGCGTTCTGTATGATGCGAGAGTGGGACTCGTATTGCCAAAGAGGGAAAAACGTACAACGCCAGGCATTCGCTGGTCGTCACCGTCGTCGCTAACAGCATGGATATGCGCTGACATGTGAAAAGGTGCAGCGGGCGATCAACAGTATCTTGGAACAACGCTGTGGCACATTGAGCTGTGCTGATCGTCTTGTGTTTTGGGTAGAAATATATGGCCTCACTTCAGCTCTCTCGGTCAGTTCGGTGAAGGTCAATGCCCCTCCAAGCCTTTCTGGTATGCTGGCAAAGCCCACCTCGTCATCCAATCTGTCTCCAGCACCTTCTTTACATCTGGTCGCTCGCTTGGCCTCCATGCAAGCATCCACCCCAGGAATTTGAACAGCGCATCCCGCTCGTCCTCACGAATCGTTTCCATATGCCTAGACTGTCGCGGGTTTTGTACCCACTGCTCGAACCGTCGTTCCCATGACCAGATATCGGACGCATTGCTCAAGGGCTTGCCCGCTTCATCGTACCACTTCGATCGCTTCTCCCATTTTACCCACCACTCAGGTGGCATGGGACCCTGCAGTTCTACCTGCTGAGCCGTGATCTCGTCCTGTGGTGCGAGGAACCCGTCGATGAGCGACCTATGGGCGAGGAGCTCAAAAATCACACAACCCAGGCTCCAAATGTCAGAGGCAAATGTGAGGGGCGTTGCTGGCTCAAAGAATGCCTCGGGTGGGCGGAGTACAAGGGGTGTGTATGACTCGAATCGAGACTTGTCGCCGGGGCGGAAGGTAACTCCAAAGTCGCTCAGTATGAGCTTCGCCTCGCCTAGGGTAATCTCATTGCTTTGTATGCCCAGCCACACTGAAGGCACTGCATAGGAAGGAACCCCGGGGTCCATTGATGCTGCCTGGGTGTCGAGACGAACTACTGGCTCTTGCTCCGGCTCCCCGTACCGTGCATACAGTTGCTGTATCGATAAGTTGTTGAGGGATGAGGGCAGTTGTAAAAGAAGATTGCCGAGATGAAGATCTAGAGCACGGTGTCAGCTGAGTTATCGGCGTTTGAGGCGACGGGATGCTCACCTCCATGGGCATAACCCTGTGAGTGGACGAGGGATACGGCCATGACTAGTTGCGCAGCAAGAGATCTGGCAACATCAAGCTGAAATAAGGAGCTGCCTGATGCCTCCCTTGCATCCCGCAAGCTGCACCGTGCTGGAAGGGTCACGAGACACGGATGAGTGCCATTGGGCCCGCTGAGATCGAAGCGATCAAGAACGACAGGAATCAGCGACAGCTTGTCTTCCGAGTCGATGTAGGTTGCAGCGCTCTGTGTGAGCTGAGAGAGAATATCAACCTCAGTGCAATCCGAGTCCGCGGTGCCGACTTTGATGGCGACATATTTTGATGTCTTCTCGTCGATGGCAAGCCAGGCAGTGGAGAATGTGCCGTGGCCGAGCTTGTGCACTATTCGATATCGTTTGTCAAGCCGATCGTCGATGTGAATTGGATGATAGCCACCCGGTCGGTAGTCGCTGAGATGCTCTACTCCATCGACGTATCCGTACTCAACAGGCGGTGCTGACATAGTCGAGTAATGTGACTGGAGGAAGCTGGATCCTATGCGCCGTAGAAAACAGGGGCTCAAAGAGCAGACCCTTGGGGTTGTCGCGCGCCACGAAATGACCTGACGCCAAGCACTCATCTGCAGCGCATGAGAGATCGCCGCTTTTTGGTACTGGGTGAAACTGAAGACTGAATAGTCGGTCTGGAGGCAGGTGCACCTGTTTCTGATGATTGAAGACGTGTTGCAGACAGTGTCCAGATCCACCCTTGAGGTGGCCCATTTTCGGTGGGCCCCCAACGAGCAGGCGGTAAGACATGATGGTTCCTATTGGATACAGCCGTGATGACATAGTGCCTGGGGTATGTTGGGACTTCCCTCGGGGGGCGCAGCTGCTGGGTGGGTCCGCTAGTGAACTGAAGCGCCCATTGCGACCTTCATCACGCCCAACGCACCCCATGCACCCCAATCGGATGAGCATGAAGAAGCTCCTACGACAAGCGATGAAACCGCAAATATGGTTCACAACGTGAAAGAGGCCATAAATGGTCTGTTCCAAGCGCCTACGACAGGCCCCGCCAGCCTTTGCATGGAACTTCGAGGATTTAGCGCCCAAGAGGCGGCTTCAGGCTAGAGCTGTGGCCGGCTGCCACGTATGGGCAAACAGCGAAGACCAACAGTAAATTCTCGTATCAGGTATTTAATAGGTTGAGAATTCCGCATCTTGAGTGTTACATCTCTCGATAACTAAGCAAAACTTCCTCGGGCATCATGTCTTCCATCAACATTGTCAAATACTACTTCCACGCTAAACAAGTCCCCAGAAGCGACGCCAGGATGCGCCAACTTGTCGCGTTGGCGTATCAGACAGCGCGCGACAAGCAGCTCTACCCCAGGGCAGTCTTTGTTCGGTATGCTGCCATGTCAAAATCAGGAATCGGGACAAATTCCTGGTCCAGGTCTCGTCCTACAATGACTGACTGACAACAGGAGCGAAGTTCACTCAACGACGACCATCAACGGGAGACGTCAGAAGGATCCCAGGGGAGATCACGTCACGTTCAGCTACAAGACGCAGGACCATTTGGGTCGCGAGACTCATGTCGCCTGCCATGGCTATGTCAAGGATCCCGATACGCTGGAATTCAAGGAGGCGACCCATGCAGCTGAGAAGCCTGACTCCACCATGAAACGGAACAACAAGCCAATTTGGCCGGATGATGAGGACCTCTGGGAGGCCCCAGATGTAGGTTATGGACACATGTCTTGAGAGACCCGTGTGCCTTCCTGGGTGCACTTCCTCAGCTTCATAGGACATGGACCACATGCTCACGCTCATGCAATACCATTTACTAAATACACACCACATTCGTCTTCTCATATGGGGATTTTCACTACAGTACCTACCTCCTCTCTATAAAGGTCATGGCCTGACTAATAACCCGCAAGGCAAGAGTGAACAAGATAGGGTTTATGATAGCTTGGACGATCGGCAAAAGATCATCGTGGATCGCGCGATGGACTATACCAACCAGGGGGGTTTCTCATCGGCTACGGCCTCATACATCTCCGACAAGATGAAGCTGGGTGAGGCCAACCTGTGAGAAAAGACGATATTGGAGGGCCATACCGAAAATGCAGCCACATTTCAGGTGGGTTTACTCGGATTTTATCCCCAGGCAATGTACGGCAATGGAAATAATTGGAACAGAAACGCTCGGCAATGTCCCATTCCTAGATCGGGTGCCAAGCCCGGCGCTGGCCTTCATGGCCGGAGTAGTGCGGGCGTCCATGCCAAGGTCAGCTGCATGTGGTTTGGCAACCATGAGCAGAACGGCGGTCGACAAGGCCGTATGTATATCTCCAGCACTTCCAGAAGGCATCTGGAGAAAGAAGAACGACTGCCGTGTGGTGCCTCTTCCACATGCGTTCAGTTGAGGTGTGTACTGTATCTAGTGAGTACAGATGTCGTCGGCCGCTGAGACTAGTCATAGCTGAAGCCCCCAACCCTCAAATGCCTCCCAATCGATCAGATCCGGCCAGACAAATTCCTGAGTTTCCGTCGTATCGAGACCCATGACCCCTTGTGCATCTAACGTGGGGTTCTGATACTTTGATCCATGCAGATTCTGCAAGGCAGACTCACCACGGTGCTTCCTGATACCTTGTCTCGACTGAGAGGGAGGAGCCGCAAGATTGATCATGCAGAGGCCTGGCCAACCTCATAATTTCGTCAAGATGCGTCCGGAGGGCCGTGCTTCTACCCAGCTCAGCTCTGCCGGTGGCCTGCGAAGTGTGGCTTTGGGTAGCAATGGCGTCATCCCAACGACCTGGCTGCCTCCGGTATATCTCTCGGAAAAGCCGGTGGTGCTGCTCTGCTGTTCAGTGGTGAAACTCGGCCCGTTCATGCCTTGCCCTGATGTTGGAGATGGGTATTTAAGCCGTCGTAGCCCAGGACTCTACCACATCCACGCTGACCTGCCATATTCACGTTCAGCCCATCGACCAGTCATGGCCACCATCGCCGCCTCCAAGATCATTCAGTACGGAGCGATTTGGATCGTCCTCTACGGCCTTGCAGCCATCATCATGCGGCTTCTTGACATCGTTTTGCGATGTGCGGTGGTCTGGGCTATTATGCTCCTCTTCAACGAGGTGGCTTCCCAGAGACATGGCCCAGCGAAGTCCTGTATATGCGACAAAGAATCCAAAGCACAGTCAACCGGCTTTGAAACCCGTTACCGGCCGATTAACAAGCCTGTGTCTCATGAAGGCAACTTTCCGTTCTTCCCGGGCTGTTACCCGGACCTGAGTGAACGAGAACTCGCTAGGACTTTGAATCATGATGCGGTAAGTGAGCCAGCTCAAATGCCGTATTGTGTGCGCATCTGATGACGGAACTCCAGATTCCCCCGCCTTACTTTGAAGAGGATGTTGTCATGGCCAATGCGGATCCCTATGCTTGTGCTTTTGCCACGTAGTTGATCATGCGACCGGTCACCTGGCTTTGGGCTTCGAGACTCGGCAACATAAAGGGGTTCACTGGATGGTGAAAAGACGAGCCGGCCGCCCACGGCGTGTCCGGTGTAGATGTTGCGCGGAAGTAGGGCCGGGATGATGCGGGCGGTTGTTGCGATGAAAGGCGTGACTTGGGGACACTGGGATGACTCGACGGCATGGTGCAGGAGCGGGCTGTGCGCGAGCGCGTTCCATGCGGCCTCGGACTGAGCCTCTTCTCTGCAGCTGGCCGCGGAAGCTAGGATCCGATGCAGCTGACGAAACTCGTCGATCGCGAGCTCGTCTGAAAGACAGTACTTGTCTTTGTTCACCTGGTGCTGGTGAAAGCTGTGCATGGGGTTGCCCCCCTCTCTGGCTGCAGCATTCGCAATAATGGCGGGGACGACCTTAACCCCAGCCGCGACCTTATCGAGATCTGCCAACAGCGCGTCGACGCTTGCGTGGCGTGGCGCGCTGTGCTTGTAGAAGTCGCGCACCTCGATGTTGACGGAGCGCAGGTCGGCCGTGCTCTTAGCAGGACTCCTTGACCGTTTGCTTGGTCTTGATGCCGACGAGGAGCTCGGTGTGGCAGCCCCAGCCCCAGCAGCAGGATAATCCGTTTGCTGCAGACTGAGGGCCGTCGCCCATAACGATGGGGGTAGCTGTGTCGGAGCTGGAACTGGGGCTGGGGCTGCGGATGATACTTTGCCACGAGGTGTTGGCTCCTCCTCATCCTCGCCACTGCCGAGTGATTCGACTGCAGATCTCTTGCGCTTCGTCCCCCGCCATTGAAGAGGTCGGACTCGGTAATGTGCTCTTCACATCGACCTTCGCGTCCACTCGTAGTGTTCCGTTGCCTTTGCGTCGCTTCGTGCTTCGGGTGTCGCTGTTGGTACTGTCGTCGCAGGAGTCCAGGCTGTCGCTACTTTCTCTCGGTCTTGTTCTTGTGGTCTCGGAGATCCAGGCCGCGATTGCGAATCCCGACATGACGAAGATTGAAGGTTTGTGGTTGCGATTGTGATGTAATATCGTACTCGTGTGTGAGCAGCTGTGGAAATTGGAGTCGTTGAAATGGTTGCCGCGCGTACACCTGTTTTGCAACGGTTTTTTTTTCAGCACGCTACCCCAATCAATAAATAGCTTCGTTGGATCTTCCTAGGGCCCGCGCTCCTCGCCCCCTCCCCATTCCTCTAATCACGACTCGTTCAAACCCCGACACGCCCCCATGAGCTCATGCAGCTCCGCCATGCTCGCGCGCCCGACGTTACCAAAGTATGCAAGCTCCGTGAACCGCGGCTCGCTCCAGACCCGCGGGTCGAGCAGGCACGCCGCGAGCCAGGCCAGGCCGACGGCGTGGCGGTGGAGGCCACGCAAGGGGGGCGGCGCCTGCTTGGTGGTGGTGGTGGTGGTGGCAATGCTTGGTGTTGCAGTGGCACCGAGCAGCCCGTGTGATGATAATGGCGGCCATGTTTTTGGCGTTGGCATGCCCGCTCCGCATGCGGGCTGTACGGGCGACTCGATGGCGTCCCAAAGCCGGCGCCATCGGGATATCGCCATGCGCAGGGAGGGTGCTGTTTGCGGCAAGGTTGAGCTGAGGCGGGCAGAGAGTATGACGGATTTTATGGCTGGCAACAAGAGTCAGAGATTGGCTTGCTCGTATCTCATTCTGGCTTCAAGCACAGGGGAGGCCACAGAGTTTGGAAAGAGTATCAACGCACCGATAATTATGATGATGAGGTCGATCCGACTTATCTGGAGCCTGAACTCCCCGGATATTGATCCCCGCCCTGTCTCGTCGCTCATGAGCAGTTCCACGGCGTGTCCGATCGAATTTGGAGATGCTGCTACCGGGGTTGTTGCTGTGCTGTCATCTCTATGTTCTCTCGATGGTCTCCATTCTTGCTCATGGGCCAGTACCAGCAAGCGTCTCAATTCAGCAGCGTCTAGAGCCTGCCATAGTTCCAGTGCACACGGCAAATCTGCCTGCAGCTCCGAGACGCCCAGGGTTGGCTGAGCATTGAGACAACCGGCCCGGAGCCACGCGTTCATGGCTGTCCAGTTGGCAACCCTGACGGATGGTTGCGACATTAGCGTTTGTACTGAAAGACAGCATGCAGCGGAGCTCGGAAATCATTGGGAAAGTTTGTCTCGTGCAGAGCAGGTGGAAACGAGGTCACACACCGTATACAAGACTCTTCGTGAATGAACGTCTGCCAATCCATCTCTGGGCTCAGAGCCTCGGATCGACGTGTCTTGGTCAGCCCAAACAAACGCAACGCCGCGGTCAGCTGCTGTAGTCTCTCCAACGGAACTCCGGAGCCGAGGTAGCCCGCATCAGTATCATTGACCGTCGCCATGGCGCTGTTGATAATGAGCGCCGCGGCGATGATGTCGACGGTGTCCCTCAAGATGGGCCGCTGCTGCTGCTGCCGCGACAAAGACGACGACAACGTGGCCGCCACGCCGCTGGAGACAAACTCGTGCATGAGCGCTTGCATCCGGCAGAAGATGAAGTCGGCGGACAGCCCCATTAGCCTACGGGCGGCGAGGACGTAGTCGTGCGGCGCGCAGCGGAGGGACCCGCTCATCATGGCGGCGAGAACGAGCTCCGGGCGCGAGTGCTCGAGGCTGAAGCTTGCCTCGTGCGTGACGGGGAAGTCGGGCACGGTGGCGCGGAAGTAGGCCGCCGTGAGGATGCGGGAATGGTTGGGCTGGAGGAGGGTGTCGGCCATTGCCTCGTTGAAGGCTGGCATCGAGGGGGGTTGGCCTGAAGATATCACGTGGGACGTGTCGCGGAGTCCGGATTTGATTTCCGCGAGGTTATGGTCGAGGGCTGGAGTGCTGCTGTCGAGCTCGGGAATGGACACGGCCATGTCAAACAAGTCCTCATTTCCCATGGAGTCGAAGAAGAAATGGTCGTTAAGGAAGCCGGAGACATACGAATGAGGCGTATTGCCAAACTCTGGCTCTGGCTCGGGGTCCTTCTCGTCGTTGAAGACGGCCATCAAAGTGTCTGCCGAGGGGTGAGTCATGTCGAGGAGGAATGTGATGGACACATTGTTGTCTGTTGCCAAGCTAATATCGCAGCCTGGCAGTGAAGGGCCCGGTGATGATACTGTTGATGCTGTCAGCATGTCCTCAACCGGGACGCGGTCGTAGATGCACTCGACGTGCCGGTCCCTGCAGCGTCGGCAGGGGTGACCGAGGTCGCATGCCAGCTTGCACTGGAAGCACGAGGCGCATGCACGCGGCTTCTGGCCTCTTTTTGCGAGAGGAATGACATAGTCCTTGGTATCTCCTGGGCGGTGGTGGCAGGTGGCGGCATGTTTACGACAGACATCACTAAGGGTACGTCGGGTGAGTTGAGTCCAAGCGTCACTGGTATATGGAAACAAGACGAAATAAAGAAATGATACGTACCGCCTGGCGAAAGTCTTGGGGCAGTAAGGGCAGGAGAACCGGCTGGAGACATGGTCTAAACAAGACGAGGCGTGGTTAATAATTGCTCCGTCGTCAAGTGGTGAGAGGTTAGTGGGAGACTGACGGGTGACCTCGTGCCGGCGCAGGTGGGTGCTCCGCTGGTACATCTTGCCACAGACATGGCACTCTAGGGACATTGCGGCAGGCGGCAGTCGACGGTACGGGATCGGATAGGCCGCGGCTGTCAATCTGGTGGGTTTGAGAGGTCAGACTGGCAGAGACGGATGGTGGGTTTTCAGGGTGCAGGTGGGTTTTGTCCGACGACGGTCGGCACCACAAGAACCACATGGGCAACGCTTCCGTCGCCGCTGCGGCGTCTGATTGGTCGGCCCCTAGAGATGTACTATCCTATATGGCCGGTGTCATCTGGACCTTGTGCAAAAGTAGTGGTCGCCTCAATACCTGATCTAGGTCTATTTCGTGCTCCTCCCCTTCTTCCATCTCTTTCCTGTCACTTTCCCCTCCATCCCCATCAAGAGTTTCTTGTTCCACCGTGAGCCAGGCAAAGCACAAGCCAAGACAAGATGATGAAACCAAAGAATTGCAGATTGCCAGGTGAGATCCCACGTCCGAGCCACCTCAAAAATGGCAGCCAGAAACCTCCAGTTCATTATGCTGACTGTGAACTTGAAGCAATCCCTGGCCTCCGCTTCTGTCACCTGGACAGCCCCCCCACGATAAGTCGGCATTCAGCGTTGGCACTGCACCAGCACGCAAGGTCTTTCTCGCAGACACGACGGTCCTACAAGCCACAAGCAACACATCAAACGCCTCCCGAACATGGTACCCGAGCCTTGGCCAAGCGACGAGAAGTCCCGCTGGGCGTGCAAGACAACTCGGCGGCAGAATATGTTCTGTGCGATTAACCCTCTCCCTCAGTGAAAAAAAAGAAAAAAAACACCGCCTCAGGAGCTGACTTCACAACCCGCAGCACCACGATGGACAAGCTAGCAGGCTGGGCCCGCTCGGGCTCCCTCTGGCCGCTCACCTTCGCGCTCGCCTGCTGCGGCATCGAGATGATGCACGCGAGCATGCCGCGCTACGACAACGACCGGCTGGGCATCATCTTCCGCGCCTCGCCGCGCCAGTCCGACGTCATGATCGTAGCGGGCACCGTGACCAACAAGATGGCGCCCGCCCTGCGCCAGCTCTACGACCAGATGCCAAAGCCCAGGTGGGTCATCTCGATGGGCAGCTGCGCCAACGGAGGCGGCTACTACCACTACAGCTACAGCGTCGTCCGCGGCGTCGACCGGCTCGTCCCCGTAGACGTCTACGTCCCGGGCTGCCTGCCGACTGCCGAGGCGCTGCTGCAGGGGATACACTTGCTGCAGAGGAAGATAAGGGGAGAGAGGAAGTCGAGGATGTGGTATCGCAAGTAGGTCCCGGGGACCAGGTGAGTTTGGCCCGATGGGTCTGGGGTGGACGGAGGCATCGGAGAGCTGGGTTGCGATGCGTCAAGTCTTCTTCAGACTACATCTACCACATTGCTAGAGGCGTGGGCAATTTGTCCATATTTAATTTCAACGTGGGCCGTGGTTTTGTGGAGGCAAGGTATGAGTAGGAATATTTGACCACTGCTCGACGCCGAAGCTAAGTGATAAACAAGTAAGGCAGCCAACTGCATCTCACTAAACCAAAATTCAACTGAGCATAGAAGCAACAAGTCTTCCCGCGACGCCCTTGCCACCATCGCCAGAATGCCGCAAGTCACCTTCTGCTCGGATAAATGGACGTTCCTCTGCCTGTGTCCCATGCTGAACTCGTCGTTCTCCTCCAAACTGAATGAGATCATCGCCCCTGCCTCGACCCCATGATCGCAGGTGACACCACTCTCCACTCGAGTAACTTGATGGACAAAGCTTCCCGTTCCAGTCGAACCAACAGACAACCCGGCATCACCCAAGCATATCGTCCAGGCTTTCGACCTTGTACAGCTGGTACGAAAGTTCTGCCTGCGGATAGACGCTGGAATCCGACCCGGAAAGAATGCACACAAGTCAGCATGGCCGCACTTTACCCGGCTCTTCACCCGTGAGGATATCTACCTCACCCGCCGCAGGCAGTCCATCCTTATGCGCCCTGAGAGCCCGAAACAGAGTGAGCACAACATGTCAACGGAAAAACGGAAACCTACGCAATCAGCGCCTCCACCGCGCTCCGCGCGACGTCCCTACCGACGCACGTCGTCTCGACCCGGACCCCGCTCTCCGAGTGGCGCACAAAGTTGGGCTTGAGCCCCCTGGGGCGGTACTTTTGGTGCGCCCCGTCGCTGTAGTACGTGGCGGCCTCGGTGTAGTCGCCGCCGGCCGAGCGGCCCGCGCCGACGGCGAAGATGGCCCTCTCGCACACCTTGACCTGCGAAGACGGCGCAAAGAAGACGAGCCGGTAGACCGTCGGCGGGGTGTATTCTGGTGGTGCTGACCATGACGTGGGGTCAGGGGCGTTTGGTGGAGGGCCGGAGCCGGAGCCGGAGCAACAGGGCTGCTCGTCATGGGAGTTGTGCTGCATGATCTGAAGCAGGGCGTAATGTCGTTTGTGAGTCTTTGTGTTTCTGGCTGTGATCTACAGGTCCGGCAGGATATCTCCTGTGCGTGCTCCGTGGCTGTGCTTTTGGGCTGTGCTTTTGGGCTGTGCTCGAAGCTTGTAATCCGTCTGCACAATCATCATATAGCGGGGTACCCCGCAGGACCTACTCGTGCCACGCCCCACTTATAAGGAACGACTTTGGTCGCACCTCATACAGAGGTGCTCGACACCCAAATGCGCAGACCACCAAAATGCGCCATTTTTCGACCATCGCGACAACTTTCTACAATGGCACGGCCCCCCAATAAGCTGAAGACGCCTGAACGCGTCCAGGCGTTACAGCAAGCAATAGCATACATGAGGAACAACCCTCGAGCTCATATTACCAAAGTTGCACGAGAATTTGGTGTTCAAAGAGATGCTCTACGAAGACGCGTCAATAACGAAGTGAACGACAATCGACGGCATGCATCCAACAAACGTCTCTGCGAAGCAGAGGAGGTCGCTTTAGAGCGCTACATCGACCGTCTCGATAATTGCAACTTATCGGCACGAGTCCGCTTCGTTACTGATGCTGCAAACACCATTATCGCTGCGAGGTCGTCGCGTTCTCAACCCCCCCCAACCAGTCGGTCAGAATTGGGCTACCCGATTTCTCGACCGCCATAACATCTCGAGGCGACGTCAAAAGACCCTCGATGCGAACCGAGCCTCTGCAGAGAACGTCGATAAGGTTGTAGAGTACTTCAATAAACTCAAGCAGGTCCTCGACGCAGAGGGGTTCCAGCCTGAAGATATCTGGAATATGGACGAGACCGGCTTCCGCATCGGCATCGGGAAAGATCAACTGGTTGTTACAAAGAAGGCTCAATCCGACGATTGCCTCATCGGCGTACCAGAGAACAGAGAGTCAGCTACAGCAATTGAGGCTGTCTCTGCAGCAGGAGCCTACATCCCGACGTTCCTCATCATGACCGGGATCACCCATATGGCACTCTGGTACCTCACTCCGGAGCTCCACGAGGATACCTCTATTACGTTGATGGAGACGGGCTACACGAACGACAAGATCTCTCTTGCCTGGATAAAGCACTTCGAACACCATACAAGGAAACGTTCTCTAGGCCATAAACGACTGCTTATCGTTGACGGCCACGGATCGCACCATACTATAGAGTTCATCAAGTTCTGCGACGCCCATAACATCGTGCCCTTTGGCATGCCCCCCAATTTGATACATCTTCTGCAGCCTCTCGACGTTGCTGTATTCCAGCCTCTCAAGCACTTCCAGGGCGTCGCAATTGATGACCTCGTCCGGGATGGAATCGACCGCATCACGAAGCTTGAATTCCTTGCATACATAGAACACATCCGGCGACAGGCCTTCAAAGAAACGACAATCCAATCTGCCTTCCGGAAAGCAGGTATCTGGCCATTTAACCCACAGCCAATCATTGAGGCCCTCGTTAAGAGGCTCCCTCGAGAGGTCACGCCGCCAGCACAGGATGAGTCCAATAGCTCGACACCAGTGTGGCACACGCCTATAACCATTCGACACTTCCACAAGGTTACAGAACGACTCATTGATGACTTGAATGCAAGCGACGAAGAGCTGCCGTCAGAATGGTACAAAGATTTCGACCGGCTTGTCAAAGGTGCAATTTCCAATGCAGCTGAGTTACTTCAGTTGAAAACAGACCTCTCTAGGACGCGCATGGCAGAGCGCCGCAGACTTCAACAACGTGCCGCTAAGAACACTCCGCTACAATCAGGGGGTATTCTAACAGTCGCCGAAGGTCGCCGAATGGTTGTTAAGCGTCAGGAAGACGAGGTTGCGAAGGCACGTCGAATTCTAGCTCGGGAGGCCGAAAAGGAGGTTCGCAAGTGGAAGAACTTTTGCGACGCAGCATGCCGCACAGCACGTAAATGGAGGGCAGACCCTGAAAAGGAGAACATGGGGAGGTATCTCGTATGGGAGACAGGCAAACCAATGCGTGAATTACTTCGATTCTAGCACAATTGACAGAGTTATCGTGAAATCGTCAAAATGGCGCATTTTGGTGGTCTGCGCATTTGGGTGTCGAGCACCTCTGTATGAGGTGCGACCAAAGTCGTTCCTTATAAGTGGGGCGTGGCACGAGTAGAAGGCCGAATCACTTATCGCTCGTGGCAAAAGTGCAATTATATCTGCCCAGGCGGAACTCTGAGCGACAGGGTGCACAATTGGTGTCCGCCGCGGCCGCGCATGTCGGACAAGACCGAGGACCGCACGCTCTAGGCGTCCACAACACTCCTAGTAGTGAAGTGGTTTGTTCGCACAGCAGGGACAGGGTCTTACTCGCAGAACACTGTGCCCTGCTCGACCAGTGGGCCGGAGGGCGTCGGTGTCGACGAGGTAGTCGAAGCGGTTGCCGTGGATAAGTCGGAGGCTGTCGGCGAAGCGGACGAAGATGAATCCATCATAGTTAGCGAAGATTAAGTCGAAATAGTAGAAACTGCCAACTGCGAATTAGAAGATGGGGAGGCAAATGTCGAGGTTGCCGGCGCACCAGACGAGGTTGTCGGGTACCCGAATTAGTAATTATAGACCTTAATACGCTCAGGGCCGCCGTACTGCTAGCTAGCGTTACTCGCGCACTTAGCCGAGCACTCGCACCTAGGTTGGGTGAGACTATCGGTCCTAGTATTATTACCCTAATAGTAGAAGGTCGAATGCTTGAGGCCAAAGTACTAATATCCGTGATAGAACGAGATGTAATTTAAGACGTTCATCGAGTTAGATATGGTCGAAATACCGTCGAGCATATAACCGCCTAGGGTACTGTCTACGAAGCAGCCCACAACCGTAGGACCACTGGTCGGGTCGTTATCTATGAGAGTCCGAACTCGTGCTAGGGGAGTCCGCGCCGAAGAAGCTCGGTTGGTGTTCAGAACACTGCAAGACCGAGCTTCGAATGGAGGTCCAGGGCCTAGTAGATATTCCCCACGATTATTCGGACCTCGGTTGTCGGTCCGTCGGTCGTGATGGGTCGGAGAGGCTTGCGATTCATTCACAATACGGCCCGTTTCCTAGAGGTTACAGTAGTGCTGATGTCGATCCCAACCAGCCCTGCGAGCGCATCTCGATCATCCAACTCCGCCCCCGTCGATCGTTCGACCCCCTGCCAGCCCGTGAGCCCTGGGTCGGGTCCGCACCGAGCCTATACCGCTCTGATGCTAAAGCTCATCATTGTTTCGTGCCGCGTCCGGACCAGACACGCCGGATGCCAAGTCTATCTTCCGCAGTGGAGTGGACGTTGCGGGATGTTGTAAGTGATGAGATGGGCCTGGCCCGCCCCCTGTGTCCCCATTTCATACATGACGCGGGTTTGGCTTCGCGTGCCTGTCATTGGCCTGTTCGGCTTACCTCTTTTCTAATTATCAGGCTCGGCGTGAAAGCTGACCACGACATGGGCGACCTATATTCGCTTGTCTTCGCCGTATTTCTCTTTTAGGTTAATGCTTCGTCACTGGTTTTGCCTGTTGTTGAAGGTGATGAAGGGGTGCTCCGTATAGCCACTGCATGTGCAGCAATGTTGCAAGCAGTAATCGGCTATCCGGGCATGCCATCTCACTTCTGTCTATCATTGAAGTAGGTACACTGGCTAGCGGCAGCGAGGCGCATGGCTGGAAGTCAGTTGGGTTACCAAGGATGTGTGAAATTTGTGTGGTGCGACATTCTAAATGCCTCGATACATCCATATGATTCGTTGTTTAAATGTACAATAATTGTTCCAGTTTCAAACGTCACGACAATTTCAGGCAGACAAATACTCAATAGGCTGTAGAAGAAAAGAAAAAAGTTAATTTACAGCAACCATTCTTGCACACTTCTGGACTCGGCGGCCCCGCAAACAAAGCATCCGTCAAACCCTCCGTTTTTGAATCTCCATCTGGCGAGGGACAAGAATCTCTTGCTTGCAAGTCCTACAGTAGACTGCGCCTTTGTTTGGAGGTGCACAAACACAGGCAAGATGAGAACCAAACAAGCAGCATCGGAGTGAATCAATCATACTCGACACCAATAAGGCGATGCTCTAGATGCATGGGCGAGCTACATTCAAGCCAAGGGCTGATGCACGGTCGAGGTGTTGAGAGTGGTGCCTGTCTTCCAACTTCGGACTTGTCGCCTATTCTCCCTCCATCAGCTAATGCATTGCACCAAAGCTAATGGCTGGCTGCCCTTGTGAGTTGCGCTAAAAATGGCATTGCTGCATGCGACATGGCGCATTGTGCATACAAACAGCCACAAGGGTGTATTGAGCGTGCATGTAGTGATTTATGCATAGTTGTGCAGGATGCATACGAGCACAAAAATCGTGTAACACGATGAGCCTCGGTGATCGTGGAAGGGCAACACCAAGAAGTACCAAAGCTTGGTAGTGCGACAAGGGCCCGAGTACTTGACGAGACTGCTTCACGGTACTGTGGCTGTTGCCCACAGGGCTCGTGGTTGAGCTGTGGTTGGGCACCCGCTAGTCACTTTCCGGCTAGAAACAAAATAACAAACCAGGAAGTGGGACTCACCAGTTGTCGTGCGAACCAGAAGCCAAGGACAACAGTAGAGCTCAGCGAGACTGTGGTTGCGTCGTGACTATCTCGTGCCAGGCTCAAACAATCCGGAGAAGCCGATAGATGGGAGTGAGGTGTGACAGTGTCGATGCTTCACCTGTGTTTGACCTTGCCCAAGCATGGCTGCCTGAATCCAGGAGATGAATGCGCACTCCCGATTGACATCAGTCCACCATTAAGTGGTGGCCTCCGAACTGCACACTCTCCCTGAAGCGCTTGCTTGCGAGCAACGGTTGCAGATAAGATAGTGCCCGCAATCCTCGCTCTGAGCTCGGCCGGCAACTGGACTCACAGTATTCCCAATTCTGGAGGACGAAGCCACACGAGGATTCAGGCCTGCCCATTCAGAAATTCTGACTGACGGTGTTGGGTAGATATGCCAATCCTGTGCCCAGAGTTGAGAAGATCGCGCACTCAGCAGCTACTCGTGTTCGTACAGCAGATGGATGGTGCCATTTTACCGATTCAGTCTTCGGATGATTAGACCCATCATCATCTTCCGAATGCAAACGATAGTCGCCAATCGCATGTACGCGAGCGAATGACAGCACAGCAACACTTTTCACCTCATCAATACTGTACCAGAAATTCACTGGTCGCCAATACAGGCCCAGCTCAATTCGTGGCCAGCACGCGCCACCACGGATCTGAATACGGCCATCGTCGGCAGGGGGAACGAAATCACTGATTCAATGGCCAGTATAAGCGAGCAGCTCGCTACGGTAGGCACCCAAGTCCAGCAGCTTAAAACGGCTTGAAGGTGGAAACGCAGGAAGCACCGGAAAGGGCGGCCGACGACAAACGAACGCAATTAACGCATGTGAAGTTTGGCGATAACAACTCTGGTTCCAGCTCGGTGTCATTAGCGGGTCTATCTCTGGGTTCAAGTTCGGAGGCTGCGGCGCATAGTCTTAAACAGGATGATATCTTAGACATATACGTCTTCTCAATAACCTTATGCGCTTTCATCGATGAATGCAGCGCAGATGGATCGTATCACCGGTGGTTCTATTCAACTAGTCGCCGGGTGGTCCTGGTCATCGTCCCCAACATCTAGCTAGTAATTCGAAAATAGACTCGTCGTAATGATCACACTACGGTCGATGTGACGTCCTGATCCATCATGGAGCTCGATCTCTGTGAGTTATCGACGATTGCTTCTGGCAGTCGCTAGCTATATCGTAAACCTAAGATTAAGCGGCTCGTGAGATTCGTAGACGGAAAGATCGAGCTCCGTTTCGAGTGGGACTTTTCGACCTGCGGTGCGGTAGTCAACTAGTACCAAGTTTCGAGAGTACGGCTCTGTACGCCTTTGTATCTCTAGGATGAAAGTGCGTTCTACTGAGCGAGATCGTTGTCGCTTAGTAGGACCTCTAAGAAGGACCGGAAAGTGACGTCGTTAGCTTTATGTTTATAACGGGTAAGTGAATATTGTTTAAAAGTTGGCCTAAACATACGAGCTTAGACTGAATCTAATAAATATAGTGGTGTAGCACGTGGCTTACATATATCTGATGAAGTATAATGAAGTTGGAACCGCTGATTTGGTAATGTTTGATCTAACCCAGAGAGGATTTACGTAGCGAACGTAGTCCGAAGCATACTTCCGATCTCGAGCTAGACTTGTGTATATGATAGGGGCGACCAGAACTGTCTGCCGTCTTGTAGGTGTCTTTCGAGCTTCAGCTAGTATGATATAGCCTCTGCTTTTATCGAGGGGGTCTGTCCAGACCTTCGCCGTTGCTCGCAAACCTCGTGGCGTCATCCGGCATTCGATATCCACGATAGGTGCAGCAGGCTGGAACTTGCGAGACCGACAATATTAAACAAGTTGTTGGTAACTACGGAAGTGTGTAATAGATAGTGCAAGTCCGTTTGGTGCGAAGTTTAGGTCTCCTACCTCGTAACTCTAAACCAGTATTGAGGCATCTTCGTTGCATTTGAGGATCTCCTCCTATAAACGTGCGAATACGCGTTGACCCTCTCTATAAAGCATTGCTATGTTAACGTCGAAAATGCCGAGTAGTACGTACGCTCGATCTTCCAGTCGCTCGGTGTCTCTGTTGGACGCCCACGACATGCGCCTGCCAATTCTTGGAACGCGCAGTGACTCGCCTCCGATTCGGGTACTGCTGATATATTGCGAGTCGATGCCTGTGATCCTGGAGATTAAGGAACGAAGCTCTTCAGAATCGCCAATCCGAGCCCACTTTCGATCGTAAAAGACAAGAGCTTTGGGAGCCAGAAGCTCCTGGAGAGTCTAGCCTCGAGTGAACTATTTAGAGCTCTTGCCTACTTCTTTGTGAAGTATGGATTAGTTCTGTCCGGAAGCAACACTATCTACTGGAGTATATGTAGTAGAAGCTTTAGATAGATCGACATCGTCAAGGTAAGCGAAGTACACCTCCGATTTTGCGTACCATTGCTGTGGAGTTGATAGCCTCCTGTAGCTCGGCACTACTAGACTTGTTAATACAACAGGTATCAACCCATATATACTGATAGGTAGCCCTCCGTGCCTCATCACGACTACTCATGATCTTACGGTAGCTTTGTGCTCTGGGCTCGATTGCAGTATGGCCGAGGTCGTGGTACGAAAGCTCGAGCTCACGCCAGCGATGTGACAGGATCGCATATGGTGGCACTCTATGGCCATGAAATTCCTCAAATCGAAGATCGTCCGTCCTGAGAAGTCTCATAATATCGTCTTCGTGGTTCGTCTCGGTAAAACACTCAAAGTTGAGTACGAGCTTGGTGTTGTGTCATAGTGATGGAGGTCTTTTCGGCATGCTAAACCCCGCACTAAGAGGTTGCCCTACACATCCACAAATCCCCGCGCTTCGGCAAATGTCCGCGATGAGGAGAATGGACCCCAACCAATCAGCAGCGGGGAGTTTCGAACTGACACGGCCAGGAAAGGCTAAAGAGCTGCAATACTCAAGATTCTGCCCATGATATTTCCCCCTTTCCTTTCCCGCTCTAGGCTCCACAAACAGTTACAGTTCTCACCACGATGAGCTGTCGCATACTAACTCCATCCTCGGCTGCCGTGCCAGTTGTATCCTGACATTGACACCCTGCCGAGTCGAGCTGCTGGAGATGGGTTTTCACCGTAGCGAGCTGATGGTCTGTGCTAGTCATTGAACCAGTGATCTTCTTCTCCTTGTCGGCGATCGCCGCCTCCAACTCCGCAGTGACATGCTGGCTGCGAATCGAGCTATGCCTGACCTGGTGATTAGAAGACTTCTAGTGTCAGCGGGAAACTGACCGCAGATTTTAGCGTTCCTACTCGTGCCACGCCCCACTTATAAGGAACGCCTTTGGGCGCACCTCATACAGAGGTGCTGGACACTAAAATGCGCAGGACACCAAAATGCGCGTTTTTTGACCATCGCAACAACTTTCTATAATGGCACTGCCCCCTAATAAGCTGAAGACGCCTGAACGCGTCCAGGCATTCCAGAAAGCAGTAGCTGTGACAACCCGACCAACAGGTCGCAAGATCGGGCCAAGGACAAGGGCAGGTCATGCACGCGGGGCAACACACCCCTGGTTACATAAGCACTCTCATTATGTCAGCACGAGCAAGGGTGGATATGTTGGATCGCAACATATCCCGACAGATCCAAGGATATGCTGGATCGCAACATATCCAGGCATATCCACGGAAGCACGATGAAGGACAAAGGATATAAGGAAGCGATGGATCTCCTAGACAGACAGTCATTACCTTTGTACTTCAGCGATCAATCTAAGTATCATTCTCACACATCACTTGAACCAGGCACTCAATTGACGAGAGTGGTATCTCTTCCAAGAGACACGGCAACACCCAGAGAGAACGACATTCGACAGGAAGTGATATTGCGACGGCTCTACCTACCCGCAGGACAGCAACCCACCGAAGCCCGACCAGACGGTTGACCCCGGAGGTCGGATCGTGACAAAGACGTCACACGTGTTACTAAGTACGAGTTTAACGCCCTCTCTATCTATGTAAGAAGCTAATAGTTAACTAGGCGACTTTCTGGATGCATCAGCTGGGCATCTAACTTGCTCTAATGGAGCCTGGATTGGTGCTCGTGCTCCTAATATAAAGGCTTGCACAAACACGACTATGAGCTTTAATCATAGGCGGAGTCTGTTTGGGAAACTAAACACACTATAAGCTTATGCTATGGAATTACTGATATACTCCACTTATTGAGAGCTTCTTCATTATATAATTCGCGATCTTAGAACAGTAGACCAATGATACTATATCTGACGCCAAACTGGGACGGTGGTATGAGATGGAGAAGGGAAAGGGGGCTTGCGCTATCAGTAATTTTCCCATTTAACAACGATAGTATTTTCGCAATAACTAGAATATTATAACTCTTCCCATACGAGGTATTGCCATTCAACCTCTTGTAGTAATCCTACCGATACTACTCGCTGACAAAACGGGCACATTACTCCGATATATCTCATAGACTCCTGGATGCAGGACTTGCAGAAGACATGACCTTCATTCGTTAGTCCAAGGTAGTAAGTAAATAAAGAGGGATTAAACTTACCGCAGGCCTGTATAGCGATTGTGATGGGGCCGGGCTGGATCGGCCAGGCTGACAAAGGCAGGGCCCACAATACTCTGGTTCATGTACTTAGACTGCGTTTTCTCTTTTTCCATAGACACCTTCCCCCAGACATCACCCACACACAGTCATAATCCAAGCTGTCATTTTTCCACTTTGCGACAAGGAGATCCTCTTCTCAGAGCCATGATCAGCATGTTCCGCACTAGGTAGCAAGACTGCAGGACCCGAGGGCGCCTGCAGTGCTCCTTACTTCAGTCACTCTGCCGTGGAACGACACCACCGCAACCTGGGCACTTTTGGTGGTTTAGTTTGGTTTTGGGGTTATTTCCTCCCATGATCAGATCATTCCTCACCTGCCCCAGCTTACGATCGGGATTTTGATAATATCTGAGCAAATAGCGCAATCAGACTCCCAGCCATAGAGCTGTATGCATGGTAATCTCACGCGAATCGCGCATAACAAGCAAAGTGCCTGGTTTCTATTAGATGGGTTGGAATCCTTCTTGCAGGCTACATACCGGTTTGTTTCCTAGGATAGCGTAGAGAGTATCACCACTCACGAGCTCGGATGTACATCTTGAACATAAGTTTCGCTGCGCCTCGCGGAAATCTGGCTTGTCTGTCTGGGCCATAGTCTTCTTCATCATTTGCTTTAATTTACGTGGGAAAGCTTTGTGGTGTAGGTCATGTACTTCTGATTAACTTATTTACACTAGGTGCCTACAGTCGAATTCGAAATTGGTGTCCGCTTTTGCTAGACGCAACTCTCTTTGCGCAGACCTCCTTGTCTTGGTGGTGCCATGTGAGTGGAGCCACAAACAAAGCTGCCTGCAGATAGGTGGGGCCGTCACGACAGCCACTTTAGGCTGCAGATCAGATTGTTCCAATTTTCATCCACAGGATCATACACTACTGTACTAGAGATAAGTAAGATAACGCTCTTTACTAGTCCCAAAACTGCATCTCTGGTTTTGGCTCCACTGAAGGTTTCTCTACATGTTTCAGTGCCTCATTGTTTTTGGCGCTGTTGATGTCTTCCTAGAGCCTATTTGCTTGCTATAGGTAACGAAGACACGTCATCGTAAACGCGCAGGCATTCAACACAGCCCCTGCTAACTTTTATGCTCCCCTATACATTTCCCTGGGGTCGACAGTTTCTGTCGAGGACGCCTGTACTTGTTGTGGGAAGAACAAGCTCCAAGGACTGAAAACAGCGTTATCCTCGACTAAATGAGCTCCAGATTTATTAAGCAAGAGTCGCTGAGCTTCTGCGTTTCGGAGTCGCTCCCCGAATATAGTGTTCTGCTTAGATAGGGACGGTTCTATAGCACTGCCTTGGACAGGTCTCGCGATAGCAAGCTGTGGATCGAATAAAAGATCGCATTGGGCGTCGCTAATAGTGCGAAACAACTTGAACCTGTCCACGTTGGTACATAAATCCATTTGATTTAGTTCTTAGTATTACTATCTCCCAGCACAAGGAGAGCTGAGCAATATATAGTGTCGATGTTAGTTCAAGCCCCTTCTCATCCATAAATTGCTCTACGTAAAGGGCTATTGGGGTAGGCTCTGATTTACTAGTAAGGAGCCGCGCATATGTAGCTGCTGGTCTAACCCACAGTCAGAGTCGTAGATCCTTAGTCCTCACGCATATCCTAACAATGATTGAACCTAAAGTGGCAATCTTTGTTGCTACGGCGGTACTATCTAGTGCTTTACTCGCTGCATGTGAGCCCTTGGCTCCGTGCATCAATCTGATCCAGTATCAGATGGGCCTTTGCTGCTTTCCAGATCTGCCCTGTCCGTTTCAGAGCAGCGGCGGAACGACCAGCGTAGAGCAGACACAAATACCACACTCAACCTGCGTTGACACCTCGCCATATACCACATCGCCTATCGCGGATCCTTCCGAGGGGCATAGCAATCTAGGAAACAGCTCTACCACACCTGCTATCTCGCACGGAAGTAATGAAGTTACTTCTAGCACGGAATTTCCATCAGAGACCGCTCCCGGGAGCTCTGATGAATCAGGACCAATTGTCAAGACTTCCACTAGTAGTTCGCGGTCTCCAATTTCATCCACGAGTGCTTCGGAGCCTTTAGAACAGTCTACAGGTAGCGCAGGCGCTTCGAACGTCTGCAGCCTACATATCAATCAGTCTCTAGGAACCCTGCACCAAGCTCATGTTAAGATTGAGTATCAGCTTTGGAGAATGGGCAAGCCGTTGTCAAATGGCGAGTTTACCGGGCCATGGGGTACAGATCACACATTTGCTACTTCTGATACTAAACTCATGGAACCGCTGAGTATAGGTCTGTCCCAGATAGTATTACCTGGGACGCCAGAGCCAGAGTGTGACCTCCCTGGGGGCTATCACGCACCTATCAGGAAACGTTGCAAGCAGATGTGGGTCAATTATCTACTCGAGTTTCGTTACGGGGATATTGTCTGGGATAGTCGACACAATCAGGATCTCCTCACAATACCGCACTGTCAAGTGGGCGGTTGGGATCTTCGTTTTACGTATAGGCGACAGCTGGACTGCGCCTTTGCATGCTGAGGGAAGCTTACTGCTTTAACACGCAGCTGCAACGACGCCGTGGAAGTACGCGGTTCGCAACAGAGCTAAGAGCTGCGAAATCCATGTAGTAAAATAGCCTAGCTAGTATGATCCCTATGAATGTACCCTATGCCTATCACTACGAATGCTATCCCTATCAGAGTACCCTATGCTCTGATTCGTCCTTGCTCCAGGCTATATTTGGCTACTCTCTAATTTTTGGATACATGGCGTGTACTTTCAAGCGAGCTAAGCAGATCTGGCTTAAATGCGACTTAGTACGGTGAGTACCGGCGCTGATTTTGGCGACGGAGTTACTTATAACGTGGACGTCTCGCGAAAGGCTGTTATATGAGCTCCTCATTCACAGGTCGCTTATCTCAGTCTTCTATAGATCCCCCCAAACAATCACCTATCCACTTCTAGGATGGCTACCAGGGCGAGTAACGTGGATAGAAAGGAATGGCGGATTAAATGCCGTGAGGTCCTGGCAGATCATATCCGTATGTAAGGTTGCGCAGCCTCCCAGCCCCTGCTAATAGCATATAGGCCAACAAGTGGGTTGCCATATTACTCCTTCAGATGTCAGACTAGTGACTTCTGAGAACGATCCATATCGCTGGAGCTATGTCACGGAGGTAGCGCATTTATTTACGAAGAATCTAAGCGATCACTCCATCAGCGCTTATAAGCAGCTCTGTTCAGGTGTCGGTGAGACTTTCGAAGCTATAACGGCCGGCCCCTTCGTCTTAAGCAAGGTATGGTAGATCAGCTGGTTGTTTCATCATAGCTCTCATAGCTAACTAGCTAAGTCCACTCTAAATCAACCAAGTTTTACGCTACATATCAGCAATCTCAAGAGTGAGATTGAAAGACTCCAAGGCGAAGCAGCTGATCTACAAGTGCGCCTTTGCCAAGAAACGGAGCTGAAACTCTCCGCCGAAAACCGCTTGATGGAATTGGAACAGCTCGTTCTACATCTTGAGCAACAAGAGAATCAAGCAAGTGAGAAAGCCGACAAATTTGAGAACCTTGCTAGTACTTGTCTCTCTTATATAGACCAGATTTCGCCAGACTTGCAGAGACTCATGGAGCTCAGCAGGGACGTCAAGAGTGGAATCGACTCCCCCTTAGACCGTTAGCATTCTACCTAGCTTAGTTAATATAGCACACGGTGATCCGACTTACTATGAGGATAGCAGTGGCTCCTTGGAGCAAAGCATAGCCATACTGAACATGCCCCTGGCCTAACGATGCCCGAAGGACGACTGGGAGTTCACTAGCCCCTGGTGGCGCTGGGAACCATATTAGCGCAGGCCTGAGATTGGCTCTTTGCTGAAGTCTTAAGCATCATCTAGAATGCGGTTGCGGTTGCATCAAAGACGTTAAGGACATTGTTATCGTTCTTATGCTCATTTATGGGTATCTTCATCATAGTCCATAGGCGAGCAGGTACTCCCGAGTAGGTCTGGCGCAAGCTTCGGGTGGTTCAGTGGGTGGTTCAGTGGGTGGTTTAGTGGGCGCTTCAGTGGGTGGCTCCGGGTAGTTTAGTGAGTAGTCTAGTAGGCGGTTCAGCGGTCGAGCAGCTGCTTCAGTAGATGCTCAATAGCCTAGCGGCTTCAGGGGCAGGTGAGCCCGCTAATAATCCTCGAGCCACCCACTATGCGCAACGTGAAGCGCGCCCCTTCAGTGCTCCTGCTTCGCATTCTCCATCAGTAGCTTGTAAGATTCGTCTACTTAATGCTGTTGGAATGCCTCGAGCCGTGCATGCAGGTCGCTCGCCTTAACAGGAAAGCCTTTGCTAGACATGGTCGTTAGGCAAGAGTGAGCTCGTGATTCCTTCAGATTAAGCGCCAAGCCTGAATGTCGAGTGGGTGATGGTCGAGCATACATGGGAGTGCAATGAGTGCTAAACGTGAGGGACTACCACTTGTTTTCGACAAGGCGCAGCTAGACGACACCGCACCCAGCCATGCCGTTGTCCAGCCACAACATGCACCACGGCACCGCGCCACCTCCCGAGTCAGCGCGCTTCCGTGTCAGCAGAGGCTACCTCGAGCTACTCCGGACACCAACCTGGAGCGCATCCACGGCTCCGAACACCGTGCTGTTTGCATTATTTATGCGCGCTTATGTGGGCGGTCCCTTTCATACAACTACTTGCACGTGCTTCACATTGATCCTTCAGCACTCCTCGGCAGTCCCCGCAGAGCGGAAAGGTGAACGGCAGTACGTAGCAAAACCGTCGACAACCCAGCGGTACACCTTGATTAAGCATCCCCATGCGGGCTCTGAAGCGGTGCAGCGCTTCTGCGCCAGCTCAGCTACTACATCGAGCCGAGGAGGACTGTCATTGACTATGCTCAAGTCACTAGCACTCAAGCACCTCCTGGCGCTGCATCGAGAGCGGCATTGTACCATCTCCGACTGCAGTCGATAATGGCTCATGACCACTTGCTCGCGCAGGAGCCATTTTCTGCTCACGCCACTTTCGTCCCGGCTGCACTACAGTATGGGGCAGCAAAATCCTAGCGCGATCGTAGCTTGAGCAAGCTCTGGGCCTACAATTCCGCTTGCGTGGATGCATGCGAGACACCTCCCAAGGCTGACCCTTTAGCTTCATCGTTGGCGTTGTCTTTTTTTTCCAAGCCCATTCTTTGGATCACGGCCCCGATCGCCACCCTGTCTTCAGGGCTTCCAGTCATCGGCGGCGCCCTCTGCTTGTTGTGGTGTAGTTGTTTACTCAAGTCCCTGAGTCGAGAACATTGTGATTGTTCCTCTTCAGAATCAAATCGGGTTGTTTCATCCGCTGCATCTGTCCTATAATGCAAGCTTGAACTACTGAGATTGACTCCCCATGAATTAAAGAGCACGAGCGTGGTGAACTGTTCTAGGAGGCGTCGTGCCAACCAATGATTCTGTGAAGTCTCAGTACGAACTGCGCGTGCTTATTGGTCCCTCGACATAAGATTCGGGTTGCAATATTTGTGTCGTTGTCCGCGCCGAGCGAACCTGAGGCTGAGAAGCGCCAAATTTGGCTCACTGTCTGTAGCGGCCATGAGTTAGGCTTTCACAAGTGGAGACTGCATGGTAAGCCCCTCAAGGCACTTTCGCCAGATTTGGCGAAACGCAGAGATGCATTTCCAAAGTACCTTGTGCCGCTCAAACAACGCTGACTAATGTGACATCGTCCTGGGCTCGTCCCTAGAGTGTCCTGAGCAATCCCTGGTCACCCTGAGTCTTACCTGAGCAGATCCTGAGCAGCCTAAGCCGTCCCTGAGTAACCCCTGAGCAGCCTAAGCCGTCCCTGAGCAGTCCCTGAGCAATATGAGGTGTGCCTGAGCAGCGGCTCATCAGTCGTTGGAAGTTTTGAGCACCATGTGAGAAGCCCGAGGACCCTAAGCCGTGGCAAGCTCTACCGAGCAACTTGCATGAGGCTAGACGGTATACTGAAAACCCCTGTCGGCCGGGTGTTCCACCAGGTAAATAAGCCGGGAAGTTGAAACTACAAGATCCTCTAACGTCATGGATAACGAACATGAATTAGTACAGAGTAACGTGATGTTGTCGTGTATTCTACAAGTGGTGGTCAGAAGTCAGAACACCATAGCAGTCGTAACATAAGCAGACCTCGAGGCCGGTTATGGGCAGTCGGTTTCCCGGTACTTACATGCACCATCTTGTATATACCTGAATCGAGTGCGGAACAGTGTGATTATAAAAGAACAAGTTAAAGCAGAGATTCATCCTAGAGCCTCTCTGTGTTCGCGGAAGAACCTAGGAACAAACTAAGCAAGGACCTCCATGGGCCAGCCACGATCGCGGCTATCTTCCTCCAGCGTCTTCTCCTCCCTTATTGCTTCACAACCAAGCTAGGTATCTTACCTTGGTAGACGCTCCAGTCGATTCGGCCCGCTCTCTCCCAAGTTACTTGATCATCCCCCCACTTGACACGGTACTCTTTGACACGCTTACTGGAAACCCTGACCTCGAGGAGTTCAATTCCGCGCCCATAACCCTTGAAGACCTTGTCGAAGTCATCTGTGAGTTTTTCATGGATCTTATCTCTTGTCGTCCAACTCGGCTTGCCCTCCATCCACTTGACGAGGAACTGATTCCTGCCGTATTTCTCGAGTATGCAGTCAACTGGATATTCTTGGTCATCTTCTTCGTCATCAGCTTCTAAGGTGTTGTCAATTAGTGCATACGATCGAGATGCCAGAGCTGTAGTGAAGGACTTACCCGTATTAATGGCTAACTGCTTCTTCTTAGCTTTTCCGACCTTCTTGGCTTTTTTGACCTTCTTAGCTTTTTCGACCGTCTTAGAGGAGCGCCGACGCTTCTTGGAAGGATGTTTGGTCGGCTCCCCACCAGCGTCCCGAGAAAAGCACAGCTTGAGTGTACCGTCGCCGGTAGATTGTAGGTGGGCATTTGGAAGATCCCAGTCCCCGGGACGGACATGGCCATCTGTGTTGTGATCCCATGCAAATTGTATCTGAAAGTGCGTTTCGGAGCCGAGTGTAGTACGACTCAACAACCCATGATGTAGTTCCCATTGTTCATATGTCCCTGTGCTCGTATCCTGAGGTGGAAGGTCCGCTAAAACAGAGCTTGACTTGGAGACTGCCATCTGCTCGGCACTGATCTGCTGCTGATGACCATGCTCTGGTGATGTCGATCTTTGCGTAAGCGGCCAAGCTGACTCCGGACGGCCCTGCGGACACGCGACTGCGCTATGCGATCGGGTTGCAGTGGTGTCTCGGTAGTTGCTGAAGTCCCCCTGAGAACTGTCGTCGGAGATCTGTTCACCAACAGTAAGGCCGAGCTCGTGGTCTTCTTCGTCAAACACCAGCACTGGCTCTTGGTCGATATTGATCGCGGATGGAGTTGCGAGTAATCTGTTACTTGTCGTCTGGCGTATGGCTATAGACGGGAAGCATCCTAGGCTGAGCTCGGGACTATCTCTCCTGTGGCTATCGTGCTCCTCTATGTGGACTAGAGGTGCTTTAGTTCACTAAATACTTGAAATTCGTGGGCAGGAATCGTTTTAGGATGAGCATACCAGACAACTGGCGTGCATTCGCAGATAGACCCTGGCTATCCGCAAGGATAGGATCTATATTTATTTGATCAATGTCATTAGCGCCCTGCTGCGTTTCAGCTACATTCTGGGTCGGAAGGCTCTCGAAACCCAGCCGAGGAGACTTGGGAAATGCTGAACGAGTCGTGCGTTAGGTTAGTTACTGTTTCTGCGACTCGCACGAATGATATACTGTGGTAAGGTGCTGTAGGAGCTGAACGTACGTTGTAGGCTACATTCGACCGCTGATCTACTTGAGCCAAATAATGAACATTCGGCTTTGCCATTTCTTGGCTGTTGATCTTCCCAGCTGCTCCTAGGGTGGTCCGGCTGTCGACTACCAACTGGGTTCGAGACATTGGAAAGTCGCTGGCTGGATTCACTAGCAGCAGCAGCAGCAGCAGCAGCGGGAGGAGGAGGAGGAGGAGGAGGAGGAGAGGGATAAGTCCAAGAGGCAGGCGCTTTCCGTTTCATTCGCTGGTATGTACCAGCATCAGCATTAGCTGAGCCCGGAACATAGAACTCTTGATGATCTAGGGTAATATGCATGGTGATGAGGATAAGGCGGTAATGAGTGAAAGGCAGTGATTAAAAGATGAGTGTCAATCCGTTCAGCATGAGGTGAACTGTAGCTTATATACTCGGTAGCTACGTTGTATATGTCACTGAACCTCATTTCTTGGTGGGTTTCTGGCCAGGTCTCTTTGATCCCCCAGAAGCCGGGGGCTGATACATCCGCCCCTTTCCAAAAGAGCCCACGTAGTACAGGAGATAATGTTACTGGACGCCACGATACCTGATCAAGTCCGATCGACGAATGACCACGAGATAAACATAATATCACATCGGCAACAGCTGGATTAACCGAAGAGGCCAGTCTGTCAAAGGTGATCTTCCTAGAGACGCCCGAGATACAGACAAGCCTGCGATATACCATTATTCCTTCAAGGCCGGTTCCGCGGTTCTGTCAAAGACACTGAGATGAGCGCTCCGAGTTCCGAATCCCGCGGGCTCATCGTATCGACGAAGACTGTGCTAATGCTGACGTGTTTGCAGCCGATAATCATGCAGATACGCTCTCAATGACTCATTCCTAAGTCCACGATTGATTTCCATGTGATCATCCAGGCTGTTGATAACGCGCTGACAACTTTCGATGATAAATCTGTGGAAGCCGCGATGTGATAGGCTCTAGATAGTGATCTTTTTTGCGCGGTGGGGGCTCATAGAGAATAGGAGGTGGCGGAGCGAGATGAAAGAGAGGGGATCATCTGAGCTGAAGGGCATGGCGTGATGAGAGAAAGGTTGAACGAAGTCAAGTGTACAAGAAAGTGATGGGAATGAGAGCTCACTTATGTATTCTCGGCCGAGCCAGATTGGGTATAGTAGCAAAGCGGCAACTACGCTAAGCCCTTTTAGATTGCCGCCAAACCCTGCGGGGACAACAGCACATTCTCGACTACTAGTAGCGTCACTATACTATATACAGTCAAGGAATCCAGAATTTGCTCAAGTTCCTATGAAAAGCCAGCGGTTGAAGCAAGCTCAAGCAAGAATAGCACCCCTTACTTCTATTTTGACGAAGTTTTGGGTCTCTAGGCGCCACTGTTCCGGTAATGCGTCCGCATTGCTTCTAATTGGATTTTCCGGACTACTGAGCTGTCTCATTGCAACCCTGTTCCTTCGCACGGTCGAAAGCGAGGCGCTTGAGATGAGGGAGGCTATTGAGATCCGTGCTGAAGGACTTTCTACCAGTTTGCAACGAATATCTACGGCATGGGCAGACACGGCTGATTCCGCCATGGGAAGATTAAATGAGAATCTTACTGGTCAATTACAGGATCAGATACACAGAGCCACTGACGGAGTCAACACAACGATAACCACGTTCAACATCCAACTTCAGCAGGCCCTTACGGCGGCGTTTGGAGACTCGATATTAAGAGATGCTATACAGCAGGCTTTGAGGTGTATGATAGGGACGAAGATTGACGCCGTGCAAGATGGTCTCCGGTGGATCAATGAACAAGTCAATATCGACTTCCCTCCGTTACCACAAGACGTCTTTTCAATTGGCGCCAGTATAGCAGAGACGGGATTGGACAAGGCTTTATCTTCCGGTGGTGACATTATCATGGATAACATTGAATCTGCGATTATGTATGTGGCGGATAAGGTCCGTCGCGACATCAGTACTCACGCCATAATATCTGCTGTATTGATACTCGTCTACCTTATGCTAGTGCTGCTAGATATAGTTGTCTCACGTAGGATAGGAGCCCTTAAGACGAACGGTAGGGTGAAACAAGGTGCGGCGGCGTCGGAATCTTATAAAAAGTCGAAACCACCACAACCACCACAACCACCACAACCACCACAACCACCACAACCACCACAACCACCACAACCACCACAACCACCACAACCACCACAACCACCACAACCACCACAACCACCACAACCACCACAACCACCACAACCACAAGAATCGCAAGAATCATCACAAAGAAGACCAACCCGTAACTCAGACGCGGCCAGGTCCATAACATCATCCCCGGGGTGGATCTAAAAGATGAGGCAGCATTCGAAAAGATCACTAATGTTGTGGAACTATATAGTAGTTGTGACTAGGTGTCTGAAGGATCAGCCTCTTAAATGCCCTCATAATTCACTGCTTTGAAAGGACGACTACAGCGTACAGTGGTCGGGTTAGTCACACGAATGAAACTTCTATGCCAAGACTAAAGCCGCTCTCTTCCCTGGCCTGGAACGACCGATCATGGGTCATGGCTCGTTATGGAGTCACGATCATACCGTGTCGCGGCGGACGATGGCAGCCTCCATGTGGGTTTAGCATGTCCGTGATGATCTTCATGTTTAGAAGAGAATGGGTTTCCTAATGAGTAAGTGTACAATATCACCCGTGCCTGATGACGGAGGTGCGATAAACTAGGCGGTTCTTATAGAACTGATCGAAGAACATTCTCCATAGGAAGCTTAGCAGTAGCAATGTAGCCTCTACTTACTAGCATGGGCAACCTTTCAATAGTTTAGCCTCCACTAGCTTCTTTACGTAAGAGCTACTCATGTCCGACCGTGGGAATTCAGTGGACTTAGCTGAAGACCAAGACTCTAGCGGGTGATCTACTAGGCATTGCCCTTTTCGCCAGGCGTAGGGATTACTCAGAAATTACAAAGGGATGGGACAAGCAGTAAAGGCATGCTCATGAGCAAACAACACATTGGAAACAAACAAGCAGTATGGGCCAGCATAAGCACATTTCGAAGCACCTTGGTTCCTTATCTCCTATTTGCTCTAGTAGGAAGCATACACGCCATGGCATCCACCGCGGCAGATACTCTCGGAAACACATGTTTTCACGACGCATTTGTGTTGTAACAGCTCCGAAGAACGAATCTGAATTTAAGACTACGGCCAGGGGAACGAAACTTTAAGTTCCCCGACATATTCAACCTGTATAGCTTCCTTCGCCCGTTCTTCATTGCGTCAAGCTGCACGTCGTGTCATTCGCTGTCTCGGTGTCCTAACACAGTACTCAGTCGCTAAAATTCGAACTTAGCTTTCATCATGGCAGTTACATTGAATGATAAGAGGCCAGGCGTGACGTGCGATCTGGAATTGGCAACAGGAGACGACGATCGCGCCATTACCGACATTCCGGGGGTCGAAGATAATGCCGAAAGTGAGGTCAAGACCGCTGATGAACATGGCGACTATCCTTCCGGCATGTCCTTGTTCTTCATTGCTCTTGCTTTAGGCTTGAGCATATTCTTTGTCGCACTCGACATGGTCAGAACCCTATCGCCCAACTACCCAGTCTTCCCAAATGACACAAATGGAACGCAATCAATGCCAATCGGACTAACATATCAAGCAGACAATCGTTGCTACAGCCATTCCTAAGATCACAGACGAGTTCACAGGTCTTTCCGACGTTGCCTGGTACGGCTCTGCATTCTTCATGACCATCGCCGGCTTCCAGTCAGCATGGGGCAAGGCCTATACGTACTTCCATCTCAAGACCGCCTTCCTTGTTGCCATGCTCATCTTCGAGGTTGGTAGTCTTCTGTGTGGTATTGCACCAAACTCGGGCGCCTTTATCGTAGGGCGCAGCATCGCAGGTATCGGTGCTGCGGGACTCAGTTCTGGGTGCTACACCCTCATCGCGTTCGCCGCCGAGCCCATCGTCCATTGTTCACTGGGATCCTGGGTGCTTCTTACGGCATTGCCTCCGTCGCCGGCCCCCTTATTGGAGGCGCCTTCACCGACCACGCTTCCTGGAGATGGTGCTTCTACGTCAACTTGCCCATCGGCACTCTGTCGGGCACTATCATCCTCCTATTCTTTACGACCCCAAGCAAGTTAAAGCCAGTCGAGGTTTCTCTTCAGGAGAAACTCCTTCAAATGGATCCCTTCGGCATTCTCCTGATTATGGGAGCCACTGTCGCTTTCATCTTGGCTGTCCAGTATGGTGGCCAGAGCCACTCGTGGAGCTCAAACACTGTGGCCGGTCTTCTTGCCGGATTTGCTGTCATTATTGTCGTTTTCACTGCCTGGCAGGCGTTCAACGGTGAGCGCTCCATGGTAGTTCCACGCGTCATAAAGAAAAGGACTGTCTGGGTAAATGCACTCTGCGGCTCTGTCCTAGGCTCTGCCTACCTCATCATTATCTACTATCTGCCCATCTACTTCCAGAGTATCAACAATGATTCCCCAAGCACATCCGGATTGCGCAACATTCCAATCATTCTCGCTGTCACCTTTGCTACCATCCTTTCGGGAGTGTTCATCTCGAAAACTGGCATTACAATACCGCTTATGGCGGGTGGTTGTGCGCTTGGGGCAATTAGTGCAGGGCTTATGTGCACTCTCAAGATCGGCGCGGATGAGAGCAAGTTGACTGCTTACCAGGTTCTCGCCGGAGCTGGTTTTGGTCTGGCTATCCAGGTCCCAATGATCCATGCCCAAGGCAATGCTGCAACTGAGGATTTAGCTTTAACTACATCCATTATTATGTGTAATTACCAATTCCCAGTCCCTTCCTACTTATCCGCGTACCTAAGGACTAATAGTTATGCTTGTTATTAGTTTTCCAGACCCTTGGCAGTGCGTTCCTCCTCTCGGGCGCGCAATCAGCATTTGTCAATGAGCTCCTAAGAAATCTCAAAGAGTATGTCCCGGCAGTCCCTCCGGAGATGGTGATTGCTACAGGCGCGACGCAGATCCAGACAGCTTTCCCCGCCGCCCAGGTCCCCGGTATCCTACAGGCTTACATGGAAGGCATCAGAGTCGTTTTTGCCATCTCCACCGCGGCGGCCGGCTTGGCCTTTGTGGCTAGCTTGGCCAGTTCGTGGAAAAGGCTGAGCGGGGAGCCCCTCAAGGCTGCATGTGGTGCCGCTTGAGTCGGCTGAAACCACACCCATCTTTGTGATGCAGACGGCGTTGCTAAGTTGAGGGGAAAGGAGCGACCTGGTCCCAAGGAATTATAGTGCAGTTAATTAAAGGCGCCGTAGACGGACCAAAAAATGTGCCGATTGGTGTATGCATCACAAGAAAGGCTCCCCTCGTGACGAAACGATGCCTCGGCTTCCGCAGGCCCCATGGATAAGACTCACGTAATTGCGCTGCCAGTAGGCTAGAGAAGGAGGTAGAGGCCCGAGAATCATCCCAGGCGTAGGCAAGCGTTTACCAAGGCAGGCTTCCTCGTCCCGCTGATCGCCATATTGCCCTCTAGTGGCAGACATTGACGTTTCCAACTTCAACTACCACTTTACTACCGACCTGTTCAAGCCCCTGAGTGTGTAGTGATGCAGCAGGACTTTTGAAGCGAACTTCCCGTCTTATTTGAAAATGACGGCCTACACGTAGCCAGTGTCTCAGATTGCGTCGCTGTTTCACTCGACAGCTGCTCAGCTCCCGAATTCAAGAGAATTGAGATGTTGATTGGTTTCTATGACGTAACCATCACACTCGTCGTTCCCGTTTGGTAAAGCCATGTCCGGTTCGCCGCCCGACGGCGGCGATGAAGACAATGGCCGGCCTGGAGAATGTGCAGGTGGCGGTCCTACGGCCAGATCATCTTAAACGTCTTCTCGGGCGAATCCCGACCTAGCGGACCACCTCCATTGCGCTTGTATGGACCATCGTCTTTAACCGAGTTACACAGCTGTTTGCAAATGCAAGTGGAGCTATAATATCCTCCAAGTCCAATAGCGACTGCTGTTGCAGGAGACGACGGACCTCTGGCCCTTAAGAGAGACACCATGGACGTCGTTGTGCGCCAAGGTGCAGATTATGACGGCGGCTGCACTCTAGATGGCGCTTCGAGTGCCAAAACTATTAGTTACGGCCATGACTCGCTCCTACTATTAGTCTTAATTCGGCTGCACAGTCAGACAAGGTAAGTTCCCACTTAGAGTCAGTGTAAGGAAACAGCTCCTGTCATTGTTATTCATAGGTAGCTTGCATAAACCGGTTTTATGTGATCTGACCAACGTGGCAGTTAGTAATTCCGCGCATCACTGCGGGCACAGTCCACGCTAATAAGACATATAAGTGAAGCTCGGGATTTTGATCTGCAAGGGAGTGCTACTCCCAGAAATGGTAGTATAATGGTCCATCTTGATCCGGATTCACAGGACTTTATCGTTGACATGCAACACCCAGGGCCTGCACAAGATGTGATCAACAGAAAATTCAATTCGAAGAGCCTTGCCGCGATTAACAAGCTCGGTGGCCCGAGCGGGATCGACAGGGCTCTGCGCAAGAGTAACGGGACAGATCTGAGTCCAGGTGGATGTCAGATAGATGGGGATATGGCTCCTCCATGGAATAGGACTATGGGTTTGTACGAGCACTATCAGAGCCGTCCCACAGTTCGCGATCAGGCTGGGTCTTTCTAGGACCGAAACCGGTTGTACGAGGACAGCAGAGTACCCAGAAAGAATGGCGGGAGCTTCTTGAAGTTCTTGTTGATCACGTGCAATGACAAGGCCTTGATACTGCTGACCATTGCCGTGATGATTTCGCTAGGCATTGCACTGTACCAAAAGCTCACTGGAAAACACCCGGTCGCGGATATATCGACAACTTGGATCGAGAGCGTGTCCATCATAGTAGCCGTGACTGTGGTAGTTCTCGTTGGTGCAGTGAACGACTGGCAAAAGGAGCGACAGTTCTCGAGGGACAAGAGCGTCAAAGTCACCCGTGCCGGAAGGATGATCAAAATCTCAGCTCTCAACATTCTCGAAGGCGAAATTCTTCATATCAAACAAGCAGATGTGGTCCCTGTCAGTGGCTTGCTGATTCAAGGGAAAGACGTCAGTTGTGACGAATCCCAAGCGATGGGTGGCGTAGATGTCCGAAAAGTGCCCACGGAAATGGTCCTTACTGAGGAAAAGGCAGCAGCGGAAGATTCATTTGTTGAATCGGGTACTCGCGTCACTAAGGGCGAAGGCACTCTTCTGTGCACTGAGATGGGGGTTCACTCAAGTTACGGCAAGACTTTAATCTCGCTCAATGAGGATCGCGAGCTCACACCCCTCCAGTCGAAGCTCAATAACATTGCCGAGAGGATTGCCAAACTCGGTGGCACAGTTGGTCTGGTTCTCTTCATCATCCTGCTTGTCAGGTTCTGCACCAAACTCCCACAGAATACGGCCACAGCATCTACTAAGGGCCGGGAGCTATTGGACATCCTAATTGTTGTCGTTACATTTATAGTCGTGGCTGTTCCGGGGTGGGTTGCCGCTCGCGCTCACGCTTTCTTTCGCTTTTGCTACCACACGTATGTTGAAAAAAAACATTCTTGTTCGTCATCTAAAGGCGTGCGAAGCCATGGGGAACGTGACGACAATTTGCTCGGACAAGACCGATACGCTTACTCAAAACAAGACGGCCGTGGTAGCAGGTGTCGTTGGTACTCAGCGTCGCTTTAAAGGCTTCCCAGGGGCAGCTACTGGGAAAGCAGCCCAGGAGTGCACACCCCAGGAGCTCGCTTCCGGACTTGCCAAAGATACTCAAGATCTTCTGCTGAAGTCTATCGCGCTCAACTCGACGGCTTCTGACGGTAACGTGAATGGGGTCTATACCTTCATTGGATCGAAGATTGACAAAGCACTTATTATGTTCGCACGAGAATTTCTCGCCATGGGCTCTGTCAGTGAAGAGCGCGCCAACGTCAAGATTCTGCAGCATATTCCTTTCGACTCTAGTCGGATGTGTATGGATGTAGTCACGCAGCTAGAATACGGGAAGGCACGCCTGTACGTCAAGGGCGCGTCAGAGATTATACTCAGCAAATGCACCCAGCTGCTTAAGCGCCCAGACCAAGATATCAGCAACGGTCCCATTCAAGCCTGTGACGAGGACGGAATCAATAGGCTGATTGAGGAATATTGCTCACATTCTCTGAAAACGATTGTCCTCGCATACCGCGATTTCGAGAGTTGGCCTCCGCAAGCGGCCCGACGAAGTGAGGACAACAAGAGTGAAGCTCTGTTCGAAGATGTGTTCAAGAACATGTGCTTCATTGGACTCGTTGGAATCCAGGATCCCTTACGACCCGGCGTTCCCGAGGCTGTAAGAGAATGCCAAAGCGCTGGTGTGGTCGTACGTATGATTACTGGTGACAATAAGCTAACCGCTGGCGCTATTGCCAAGCAGTGTGGCATTCTTCACGACGAGGGCATTATGATGGAAGGCACAGAGTTCCGGAAACTTGACAAGGACCAACAGAACGAAATCATTCCCCGCCTGCATGTTCTCGCACGGTCGAGCCCCGAAGACAAGCGGATCCTGGTGCGGCGCCTCGAAGACCTTGGTAAGACTGTTGCTGTCACTGGTTATGTAACCAATGATGCGCCTGCGCTAGAACCAGCCGATGTTGGTCTCTCCATGGGTATTGCTGGCACCGACATAGCCAAGCAAGCTTCTTCCATCATGCTTATGGATGACAATTTTACCAGCATTGTCAAGGCTCTAAAGTGGAGTAGAGCAGTCAAGGACGCGGTCAAGCGCTTTCTTCAATTCCACCTCACTATTACTATCGTTGTCGCCGTCCTCGTATTCTCTACTGCCGTGGTCAGCGCTCGCCAGCAATCTTTGTTCACCGCTGTGCAACTCCTCTGGCTCAAGCTGATCATGGACACGCTCGCCGCTCTTGCGCTTGCAACAGGCCCCCCTCAGAAAAGTGTACTTGATCGTAGCCCTGATAGGAGGGATTCTGGGATTATTTCTCCAGCCATGTGGAATATGATTATCGGTCAAGCCATATACCAGCTGGCTGTTACATTCGCGCTCTACTACACTGCGACACAACTTGCGATAGCTGAAGAACAGGAATATATGCAGGCCATCGTGTTTAACACTTTCGTGTGGATGCAAATTTTCAATTTGTGGAAGTAAGTGTTCTCGTTGAATAATGGCGCTGACTGAGCTAACATGATCTTCAGCAATCGGCGATCCGACGATAAATTGAATATCTTCGAGGGTCTGACGAGGCACTGGTTCTTTATTGGAATAAACATCATTCTATGCGGAGGTCAGGTACTCATCATATTCTTCGGTGGCACTCCCTTCTCCATTTCGACTGCCTCTGAACGCCGACCTCCCCAGAGCGGTCTACAGTGGAGCATCGCTGTTGGATCTGGTCTACTGGCGGGTGTGGATATGCCACGCGACGTGTTGTACGTGCATGCTCACATGCATGCCTGCACACAAATCGCCGAGCCGAAGCTGCAATGCTGAGCCTTGACCATGCCAGACATGGCTTGGCATCGCGTGATTGCACAATACAAGGGGGTAAACGAAACAAAGGTGGAATATTTGACAACGGTGCGTTCGTTTTGCTGGCCAGAGAGTCATGTGCGTGTGTGGGCAGACAGATCGGTAATGTTGATGTTTGTGCCATGACTCAAGAGCGTTGCAGTGCAAGCGAAGTGTTTGGATGAAGCAAGGCAGATGTTTCAGGCGGGCAAGCTGATGGGTGGGACGATGATCTCGGGATCACGATGTTTCGTTGTGTGTTCAGAAGTGTGTTTGGAGTCTTGGTGGCTGCATTCGTATTTCTCCTGCAGAATGTAGTTCTTGAGGGCGACAAGATTGCTTGACTCGATGGGCTGGAATTCCAGCAACTCGTTTCCTCCTTGACAACTACTAGAACGAAAACGCTATCTACAATATAGATGAATTCTTGTGCGACTGCTGATATTGTTACGTACCATTGCCACGTATCGTGAAAAGTGTTCAGAATGAATTGAGCATCACACATCATTGTCATTTTCGTGACCATTATGACCACATTTTTATTATATATTGAGATCATGAAATGCTTCTCATTGCGAAGGTTGGCGAGAATCAAAAGCAGAAATGCTTCCATGCTACCGTCCCGGGTTGCACGTACAAACCCGGCTTTTGATTATAATAAGCTAATCTACTTCAGCCCCATTGAGGTCGATGACGGGTAGCGGTACAAACGCAGGATTTCAAACTTTTTCTCTTAATTCTAGACTTATAATTTGTTCGTAGTTCAGAGGGTTCAGAGGGTTCAGAGGGTTCGGAGGGTTGTATGTTTGTCTTAATACTATGTGTCCAAAACTGAGAGAAAAACGGTAGGAAACTTTTCTAGAACACCGTCAGGTCAATTGGCGCGACATATACAAGATCTCATTTTTGAACTGGCATTAGCTCACAATAGTATGTCTGAGGCAATAGTGTGTCTGGAGTGTTGGCTGGCCGTGCCGATCACATTACCAATATTTCCGCGGCTTGACTATTACGTGACCCGTGCAATTTCGTGCACGAAATTATCATGCACCTCAGCCATTCTGGGTGGTTTGCAGACCGTCAGCAGTAGAGCGCCACATCTTGGCTAATTATGGCATCAAGTGGTGGCATGAGCAAGTGGCTGATGATGTAGTGGTCTGGTCACGTAGCAGGCTGTGATAAGAGCTAGGCCTTTGCCGATGGCGCGTCCCGATCTCCACGCACAGCTTGTTGCTGGAAGCAAATCACAGGCTGCATCAGCTTTGACATGATCAATGATGGTCTTGGGGGATGAACAAGTGCATCAAACACGTATGCAGAAAAGTGATCAAATTCAACATGTAAAAAGTCTTCATTGCTACACTACGTGATCATACTTGTGCGCTTTTGGGACGTATTTGAGCTTTCGCACGGGTATCTAAATACTTCCATCCTCATTCCCATCATGCTTCCTTCGTATCCACGAAACTTCAAAAGAGACAGACCCCACGCTTAAGCCTTGAGACCGGCGAGGATGACATCAGCGGCCTTCTCGCCGACCATGTAGGTGGAGACGGCGGTGAAGGTGCCGGGGATGCGGGGGTAGACGGACGCGTCGACGACACGGAGGCCAGCGACACCGCGGACGCGGAAGCTAGAGTCGAGGACGGCCATGGGGTCGTTGTCGGCGCCGATGGGGCAGGTGGACGAGGCATGGTGGCCCCAGGTGGCGTCCTTGATGTAGGTCTTGATTTCCTTGTCCGACTTGACCTTGGCGCCGGGGAGGATCTCAGTGGTGGGCACGAGCTGGCGCTTGAAGGCGTCACGGGTGAGCTTGACGGCCTCGGCCATGGCAGTCAGGTCGTCTTCGGCACCGGAGGCGCTGGAGCCAGTGTCAAAGTAGTTGAATGTGATCTCGGGGACGTCGAGAGGGTCGGCGGAGCGGAGGAGGACGGAGCCGGCGTTGTTGCGGGGGTGCGCCTTGAGGATGGCCCAGGAGAAGATGTCGTGGTCGCGGGTGGCGTCGTTGGCGTAGCCGGGGTAGTAGCCGCGGAAGCTGACGGGGCCGCCGAAGGCGAAGATGTCAAAGTCCTTGGGCGAGGTGGACGACTTGTAGAACATGGTGGCGGCCAGACCAGAAGACGAGTAGATGCCACGGTCGCCGAGGACGGGCTTGTTCCAGCGGTCGAGGCAAGGGTCCTCACCAGTGCCGATGGTGTCGCCACGCTGGCCGAAGGTGCAGCCATTCAGGGCGGAAAAGTCCTTGTTGGCGCGGGCCTGGACAGAGATCTCGTAGTGGTCCTGGAGGTTGGTGCCGACGCCGGGCAGGTCGGAGATGACGGGGATGCCGAAAGACTTGAGCTCGGCGGCAGGGCCGACACCGCTCAGCTTGAGGAGCTGGGGAGAGTTGTAGACACCACCGGCAACAATGACTTCGCGCGAGGCAGTGGCAGTGCCAGCAACACCGGCGCCGGCGTTGCGGGAGCGGGGGCTGGCGCGGTAGAGGTACGAGCCCTCGAGGAACTCGACGCCGGTGGCACGGGGAGGAGTGACGGTCTGGTCAAAGGTGATCTTGGTGACGTGGGTGTTCATCTTGAGGTCAAGCGGGTACATCTTGGACCCGTCGGCCTTGACAGCGTTGGCGACAGCGAGGACGAACTCGCGGGAGCCGACACGGTGGCCATCGTTGGTGGAGAGGGGGATCTGGTAGAAGCCGGGCTTGGTGTCACGGGCCTCGCTGTCGGCATTGGCGTTGCCGGCGAGCAGGGTGGCGAGGTTGAAGATGTTCTGGGTGAGGTTGCCAAGGGCAAAGGCACCGCCAGTGAGGACGCTGAGGAGCGAAGGGTCGCCGAGCGGGATGGTCAGGGGAGCCGTCTCGGTCTGGAGCCAGCCCTTGTAGCCCTGGCCGGGGATCAGGGGCAGGAGGTACTGGTTCTTCTCCATCTTGGTGAAGTACGAGCGCATCTTGTCGGCGGCCCACGAGTCGTCGCCGGTCACCTGGCGGATGTACTCAAAGTCGGAGCGGTGGGGGTACACGGCAATGAGGGCGTTGTGGGCGGTGCAGCCACCGAGAGTGCCGGTACGCGGGTAGAGCGTGCCGAGCATCTTGGAGCCCGCAGGCGGGCTGAGGCCCGTGTAGATGCTGCCATCAGGGGTCTCGTAGCTGGTCTTGAAGTCGCGGGCCTGGCGGGCGTCGTCCTTATAGTGGCGGACAAAGAAGTTCCAGGCGAGGGCCTCATCCTCGGAGGATCTGGCAGAGTAGGCCGGGATGGTGTAGTTGACGTTGGCGCCCTGGTCGTCACCAGCCTCAAGCAGCAGGGTCTTGTGGCCGGCCATGGCAAGGCGGGCAGCGACGGGGCCACCGCCGGCACCAGAGCCGACGACGACATATTCGTAGCCAGTCAGGTCGACAGCAGTGGCGACCGAGACGGCCGTGGCGGCAAGGCCGACCAGGCGGGAGAAAAACATTGCGTTGCTGGGTCTCTTTGTCAGCACGGCAGCCAAGCACTGGCAGAGCAGAGGGTGGTCCACTTACGATGGAAAGAGAGTGTAATGGCAGTTGGATGCGGTTGAAGGAATGACTGGATGCACGACGGGAGCGTCGAAGCGTGGCGATCAGAGGCACAGGAGAGTTGCAACGAAGGCCGTCTGATCGTCTTACTATATCCTATGGGGGCAAGAAGAGCCTCGGCGCTGCAAAGAAGGATCTTCCATGAATTCCATCCGGAGTCACCCTTGCCTGCCTCGGACAGACCCCTGAGGAGACCTGGGCTTGGCGGCACGGCACTTTTCCACCCCCAGCAACCATAGCCAGTGATTTGTAAAGCAGGCCGACCATTCAGGTGCCGTCTTGACACGGCCCGCGACAAGTTCCACTGGACCAGAGCTACCAGTCTGGGATTTGGAGACGGCCAGAGCCAGCAATGACAGTGCCCCAACGCACGGGCGGTGCAACTTCCGCACGTGTGGAGAGGTCTGTTCCCCCAGTCCCCTGGGGCGGACATTGCTACTGCCGAACACGGCAACGACTGCCGTGAGAGACGACGCAGGGGCAAAGTCTACTCCACAAGTCGGGGGCCATTCGCAGTGGAGACGCACCTTGCGGGCCGGTTCTCTTTTCATCCCTCCTTTGTGCTGTTGACCTGCCCGCTACCAACGGCAGGCTTGTTGGTGCTTCACAGTCGGAGTTTTGTGAGAGGTCTCCGATTGCTCGCATTACAGGGCCAGTACGGGGCAAGCGGAATAGGCTGTCAATCGGAATCTTTAGTGTAGCAGGTGGTTTTGGACCACACTTCGGGAGCTTGTCGAGCAACCCCTTGAAGTCGGCAGGGCAGGACTGCCGGCAACACCTGCAACCGAATGCGAGTTGACCCAGTACTGTAACCTCACGATAGGATCAGTCTCCGCTGTGTTGCCGGCCCCCGTGGTGTTGCTTGAGTTGCAGGACTCGGACACGTGCTTTTGATGTCCAATCGCCGACTCAATACGAGCATCATCGTATTGCCAAGGAAAAGCACTTCTTCTGGACATGGAACCAACCAACACCACAGCCACCATCATCCTCGTCCCTGCTGCAAATCTTACGACGTCACATGTAATGTATGACAGAGACATTTCATTGCATCAATTTGAGCCAGCTCACTTGCGCGACTGCCGCTTCACCTTCATATCACGTGTCGATTGCGTGTTCTTCGCGCGCAAGTGTGCGCGCGTCTGCGCCCCTTGCAGCGGAAGAGGCTGCCGCACTCTCGACCACACCCTCTCCTTGCTGCCCGCTACATGCAGACTGCAAGGCTACTGCAGAAGTCCCGGCAAGCCACATACTACCCAATGCAGAAAATCGCAGTGTGGGGAAAGACCATGTAACCACTCACTCAGTTGTGGCGCATAGTCTCCGAATACCACCTCACCAGTCCAGCCAAGCGCTGACGCCGCCCGGCGTAAAACTTTGCGCTAACAGTCCCCCGGGGAAAAAGGCCTACCTAGCCCAGGAACCCGCGGAACTGAGAGCTAAGACATGGCGGTGGTGGCGGTTGCCGCTCGGGTCTCGGTGACTTCTGGCGAGTGCTTCGCCTTGACCGAGCTGAGCCCAGGGGTTAATAGGTCCGCCGCCAGGTCGCGGCCGCGGCGCCTATAAGTCAGGCTACTATGTATGCAAGACGAACGGACGGCTCGCTTCTCGCTTTTCAGCTTCTCCTCGGTCCGTAGGTCCCAGCGGGGGCTCAAGACATTGATGGGCTGTGCAACTTCCTCCTGCCACAGGCAGTCTCCTATGGACAGACCCGCGAGCAGAAATGTCCTGCGACTTCTAAACATATTTGGTGCAGGCAACAGTCACGTGGTAATTACTTGGGGCGATGAAAGTGGTGCTGATCACAACAATCAGTGACAATTGTTGTCGTCAGTGGGCCAGATGGGAGGGACATGAGCATGGGTCGACGCAACGCCCCGGAACGCATTGACCCAGAGCAGACTTGTAATTACGTGCCCACGCGCTTCGCGGCATAAAGGCCGGATGATGAATGGCCCTGGTGGCTCGAGACGGCACTAGCCGGCACGCCGCACGCTGGGAGGAGTGCACGGTTCAGCCGTTCACTGACAGGGGGTTTCCGGGCGAGGGGTACGCCACACCACACTTGCACAAAGTGAGCCGACGTCCGGTGTGATGGTGAACAGGTTCTCTTTGGTGCAGATTTGTTGAGGGGTAGGTGGCGCAAATCGCGCGGAGGTTTGATCCCCCTAAAAGCAACAATTGAAGGTTGTTTGAAACAAACTCTACTATCTTGGCCCCTGGTTCCAGGGAGCCGATGACACTGCGCAGCTCTGGCGGTATAAGGCCCCGTAGCCCAGTCATGCAAGTGACTCGTCCGTCCGCATGTTGGGCTAACTTTGGCTGGATAGCGGCAGCAACCTGCTCGAGGACTTCGGGAGAGGTGATGACGGGCTCAAAAAGGGCATTGACCTGCGAGGACTCGTCGCCCGTCGTGCAGACGCGGACCTTGAGCGGGTTGGCCTCGTCCTCGGCGACACTGTCGTAGAGGCCCAGCTGGAAGATCATGGGCTGGTCGCAGACGCGCAGGCGCTGGAAGGACGACAAGACGTCCCAGTCGTCGGCGGCGAGGTCGCCGCAGGCGCGGGGGCAGGTATGCTGGTCCGAGTAGAAGGTGTTTGGGTCCGCAGGCTCGTTGAAAAAGTCGACAGAGAACTCCTGCGCCTGGGAGAAGGGCAGCGCAGACCACAGGGCCGCTGCCAGGCCCAGCTTGCGATGCATGGCAGGCAGGCCGGAGGTGGCGGGGATCAAGAAATTAGTGTGCGATAATGTGTCGGTTGCCTGTCACGCAGCGCGAGTAGACTTCAATACTCGTGCCGAGGAGAGGCTGTCTGTGAGATCCAGAGTGCAGGAGATATCCTTCTTTATACGAAACGATCTCGACTACATGATGCGTGTGGGTGCCGACGCAGCGCACGCCTGCGTAGAGGATTTGCGCTTGAGTTTCGGACGGAGCCAGTCGTATAGGTGATCCTGAATCCTGCCCTGCCCTGCACAAAAGCCGCCACAACAGATGGCGGACTGCGGTGCTCGCGTGGCTCCATGCCAAGCATGTCAGATTCGACACAGGGGGGCTGGCAGCCCAGCGACAACCTGCAGAGGGACCTGCCGATGCAACGATGCATTTGCGCCACTGCCCCTGCCGAGCTAGGAGCAGGTTCGCGATCCTGTGCGGCCCTATTATCTCTGGGCTATTAGGCTCGCTTGTCTTCTCAAGCTTATCCGCCCTAGGCATTTAAGGCTGCATGGCCCGTATGGGCTCTTGCTGATGGCGCCTGCCAAGAGGCAGTGTCCTACGCAAGGGAGCCGTGCCCGGGCACGTGAGTGGTCCCCGGAGCAGGCCTATAGAGCTTGTCGTTACATCCTGACTGCGAAAAGCCTCAAATGCTGACGCTAGGTGCTGACAGAAGTTGCTTGAATGTAGCACGGATACGAGTGCCGAGGACGCCGACAAGCGGCCGCGTCGTATGGATAGCCAATAACTTGCTAGAGATGTCGTTCTTGCAATGAATGTGCAGTGGTACCTTACATCAACCATAGCCACGCAGGGGGGGGGGGAGGGGGGACTGCCTACTTGAGCCGCATTGAGGACGTGATGGGACACATGGCTGGCCGCCGGGTTGCTTGTCATTCTATCCCAGGCACGTCTCCGGTACAACATGAACCATTGCGTGCGAATGGCACGTAGCAATCAACCAAAGATAGTTACATAGCAATGAACGACGGGATTCAGTCAAGATGTGGATATGCACAGACACAGTTCGAGGTTGAGCCAGTTCCCATATAAATGCACCCACACGACCCTTAGCCGCTATCAAGAAAGCCTAGGTCATGGTTGTAAGCACTCGGGTCTGCCACCACAAGGTCGAACTGCATCCCCTGAAAATCGACGTTCATCATGAAGACCGCGCTCGCGGTCATTGCGACAGTCTGGGTCATCGCGCCTGGTGCTCTGGCTGTCGGGCCCCGTGGTGCTGCCGAGTGGTAAGCTAATATATGAGCATCATCTGCGGAGGGACATGCAGGACTGCCAGCGCTCAGATGGCTAACGAGAGAGAGACAGTGGACTCTTTTGGGAGACGTATCTGTCGGAGGAAATCTATCCAGATTCCCGATCCGGACTCTTCACAATTAGACTCGTCCCATGTTCGCTTTCTTTGCTGAGATAAAGCGGTGTTATCTCTGACGTCGCATTGCCTCTCGAGCTGTTCCACTTGATATTGCTTCTTGGTTAAAACCCTCCGTATTGGTTTAGCTCCGTCTAACGATCCTCGACTAAAGCCTCGGCTTTGGTCGTGGACCTTTTGGACAGCGAAGCATTCTTCTGATAGTGTCTTTAGTTGGGTACCCGCCCGGTCTATTGTGTCTCTGATGGCAATAGGAATGCCTCCGGGTATGTTCGCTGCGGCGTAGACAAACTGTCTGATAAATCTGATGGAACTATGAAACTTTTCCACTTCTCCTGCCTGTACAGTAGTGACCGCGAATTGTGTCCGCTTTTTAGACTTTAGTTACTGCTCCCGCACGGACCATAAAACTGTGACACATTATGCCGTACACTGTGCAGATTGTCCTAAAATCCAGTACCCTCCAAAAGTGGATTACAGCATAACATGCGGCAGTTGGGGGCCGTTTCTTCGTCACCTCATGTGCAATGGTGATCATCGCGAATCGTCGGACAATCTTCGCCATGCCCGTCGCAGGATGACGGCACAGTATGACGGGGTCCTCACAACGCGGAGCATTAAAGGCCACTTTGTGCCTGTTGATGCGGGATAAATTTAACTCGAATGTCTATTCTGCACACATACATATGCGAACACTTTCTGCTGTGGCGCACGACCAAAAGTTGGCGTCATGGTCAGCCTCTCCTTACGCGAGGAAGCCCAACGGGGTATAATAAAGGAGAAGTAAGTCTGCCCCCCGTCTCGCGACCAGAGTACCTCGCGACCACCAAGTCCCCACCAAAATCGCTAAAACTGCTCTTTTTAGGACCCCTGTTACCTCCCCTATTTTATAAGATAACGTAAATGCATAGCGAGTGGGCCAGCATAGCGAGTGGGCCACCCCCACCAGATCTCGAGAATCAAAACCTCGTCAGCGAAACCAAAACGTCTTGAATTGATATAAACTAATCGCTATCTTCGAGTTCAGACCCTAGAGTAACTATTTGGCAAGTTCTCGCATTATGGCCAGTCATCCCGCAGGTACCACAGCGGCACTGCGTTGGCGTAGTGCCGCCTGCATGACCTCGATTTTCTTGCGTTTCCTGTGTTATTTGAGTGTTCACCTCTCTCTGGGCTATAAGGTCCTGTCCCTCGCCTAGAGTCATGCTCTGGCCTTTCCGGAGACGTGTTTTCTTAGCTCTCCGGCGCTTACTAAGTACTGCATTCTCGTCTTCAAGCATCTTCATCCTTACCTCCATTAGGGCGAACCGGTGCATGATCCCCTTTGCTCCCTTCGTGAACTGCTCAACTGCTTCAATAATTAACGTTAGAGAGCTTCCCTGGTAACGAGAGATCCGACGTTTAATGAAATTAGACTATGAACGGGCTTCCATAGCGGTAGTGGGCGTTCGGGAAGTCCATGGCTCCGGTGACGTCCGAGGCGTCCTCGAGGGTGTTGGCGTCTTGAACTTCACATCGAGCTTAGATAAAACGGCTTCAGGGTTATAGGGTACAAGTCCCGCCCCTCTGAAGCCTCCCTGGATGTTTTTTTCCGTCATTGTCTGCTGGAATGCCGCTAAAAACGAGGGGAGGAAGTCCTCCTTGCTCATATACGTTATACCCGCCTTCATCTTAAGCTCAATTTGCCGACCGTATACTTTCTTCAGCGGACCAAAACAGCCAACATCGAGAGGCTGGAGTATATAAGACGAGTAAGGAGGCATACAGAGCGTAATAATAGTATTGTCCTTACAGTAGAGCTCGAATTCGACCGAGTGGTAACTTTCGTAGCCGTCGAGGACGAGGAGGCGATAACCGCCTTTTGATCGCGACTTTGTGTGCTGATCGAAACGTCGAATCCAATCTAGACCAATTTCGTTTGTAGTCCAGCCGTTTGCGGATGTTACGATTCTCCAGTCGCGAGGAATCGCGTTATCTTGGTACCAGGTCGAGAGGTGATATTTGCCGGCAAATACTACGAACGGCGGGACGTAGAATCCAGTCGCGCTAACGCCCTGGATTACCGTAACCCATTCCCGATTACCTGGTTGCTTCATCTTAACGTTCGACCGTATTTGCGCGTTTGTAATGACCATCCCGGTCGCGATAACGCCCATCTGAAAGCCTATCTCGTCGAAGTTGTAGATATCGGAGTCCGCTACGCCGTTTTTCGCGACTACGTTCCGCACAAGCCGAAACCACGCGTTTATCGCGTCGGGATCCTCGCATTGGGCTCTCTTGTAGTCGTACTTGCGAAAGAAACGCGTCTGGAGCTGTGGTTGTCGCTTAACGAAGTTTGACGCCCATCGTGGACCGACGCGTGGCGCAGCCCGCTTATCGAGCAGTCGATTCGCCATTTCTCCAAGCTCACTTAGCCGAGGAGGATATGCTCGCGCATCCAAGTCGAGAATATAGTCGACAATCGTCTGCTCCTCTAGCTCTGTTAATTTCATCGAATTTGGTAGGCTATCGCGTCGAGAAGGCGTCCCCTTATAGCGGCGGGTAAGCGTTGTTCGAGAGACGTTGTAGATTGCAGCTGCGCGGCGTATAGAAAGGGAAGGATCACGGTCCATAGCTTGAAGAGCGAGATTCAATTGGTTATCTTTAGAAGGCGTCTCCATAGCTGGTTGTTGAGTAAGATGTGTTAGAAGATGGAATTCTAGTGAAGTGATGGAGGTGGCCCACTCGCTATGCTGGCCCACTCGCTATGCATTTACGTTAGCAGAACGCGCGGATCGATGTGAAAACCAATCAAAGTTAGCTGACCGGACGTCGACCATGGCTATCGCTAGGGTCTAGACAGATAGAAGAAAACCCCCAACTTTCATCATGTTGTGAAAGCTTGACCAGAACGTCCTCCGGTGAAACCACCAGACTACCTAGACCGATGCCGACACGGCCCGTCGCCCGCTCCCCGGTAGAATAAGACACACACACACACCCTCTACAAACTACCCTGCTCAAATCCCGCGTCCGTACCTACCACGCCAAGACCCCTGCTCGGTCGGCCGCAAGTCCGTCGTGCTCGAAGCATCCCCGGCATCGTCCACCGTCTGCGCAATGACCATCTGCTTGACGATCTCCTTGGACCTGCCGTTGGGCAACTGTTCGCGGTTGTGGTACGCGCCGTCGCTGCCCCCCATGCCCATGGCGCTGCCGTTCTCGCCCAGCTCCATCTCGTCGATCTCCGTGTACGGCGCGCTGCGGATGTTGTTCCGGCCGGTGCCCTTCCTGCTGCTCGACGCGCCGTAGCCGAACTCGTACGAGTTGCTCCCCGTCACGGCCTTCTTGGGGTAGAAGTGGAACCAGATGGGTCGGAGGGTCGGGAGGCACGCGCACACGACGGCCATGGAGAGTTCGATGTTTGTCCAGTAGAAGACTGGCGCGGTGTAGTCTGGATGGAGAGCGCCCGTGGTTAGTCAGTGGGTTGTGACATACAGGTGAGGCCGCGCGGGAGTGGTCTTACAGATGATGTCGTTGGGATGGCGCACGTATTCGTTTGCGACGCTGGTGATGGCGATGACGCGAGTAACACTGATGGCGCATGTTCTGGAACACGGGGAAGACCGCTGGGTTAGTCACGGCGCTCCAAAGATTGGCGGGGATAAAGCACTTACGCAGCGCCCAGGCTCAGCATGCCAATGACCGCCAGCTTAGTCTTGAGCTGAAGCTGGAGACCCATGATCATGGGAACCGGCAAGACCAAGATGGCAAAGTCGGCGACGACATTTGTGTAGAGAACTGTGAGGAACATGGCTGCCTGGTTGACACAGTTCTTGTGCTCGAAGAAGTCGATGAACGTGTCGATCGGGTAGCAGGTGAAGAGATGCGAGAAGAAGAAGCTGACTGTCCACACGCCGACATATGCGAGCATGCCATAGGTGACCCATTTGAAAGTGGTGCTGGGGAAGAGGTTGAGGTACAGCACGAGGATCGAGCATTTGACGAGTCCGAGCCCGAGGATCGAGAGCATGTTCATGACGAATTTGGACTGTAGAGCCGCGCAGGACTGGTTAGCAACACATTCCCGCGGCGCGAGTGAGGGGTCGCGACAAAACGGCATTATGGCATGGGGAGTTGACGAACATTTTCGAAGAACGCCAGACCCGGGTCGTTCATGTCAGCCGTTCCATCAGGGAGGAGGGCTTGGTGAGTGCCCAGACGGCCTTCGACGGCAGCTGCGTAAGATGTCAGCCTTGTGCTAAAACGTCGATGTATATCGACGGCGCAGCGCGCGAAATGCCAGTGGATTGAGTAACGTACCTGCCAACTGCAGGGCGCAGCAGATGATGGAAAGGATCTGCAGAGAATCATGGGGGATAAGCACCCAATCGCAAAAGCCAATCTTGCACAGACCAGACCGGCGAACTTACCAGTGCACCTCCAGCCAGGTAGTCGTCCAAGGTGAATCGGCCGATCAACAGCCTCGCCCATACACGGAGGGCATAGAACAATATGGACAGGAACATGAAGGCCACGGCCAGACCGATGACCTGCTCCTTGGAGTACTCCGTCGTCATGTTCACCATGATGGCGGTTGGAGTCGGCAATATTTCGAGTTGACGAGTAGCACGTTGCGTCGATCACTGAGATGGCGGATCTGGGATGGGGACGGCGAGGGTGGAGGAGAAGTATATATCCATCGACTTGGCGCTTTCATCACGAGGGCACTGTACAAAACAGTGTTGCATTCATCATTGTCTACTTCTGGAGGCCCAATAGGCGGACATCCTCGTCATTGCCCGCCGGAACTCCGAAATCCGGCATATTTCACTAGTGACCTCCTGTGGATCGCACGATTGCAACGTGGCACTCACGCGAACTTGTCGCACTAGACTTGCCTGACGAGCAGTGACGACGTCGAGTGCCACATAACATCAAAGAATGGAATAAGCGTCACATCGTGCTATCGAAAAGGGGTCGTCAGCCAAGAACAGAAAGTATCCAAAAGGGTTCTCGCGCTCATATACCTGAGGGGTTTCATGATGTTTAGTCACAAGCCTGAATAACTTTGACTGCACCTCGCCGTATTCATTGCAGTAAAAGGCCGCGCAGCCACAAGGCTGTCCACATGCCGAGCCATATGCATGGTATCGGAGGATCATTAAAGGTCACGTGGAGAGTCGAGAGTTGGATAGACCCTGACCACCTGAGCAGGGGAAACTTTAAAATGCACAAATGCAGTTAGAGCTGATGACTAACAACTGACAAGGCCGATGGCGACACGCAAGATAGCACTTGCAGCCCGGACCAGTCCATCGTGAGTGGTCTTGGACTGAAACAATGTAATTAATCCTGTGCTCGGTCTAGACGTTCGAGCTGGTGAGGGCCCATGTCGTGACAGAGCTGGTGGATGCTGCACACAGAGCTAGGTGCTCGACCCTTGCAACGATGGCCACCGCAGCAGTGACTGATGGATTATTTCCCTCCCATGTCTAGCTTGCGAGCATATTTTCCCCCTTTCCCTATCGTCGCCTGCGTCCTAATCTCCCATATGGACAGAAGACGTGACAAAGTGGGCGCCAAACGTTAATCAAAAACGGGGCGTTTTGGTACCAGGTCCCGACCCAAGATCCATGCTCAATTGTTAGTGACTATGTTGGGCTAGGGGTCCTCGCTCATGATCAGGTCCTTAGTCAGGTATAGAACCCCCACGATCAGGGGTGTGCCTGAATGACATGGGTTGCCGGTCAAGATACTCCAGGGGTATCTACGCCCTAAGCATGGAGAGTGACAGCGGTCCGAGCACAACTGCTTCTTCCACCGCAGGTCGGACGTGTCCGAAGCCCTTTGTGTCCTCTAGAGGAACCGATGGCGGTCTAATCAAGATGGTCGTTGCAGAAGGCCTCGAGGCCGGTATGTTCCTTACTTCCGATCAAGGTTTTGCAGGGTCTTGGCTGCAAGACCGTGCGTGGTTCTCCATCATCTGCATTGAATCGCGGGTTGGCTCCCGAACGTCTCTTGTTGATCGGTCCAAGCCGAAGTAAGTATTGAATGGAGGGCTGTGGACGCGGTGACGTAAGCGAAGCCGTCAGCCGAATTTCGACAACGACGAGGGTGGCATAGGAGGACAAGCTTTGGCAGTGGACCCCCAGGGGTGAGTCGGCTCCAGATAAACTAGCCAGTGGGCCCAGCTGGGGCGACTTGGAACCTTACCAAGGGTATCTCACTCGACTCAACACCGCACTGTCGTTATCTTGCTCATCTGAGTGACGAGGCCCTGTAACAGCGTTGGGTTTCCCTGCTTGACAGAGCTCCCCCAAACTACGCAGTGACTGGGCGTTGTGCGATTGGCTGGCAACTCGGGTGATTATCATCGACCCATTGTGGTGGAGTATCTGGCCAGGGCCGCCTTGAAAGTATGCAGGAGCCGGCATCATCCAGTCGAGTTTGCATACACGTGCTTGCGTTCCCGTCATGAGTGCATGTGGCCCGGTGGATGCTTTGCGGGTTGTGCCTGCTGTTCCAAGCCCTGGTCATATGCCGGGCACAGTCGTGTCACTGGTATATGCTTCGAGCCTTGCTCGCCGCCAGTGACCATCGATATTTGGCAGTCGGGTTGCTACTTGAGCTATTGGCAGTTATCTAGCCGCCGTTTGGTCCGTATTGTCATCTCCCGGTCTACCAACGCAACCCCCCCCTCTTTAACGACATCTATCAGCGGATCTGAGCTGTGATCCTATCCTTGGAACCCCATACGGCGACACGAGACGAAGAATTGCATGCAGAACTCACAGCCATATCTTCAAACTGATCTCGATCTGCCAGAATGGCCCCCCTTCAAATAACGGTGGTACCACCCCTCGACGCCAGTCGTGTGATAGGTGCCATGGCCAGAAGCTGCGCTGCGTGCGCGACGCCAAGAGTGATATCGGTGCTTGCGTTCGCTGTCTCCGCCAGGGCACCCAGTGTGTGTACAGCCTCAGCTTGCCGAAAGGACGACCAAGCATGTATCGTTGGGCCGATACAGTCGGACCTGGGGAGACACAACCCACCAAGACGACCGCATCGTCGTCAGACGCCGCGTCAGACGTCCAGCCCGAAGTAGAATCAAGTAGCAACAATAGTGGGAGCACCGCAAGCGGCAGCAGTACTGGCTCATCTAATGGACGCCCAGGAAGCGCGGCTCGGTCCAGCAGCTCCAGCAGCTCTTCCGGTGACGACGACAACATCAACACTGGTAATTATGTGGCACAGCCATCCAGCAGGTCAGACTCCGGCTCGAGCCTTGCCAAGCCGACTGACGAGGATGCCGTCATGAATGATACTCTTCTCCCTGACACTGATGCCTTCGGCGCCTCCTGGCTCGACCCAAACGCCTGGTCCGGTACTGAGATGCTCGAGAACCTCGGCCCAGCGTCCCAACTGGACTTCAGTTCGGTGCTGGAGCACTCGATAGACCCAAACATCCGCCACCAAGATGTCGACATTGACTACTTCAACCATCAACAACACCCGCCAAGGTGGCGGGAACGAAGTCACTCTGCCTTTTGTGGCAGCACCAGCTCATTGCCTGACCTCTCTACAGACCACGTCACAAGCATAAGCCAACTTTCGCAGTTGACCATGAGGCTATCCCAGCTTTATCGGTCAAATGAGAGTCTCAATGAGACTGTGCGCATGTCGTACCGACGCGGCTCTGTCGGCCACGACGGGCACGTCAGAAGCCCTCTGGTCGACGACGGCGTTTTTAAGCTGGTCTCCGCGTGGTTGTCCTACCTCTCTTCGAAAGCGACCCCTCAGACATCCATCGACCCGCCTACTTCGCCCGACGACGGCGCAGACGTCCTTGGTGTCGTACTGTGTGGCGTCTTCACTGCATCAGGGGATCTGCTCGAGATCCTTAGAGGCCTGATGCCACCGTCCGACCCTTGGAGCGCCGCTCCCGCTCACCACGGCAACATGAGCTCCAATTTCAACTCCCTGACGACGGCACCCAATGGTGCCACTTGCCAACCCAAACCCCAGCATCAGCATCAGAAGCACCGCGTCCGGACGGCATCTGTGAGCAGTCAGGCTGTCTCTCAAAGCCCCGTCACCAGCCACCTTCTCTTAGCATGCCACACCATGCTCCTGACCATCTACAACTTTGTGCTGATCGCACTCGAGAGCGACGTCGATCTGTGCTGTCTCAACACCGCGTCCCTATCTTCTCCTCCAGCCGACCTAATGCTGGGCACAAGACTCGGCAGTACGAGGAGCAGCTCAAGTGGTGGTTTTGGCCTCGGCGGCCATCCTTGCGGCGGTCCCTGTGGCGGCATCGGCCCGCTATCTAATATCCGGCTCGTCATGGTCGTCCAGCTCTGCTCATATCTGATCAACCAACAGCACCAATCTATAACTACCTATTTATCGGGTGTCGCTGCCCCGAGGGACGGGCAGTTCTTTTCCTCCTCGCCATTAAGGAACACCTCAGCGAGTTGGGAACAAACGTCGATTAATGGGGATTACAAAAGCGTTACCCAGCTAATGTCTGATATTCAGGCGAGGACGAACCGGCTTTTGAAGAGTCTCGGGGTATAAGAGTGTTACTGTAGTAACTTATACGTATTATAAAAGATTATTCGGCGTCGCTTCGCGATCTATCTCTTCTATAGTGGACATGTGCTATTGTTTATTGCTATTTTACTAATCTAATTACTACTATAGCGCCAGGAGCTTTGAAAGAATAGACCGCGAATTTCCTCATATCATTCTTCGAAGATATAAATCTAGGCACTATTCATGCAAAGAGAGTGACTATTCAATCGGTTCGTGCTTCTATTATCCCATTAAAATTTTGAGCTCACGGCCCAGTAGAAAATACGCAGCTGGCCCGGCGGCTCCACGGCTAATCTAACACTTTTTTGGTGCGGTGTATTTCTTCGGGAAACGCACTGTAATTGCCATAAAACTCCAACGACAATCGATATAAGTCCGAGGCCAACCATGCCAAGCTCTGAAGCTACGAGACATCAACGGGGTCATTGCCCCAAGTGCAGCACCCGATGTCGACTTTCAATCAAGTCGAGAGGTCTGCTTCGTGAGCTCGGGGCCAACAGTGAGGTCAAGGTCAGCCATCGGGCGAACGAGGGCGCCGCGGAAGTGCGGTAGATAGGGATGTTAGTCCCATCATGGACAAGCAGCATGAACGGCTGAAGGACAAAATGAGTCTCTCCACAAGGTGATGTTTGCTACTGGTGTTTAAAACAATAGAATGCTGCCGCCGTCTTGACCTCAAGTTCAGTTCTGGACAAGGTTGGTTATCGATATACCGGGCCGGCTTGAGCCAGCTGTACCATTTCGCGACTGCCTAGGTAGTACTTATACCTCAGGCGAACCACTTCGCTCCTTTCGAGCATTTCGAAGATTGCACCTGACGCACCTGCCTGAGCATAGATCAGCCCCAGGACAGTTATCATCGATCCGCCGCTCGGAGACGTATAGGTCCACGTCTCCGTTGCACAGGCTCCCGGCGACAGCGCGACAACCATATTCAGAGTCTGCTCACGAGCACTTGCCAGATCTTCAATCGTCCTCGACAAGATGCTGCTCAGCTCACCTATCACGGAGCGCGCTCCACTCCGCCTGTCCAGATGCGACCCAAGCTCCCTGCGTCGCCTATTCCTGTATCCCCAAGAGAGGGAAAACCTTTTCCCGGCCTAGAGAGAGGGCCTCATATGCGCGAATCTGCAGTTCATGAGCGTTTCTTCAATGTTTTCTGCGGGGAGATCTTTTGCCGTGCTTGTGTTCGCTTGAGTCGCTTGGTGAGCCAGCCACGCCCTTCCCTCCACATTAACCTCCGACAAGTGTCGGAGAGAGGGGAGATGGGATCTCAGATTCAAGCCAGTAAGGATCACCCAGACATACCACTGGATTGAGACCCCGGTCTTTTCGGCGCATCAAAATGGCTGCCGGTTGCTTGGTGCACACGTGGGTTCATACGCGTCTCCGAGCATGTCCGGGACCATCTTAGACGTCAAGTTATCGACCTGGAGACAAAATGGCTGCTAACATGGTATAAAGGCAGAGTATTTCGCCCCTCATTCATCTCAAACTGCGGATTCAAACAAACCAAAAGCCATCTAGCGACCCTGTCCATCATTCAGCCCGGTAGTGGCCGTCACTACCAGGGGCAAGTTGGGGTAAGCCCATAGTCAAGGCTGAGTCAGCGGGCTGGGGGTTAGCTCGAGTGACGACCACTACCATGACAGTCATTACCAGGGCGAAACAAGGGGTGCGCGTTCCCTTGCCTCAACCCCCGGGACCTGGGGTAAGGACCAGGGGTTAAAGGGGGCTGCGCGAGGGAGGGTTGGAGGGAGAGAGATAGAGAGAGAGAGGGAGAGAGGGAAGCAGGCGACACGTATTTCCTGGTTTGCAAGTATGATCAACTGGTTGAGCTGCTATGCATTCGGCTGCAGCAATGACGACTACAAGCACCAGGTTATCGGCTATGGCAGTGCGCTACGAGTCTGACGGCGGCGTTACTGGGGGCCAGGTCGGTCTGCTAAGCTGGTCTGCGAGCAGCGGCGGCGGCAGTGGTAGCGGTAGTCTAGAGCACCGGGTCGTCATCTGCATGTCGTGTAAGGTCGGGATTCGGCCAGGCGACGGCGTACAGCTACACTTCTGGCGGATCCACCGTCTAAAGGGCGAGGTGATGCGACAGATCCTCGATTACAGCTACACGGCCGAGCCGATCGCCAACCCGCAGGCCGTCCCGGTACCCGCCGACGGTTCGCCTTTTGTGCAGCAGCTGCCAATCGTCGACGGCCTCAGCTGCTCGGACTGCCGCTTCCTTACGACGAGCCGGAAGCTAATCAGGGTCCACCGCTCGCAGTCAGGACACGACAGTACCTGGAAGGAGGTACGACTTCAGAGCTTATCGCGAGGAAGCCGCGCTCGGTACTCGGTAGTCGAGCAAGTACAGGGTAGCATAGGACCTGATGGGACGACTAGCCTAAGGTCCACCGCCTCTGGCTCCCCTCAACGTCTACTAGCGGACTGTCTTGCGAGATACGAAGAAAGCCTGGCGGCCGAGCTCGAGGAGACACGCCGGATAGAGATAGCCGGACAGGACCAAACTTCGAGTCAACCTGGGTTCGCGAGATGGGCTGGGCGAGACACCTAGCCGGGAGCGACATGGGCGTGCACTTCCGGACGAGCTTGAGCGCCTTATCTGCCGTAGCGCGCGCTAAACTCCGAGGCGAGGCAGAAATTACCGAGCAGGACCGCCTCCTCCGGCTCGGGGCGAGCTTCGAACGGCTTATCGCGAAGGCTCTCGAGCGGACAGCGCAAGTGCCGAACGAGATGCTCCGCTACCTAGCCAGCTCGGACGCCAGCCGCCCGGCTGCAGGCCCTTTCAAGACGGAGAAGGAGCAGGGCACAAAGGACCGGTACCTAGTCTATTGGAAGCGATATCTGTTACTGCATCCGGGCAGGCCGGCTTGGCCGAGAAGAGGCCACAGAGAAGCTCCGGATCCGGTTCAACGACGCCCAGTGGGCTACACTCACGGACATCATCCAGAGATTGGACAATACCTCTACTAGTAGTAAGGACGATAATAACTCTGTAGCCTCGTCTACCAAGAGCGATTCCGAAGAGCCAGAGACTCTAGAGTATAAGATGGACGGAGGAGATAACCACGTCGAGGATCCAATAGACCAGGCCGTGATGGCCTTCTGTGTCGAGTCGCTCCAGCCAGGCCGGCAACTCCTTAAAGTCAGTCCGCCGCAAGCTCAGCAGAAACTCCGTGGCGTAGGACTGGTTATGCTGCCGTTCCTCTTCTTCAGGGCTGAATGCACGCCAGTACAAGTTCGCCACGAGGAACGCGATAAACTTGACATTCTGAAACGGCTTATGATTGAGTTTGTACTCCTCTATTGCCAAGTCGCGGAAGGAAACTGGGGATGGGGCTGCTCGATGATGGATCTCTGGGCCATAGATGATTCTAAAAGCGATTTGAGCCACATCTTTCATGCCAGTGGACACTCTCTCAACACGGCATAGTGACTTGGCATCCAGATCTCCTAAGACACAAAGAAGAAGCTCGACAGGCAGCCGTGTCAGCAGGCATGAGGGGCCGACACTCCTCGCATTAGTGTCCATAACCGAGATGGTCTTGATTTCCTAGGCAGAGATAATTGAAGCGAGCGGAGCAGGGCGTGTGAGACAATTTTGGCCCGGAAAATGATGAAATAACCGGATTGCCTCTACATCATCTATCTGAGGTAACTCTGAAATTGCGCAAGATCCGCATTCCCGGTCTACCGTCGTATGTCGGAGATCACAAGCTCTCAGGCTATGGGCTCATATGATCAACGCAGGTAGCCTTAAGTGAGTAGACTTGACTTTATCGATTGCATGAATATTTGTTTGTTAGGATTGCTTGGGTGTGTGGATTGTTTGAGCTGGTTTGTTTAAGTTCCCCAAACGTCACGATCGTCAGCCCCACGGGGAGGACCTACTGACTCCATCGTCAGCCGCTGCTGGGACACGGCAGGCCCTGCCATCAAGCAACAAACAAAGTGTGATGTGGAGCAGCAAATGGGCCATTTGGGTGATATCACCGGTCCAACCCAAGACAGTTACATATAGATCTCCTGGCTATTTGGGGCGAAACGAAGAGACGACCTTTTGTCCCTCACGGAGAGAAACCTGATTCAAATATGATAATTTACCATCTTTCTCTCCTTCTTGCTGCCACAACTGCAATGGTTGCAACGCAGTCTGCAGCTCAAGTGCATATATCAGAGGCCAGTGTATCACAGGCTATTCCCGTGAATCAGAACGAGGAAGACCCGAGCCAGGACGACAACGCCATTCATCCAAGAGCTGGGGGCTTTTGGAACAGGGCCTGCGGTTGCGTCCGCTACCTTGATCACGACGCCACTGCTGCGGTCGTTAACGCGCTCATTGGCGACGTGCAGGGCTATGTAGACCCGGCCCGCAAGATTTTACCGCACGAATCAATCATCGAGCACAATCACGGCGTGATGGCCTTCATCGTAAACAATGATGATAGAGATGGAGATCGGACCCTTAATATAACCGCGGACGAAGTCCGGCGCGCCTTTAAATCATATCTCAAATCACTGTGGCTTATTTGTAGCTGGGACAACGGGAACAGAGAACACTTTTGCTGTTGGCTATAACGTAGTCCACAAGTGACCCGGCCATACAAGTGATCCGGCCATTTCTTATCGCCGCTTATGTAAGGATTTTGAATCCTTTATAACTTCTTTATTTTAGGAGATAGAAGGGCGTAGTTAAGTCTATCCGTAAACGATAAGGATAGTTAGCTTTTTTACTACCTTAGCTAACGTCTAAAATATTTATTTAGTAGTAAAGTAAGAAAAGTGGAGAACGAGCTATGTAAAGCTCTTAGTTAAGAGTGAGATATATAATTAAGGAATAAGAAATTATTAGAGGAGGTAGATTACTCTTATCGTTTACGAAGGGACTTAAGTAGAGCTTTATATCTTTTAAGTTCAGGAAGTTATAAGTATTTGAAGATCCTAAGATAAGCGGCGATAAGAAATGGCCGGGTGTGACGGCCAACCAACAGGGGATGCTTGTTACGGACGCAAAAGAGCCCAAACAACTAGGCCACAGGATCAGGCCAAGGACAAGGGCGGATCATGTGGCAGCACCGTCACAGGTTTCTTATGTAAGCACGATAAGGGACGATAAGGAAGGTACGTACCGGTCATGCATATCTGCATGACCGACGCTGTGCCAAGAAGGATGGTCACCAATATCTGCATGACCGTCAGGACCAGATTCATGACCTGGCCGCGACCATCGGGCTCAGAGTCATGACCACGATGAAGGACAAAGGATATATAGAGTACGGAGGATCTCCTTGTGGACAGTCATTACCTTTGTACTTCAGCGATCAATCTAAGTATCATTCTCACCCTTCACTTGACCTAGTCACTCAATTGACCCGAGTGTGATATCTCGCAAGAGACACGAACGACAACCCCTCGAGAACACGACAAGCACGGAGTCAGTATTGCATAAGGTCGCTACCTACCTTATTCAGGACATAAACCCCACAGCGCCGATCAGACGGTTGACCCCGGAGATCGGATCGTGACATCTAAGTATCAGTTTCACCCACACTTGAACTAGTCACTCAATTGCCGAGACTGGTATCTCTTCCAAGAGACACGAACGACAACCCAGAGAGAGAACGACAGCAGAGTGTTAGTTGTTATTGTACAGGCTTTACCTATCTTGCAGAACAGCAACCCCAGCGCCCTGCCAGACGGTTGACCCCGGAGGCAGGATCGTGACACCGGGTCACTTGTGGACTACGTTATGCTGGATAGCGACGGAGAGGATTTGGTGAATAGCATGTGGAGGTCGAAAGCGGAAAAATGCTGATAGACAAATCTTGAGTGGCTAGCTTCTAAGCATCCTAACGGAAGCAGGAGTTTTATGTAATGTAGGACTACAGGAAAGAAGTTATTGAGCATATGTAGTTTCCCTTACATACTTGATAGGCTCCTCTCTTTCTCGCCTTCTGGTCTCTTTGGCGTAATATCATTCACGCGATGGTGGCATTTTGTGTTTGAAAAATGTAAGGCACGTTGTGCTCCTTCAAACTAAGCGTGTGGAAATGCCTGTATTTAGTCCTCGAGATTCGGGCGTGTCCCATTTCATCGCGTTATCTTGTAATATGCGGAATTGAGGAGACCTATCGATGTCACAAGGCAGCCCTAAGAAGTTCCTGCTATTACGTGCACTACTTAATTAGTTCCCGTACAGTTCGTGCGTACCATACGTTAGTTCCCGGACACTAATGGGGAAGATTCTCAGCAGCAGGCCCGCTAGAGCCACTCCTTGTAAATGTCATTGCTCCGCCGTACAGCCTTGATGTCTTCCATTTTCATACGCCACGCATAAAAGTATAATTACGGTACATAGCACAAACCTCTCCAACAACGACGGGAATCTTGCGCATACCCCAGTTGCCTGTTCCCATCTTCCAGCTGAAGTCCTTAGAGCCTTGGACGACTTCGCCTTGTTGCCGTTGGATCCAAGTTCGGCAGCCAGATTCGACCACGGTCTAGCCGACTTTGATGGGGATGGGCGACCTGGAAGCCCCTTGAAAAACTCGCCCGCAACCTCGACTACGGAGAGGGGAGCCGAACGGCTTTGCATGATACTGCATTCGGAGGAGAACAGAGCACCCAGGTCCAGCTCTTGACCGACATAATCGGAAAGATCAAGATACCTCAATGTGTGTGACGAGAGAGTAGCTGGTGGTGTTGCAGAACACTGAGCATCTTCATCCCGGTTAAATACCCGAGAATCAGCCACGAATAACCTCTCCATATCAGCGACTGTCAAACCTCGACCTAGCGCAAGCTCATGAAGATGGTTCATAAGCCCCCGGAGAAGCAGAATATGTGCTGAGCCCATTTCGCTGCCTTTCAGATTCAACGACCGTAAGCTCCGTGGCAAGCTTATCAATAGCTGCGAGACATCATTGTCCCTAAGCCCGCATCGAGTACGGAAGTCGACTGCAAGGTTCAGGACGACTAGGCTATCTTTTACGCTGGGACGGCTCCGCAAAAACTCGAGGACAGCGTTGGCTGTCAAATCATTACACCTGGACAGATTCAGATGCGTAATTCGCGCCGAGTGCGGTATCGACTGCAGAGCCTGATCAGAGACTTTCGTGCCGGCAAGATCGAGATGGGTAAGGGCGCTCATCCGATGCAGTAGCTGATCAAACACTGCAGGAGGCAGATTGTCGCAGCGGTGCAATGACAAGCGCGAAACAGAAAAGGTTATATTTCTGTCGGTTATGCTCCTAGTAAATGTCGTCATCGCTGTGCGGAAGCGTAGGGAGGAACAGCCGCAAAAGTCCGCCGCAGTGAGATGAGGAAGGTGGCAAAGAGCTTCGTTAACACCATGACGTGTATCTCATCATCTATGTGCTCCTGAGCCACGAACTCGCGCAGGTTGGGTGCTAAGTTCAACCACTGAATCAGTGTTTTCGGTGTCAGGTTATCTGCGCTCAAGCGCTCTTTGGCCGAGGAAAAGAGCACTATGGGGTTAAATGGGCTGAAGTCTATGCGACGGACGAGAGGACCGAATCCCGGAATACCGCGCAAGGCGAAGAGTAGCTTGCGGAAGACCTTTGAGTCGTGGATGGTCACGCGCTCGTAACGGGCGCGGATAGTGACAGAGTACAGGATCCTCGAAGTATTGAGAAGCGACTGTATGCTGTATTGTTGAGATCGGCCCCCGAGAGCCGGCTTTTTCATAGCCACCATATCTATAATTCCCTCTGTATAGCGTATTGGCAATGGGCGGCATGTAACAAACGGGGATCACTGCAACTTACGCAAGATCTCGGTAGGCAGACGTTCGAGAGGTGAATTGCCAGGTGCGTGCCGATATGGCGGCCATGGGTGCTCAGATGTTCGGCTTGAGCCCCTGGCGATCTTCGTGGACTGAGACACGCTACAGCTGCGGCTCGCATGCTTGTCTTTGCCCGTTGTGGCTCTCCATGATTGAGAGCTGTCGGCAACGACAATCGATTGATAGGCTATATGTAGCTGATCAGGAGGTCGTGTTAGTGGTGGCTGGGAGCGGACAATGGTCGTTGTTGCCATGACCAACTCGTCAAACGATTTTATGCGTGTGTGCCTAAGGTGTCGTTCTAGATTCAACCGTAATCGAATGATGCATTGATAATAAGGAAGCCTCGCTTCCAGACAGCTCTGTAGGTCGTCCCACAGACACAAAGAGAGATTTTATGCTCGGTGCGATTTAAGAGCTTGTATGAGCGTCGGGATTTTCGGGACTTCTTCCCTATCATCGGAGCGAAGTGTTGTTCGTAAGCTGCATGATACAAGCAATAGGCAAGAGCTTCCACGTTCTTATCAGGAGCTCTGAGGTACAGAAGACGGATCCACCAACTAGGTGGCTACACTGTGCACCCCTCTGTATTCATAAGAAGGGAAGGAGGGATCTTCGGCGATACTGTGTCGCCATAAGTTCTATAATTCCTGTCCAAAGCGCGTGGATATATGCTGATAGTCCATGGTTGATATCTGGCAATTGTGTCTCGAATTGCTTTGAGGACCTCTATTTGCAGCCATAGTCCGACCACATGGTCGCCACTACAATCAGAGAATGCCGTGTACTTGACACCCTAAACACGCTCTGTCACCGTAAGCCACAATGGAATTTCAGCCATAAAGTCTCGATGTGGCGCAAAGTTCATCATATCAAGAACATAAGTGACATAGCACTCCATCTATGGAGCACAAAATAGCTGATTTATCAGTTTCGAACCTTGCGAGAAGGGATATCCCTTGTAACCCTGCACTCTGATGAGTTAGCTACCTAGATTGCTCGAGACGCCCAAACCCCCACCAAGGGAACGCATCTCAATTGAGGTAACAGTGCAGAACGGAAGATGAGCCAGTGTGTGACCCGGCTAGAGAGGAGCAGAGTACACAGGTAAGACGCAGCTGGCAATACCAGACCTTCCGCCGTGAACCATACCAGGGGCCTTCAAGTCAATATGTGGGCTATACAAACCTCCAGCACTTCAAGAGCATCACAGCCCATCTGCAGCAAGCTAAGAACAAACCCATCAATGTCCATCCCTGCGCTTGGTGACGTTCTGCCTGTCGTTAAGATCGCCTTTATTCGCCCCTGATTGTGGCTTCGAACAGAGCTCGGAGGCCTTAAGATATGAGAGATCTGTTGCTGGCAAGTCTCGTTCGCAGAGCCCAAGAAGCCCGTTTTACTGGGAAGATCCGGAGTTTGCCGTCCAATGCCGATCAGCGAATTCATGCCCGCCTTCCGGCTCGCTGTCCTCCCAGGATGGTTCTACTATTCATACTATCGTCGACGAACTCTCTCCCCAGTATAATCTTAAGGCGGTGGCGATTATGACTTGCGGTCGGCACCACCACCAGCGCCTCGGCAAGCCCAGCTGGAAGAATATGGCCTTGACTAGTAGTACTTCTTTGACCGCTTCCCCAGGACGGCGTGAGGCTTTCTATTTTGACGAACCCAGCACCCACGCGGCCAAGGGCTGCGAGTCACAGCCAGTTGCTCACATGACCGACGTCCGACCTTCTAAACCAGGTCCCGACCTTCTGCAAGACGGTCGCGCAAGCTTTGAGTCTCATCAACCGCAGGTAAGGGGCAGACCCTCTCGCTTCAGGCGCCGTCACGAGCCAGGCAAATGCATCAAGAACGGCAATCAAAATGAGCTCCCGCTACCCCACGCCGGCATCAGTTCCGCCGCGGCCAGAAGCCGAGTCCCAAGCGCAATTTCGCAAGGGCGCTCCTCCTTAATACATTATGCTTCTTGTTGAGGATTTGAGGCCGAGTGAGCCTCATTCCTTGCAAACTTTACGAGTTCTCCCAAGCCACTTGACTGTATCCGTAAGGTCCCGTCTGGCTATCATGTCTTTGATAGCTTTCACCTCATGTCGTAGTAAAGACAAATTGTGCCCCCTGTCAAGGTGGATCAGGCCTTTTGTACAGGACAGAGGATACGAAAAGCGTTGGGGAGGAATTATGCAAGAGCAGAAAATGATGGTACTGTACAAGTTGTTTCGTCATATTGACTTGCTTCGCGAACTCATGAACCACCGTCTGACTTCACAATATAGGACGAGACACTACGCTATTTTATGTATAGCACGTACAACGGGCTGTAATATCATGACCCTAAGTAAGAAGCTTGCTATAGACTGAGGGTGCTGAGCCCTATCTAGTCGGAAACGCGTCACTCTAGGGAATTTGTTTCTGCTAGCTGGAAAGGAGAGCACAAGGACAGATTATTTACTGATAAAAGTTACCTTTTTATTTACGAAAGCATAAACTAGAGGTCCGCGATTAGAGTGTTTTCGATATTCCATAGGAGAGCAGTCATATAACCATCACCATCACATTCCGACAATTTGTTATATTACTGGTCAGCAATGAAGTGTTAGTAATACCAACTCAACGTTATTTAATCCAGCTTGGTACCCTACATGAACACAAACGGTTGCGATAAAGGCTGCTGTCAAATCCAGCCCAGATGCCAATCAAGTCATATGCAAAACGGTTATGAGAAACAAAAGGGTTTGCCTTCGGATACAAAAGTCATGTCCCTATCATCAGGATAGATAGAAGAGAGCTCCAGTTTCAGAAGGAGCAGCGCGACCGCAATTTGCAGCTAAACCGATAGGGCGAGATCAAACTTTCGATCACAATAGACCGATTACATTCCACGGAAGGGGAACAATTGATCCATCCCCCACAGGATACGTCAAACTTGAACGTCCCCCAGGATATAAGGCCTGTGCTCACTTCGAAAAATTGGAGAAGCTTCTAGTGTATTTTGACAAACGTGAAGTCTAGTAAGTATAAGGAGGGGAAGGAATTAACAAAAAGCATCTTCACTACCTTCATTCCGTCATATGTACATCTATTCAACGCTACTTCTTAAAGCTGTCTTATAAGTAAAGCAATATAACTTATGCCCCATTTAGAATTCAGGGCATAGTTATTACTATCTACCCCTAATTAAACTACCTCTACTACATTAAGAAGTGACGTAAGTGTGTCTATAATACGGAGTCCATTCGCTGGGTAATTTTGTGAGCACCACATAGGTTAACACGCACTAAGACGTTGAGAATGCTAGATAAGACGTGAAACTAAGCAAGCTATACTAACCTTGAGACTCGCACGCGGCTAAAAAATGGAATATCATAGCAGGAGTCTATTTTATTGCCAGATATATGATCGCCGATTTGACCCAGACTCGATGCTTTAATGGAAGACTATGGAAATGCAGAGAAGACACGCCCAGCAAGTTATCAGGGCTTCTCTGCGCTTCTCACTTTAGTCACTGTCGATGGCAACGACGGGCGTGAATGTCTTCTTCACTGCCACTGCGACAGGCTTGTTGTTACCAAATTTTATCGCTGCTCCAGGCGGTAAATGCTCGTCGTCGCACCTGCCTTTGTCTGCCCCGACCGCCTTTTTGATCTTCCAGGTCCCGTCTGCTGACACAACGATGGACTTGATGTGTAATGCACCGTCTTCCTCAAGTTTGTCGCGAACCCCAGCCAGCCATTTGTCGATGCGCAAGCTGTATGGCCGAGCATCACCCGAGCACAGTGGGCACTTCCATTTGTCCACGAAGGAAGGTTCGTTGGGGCAACTCTGACACGATGACCCCCCTTTTCCGCACGTGCAGGTCTTCTTTTTGCCTAACCGGGAATTCAACCAGGTCTCCAGATCGAAGCACTCAAGATGTGTGCAATCCACGCCTCGCACCGGAGTCTTGAAGATTCCGGAGGTGAATGGGTCTGCCAAATCAATGGCCAGTTCGTGATTAACCATCGCAATGTCATCATCAGTACTGGCTGTAGTGCTCGCTAAACGTCGCCTGATGACTTCCAGAGTCTCCGAGGATTGCTGAATGCCGTGAGTCTTGACCAAATTCAAGATGGCAGAGTGACTGAGCGTTTCGACGAGCTCTACCGCGAGATATGGGTGGCTGTTCTTCGGCGCTTCCCGTGGGCGCGCAGCAGTTTCCGGAATCCAGACATGAAGGTGATTCTCCTCCAAGAGCGCTTTTGCTGGAACCTCAACCGGTAAGTCTTTGGAATGGTGCGCCTTTCGCCGTAAGGTCAAGCCAGAGTGATTGACTTCTAGAAAGATGTGTTCAGGCCAGACAACGTCTTTCATGACCCACTCGCTGGCAGTGATGCTCTGCTGTTGCTGCTGCTGCTGCTGCTGGTCGAGCAGATAGCAGCAGCGGATCCGGACGCGTAAGGTTCCGTTGGTGTATCTCTGAATAGGTAGTAGATCATCGGGATCAGGTTCGACATGTGTCAAACGATCACGATCTTTAGGACTCAAGCGGAAGCTGAATTTGTGGACCACGGCTTTAGGGGCAATTGAGGTAGGACCTAACACGAGTCTCCTGACTGACTGGTAATACCGCTCGTTCAGTGCTTCTGGTCGTATGGGACGGCGCTTTGGACTACGAATGTGGGCATGATGAAAGGATTGCATGATGCAGTAGTCACTCCGCGAATCGCTTGTATATTGGCCGAGGGCAATTCGGGCATCGCGGCCTGGGAACAAGAGGCCGGTTGAGATTGGTTTCGTTGGTATTGGCGGTGTCACAAAGGGTTGTAGAGGCTGAACATGCCCTCTGTGAATCGTACTGATAGCCATTGAAGCCTGCACTACGGGGAGTCCGGATGGATATCGCCTACTCGCCCCAGTGACCGGGAATACAGGCGAGTGAGCTGAAACAGGCGAGCCACTGGACCAGTACGCACCGGAAGAAGCTCCGAAACTAGCGTGCTGACTTCTCGATGGTTCCGAGACATGCGCATTCGGCCGCGGATGTGTCTGCTCTACGGAAGATTGAAGTCTCTGGGGTTGACCGTGCCAGGCCAGACCCGGCGCCTCAGTACGCAAGGCGTGCTGTGTTGGCGCTGCCGTCAGCGGATATGGTGCTTGCGAGGTCATAGAAAATAAACTCATCGAAGTTGCTGACTCAATGGGCTGAACGGCGACTCCTTGGGAAACGCTGGCAGGATTGTCGTGAAGAGGTTCAATGATCGCGGACATCGTTTGGCTTGGCAGGGTCGTCCACTGTTGGTTTGGTGCCGCTGGAGAGGGGGCATTTCCGACAAAGCTCTGAGCATTGTTTGGCACAGCTGTTCGCAAGGTCGATTGTTGAATATATCGTTGTTGCTGATGTTGATTATATGGAGGCATGGCTCGATAAAGTGTGCGGGCGGTGTGGGCCAACTCCTTGTATCGCTGGACAAGACTGTCGTTGTAATTCGTATATGCAGGATTCTGTGCCTTTGACATAAAAGAACCATCCGCGGACCGATGAAAGTCCTGGTCCTCCTTGAATATTGACTCCATCTGCGTGCCGACAGGCCCGTCCGGAACACCTGCTGTCCTCCTGGATGCACGGAAGACGATGAGTTGCAAGACGTCTGAGTGCATATGCAGCAGTCTTAGCAACTCATCCATCAGCAGTGGGAGACCGTATGCCGCATGATTCTTCATCAACTCGGTCCATGAAGTGGCCATACAAAAGAGGAACTCCACCACGGCGTTCAGCGAGTCAGAGTACGGTGGAAAGCGCTGCATGCTGGAAAAAGGTGCCGGAAAGTTGGCAAAACACTGTAGCAGATCTGGTCGCATATTTGAGTTGTCTTTGAGGATCGCACTCAGCGTTCGTAGTCCATGCTCTGCCAATGCGAACAAGTGATCATCATTTTTGAATAACCCTCGAATTTCGAGTGGCTTCGCGGTCCAAGTGCAAAAGACCTGATGTAGCACGACATAGAAAAGATCGCCCGTCGCGCAGGCGTCCTTGAGTAGTTGGAGTCGTGGTTGCTCAAGAGCTGGATCTAGCTGTTGCTCGCCGCCGCATCGACGCGCTACACCTGCCAGGACCTCAGGCACGTTCCAGGACTGTATAAACTCAAGATCTTTCGGCAATACACGTCGCCTCTTAGGAGCGGCAGCTTCATCCACGGTCGTTTGATAGCGTTGGCGCGTTTGGTGACTCGCTGTATATATTGCAGACGCCACAGGCGCGGCCAGTGTGGCTGGCTTTTCGGCTGAGGCTCGAGTAGCGCTGCAAGCAGCGTTGCGCGCATGCGTCATAGCTTGGGGATCGGTGGTGCTTTTTTCGTGTGATCTGAATGGGTGCGGATCTCTTGTCAGGCTGCCGGGCTGGATGCCGAGGTTACCTTATATGGTATTGCTGTGGTTTGTGGGTCGGCACCGCACCCAGGACGAAGGCAGGCTGCAGTGGGGCATCCCCTAGTCACGCCAAGGCACAGGACCCCTGTTCACGCGCTCGGTTAGTGGGGCCGATGCAAGTGCCACGGCCCACTTTTGTGCCGCTCGCATGGATGGTGTCCACGGGTGCCTACGCAGTACGCGGCATGGAAGGGTGCATGGGCCAGGGGTTGCCTGCGCCTCAATTTGCCCGAGGGAATGAGGGAACTTCCACACGTCGGCCACCACCCCAAGGCGGAATGCCTGGTCGCCATTAATCGGCGGGAAGGGCTTTGTCTAGCCCCAGCCCAGCCTTGTCGGAAAGGGCAAGTCGGGGAGAGAGACAGCCATTGAACATGATGCGCCATCCGGGTGGCGTCGACCTCATGACACAGAAGTGGGGTCCTGCACCTTCAAGCGTGCTTCGCCGCTGCAGGGATGGCCTTGCACCGGTGCCCCTTACCGCAGGACGTCGAAGCAGCGACCGTCGACGGGTGCCCTTCGGGGCCCAGAGAATTCAGGGACCTCACCTCACGCCTGTCCCCGGCTGCGAGGAAAGACGGGTAATTCGACCCACCGTAGTTGTCCAGTTCATGTCGTGGCACGTGCGGCCAAGTATTGGAAGTTCTAGAAAGAGCCGCGCGCAAGGCCCTTTGAAAGGACGTCCAATTAAGGTTCTCTCTACGTTCATCTCATCGACAGGCGTCATTGAGCCCCGTCGGATTGCTAGCTGACGCACAATCTGACCGGGTCCGCGAGCGGACCTGCATCCGGTGCCGTCAGATCTATGCTATCGCATCATCCGTCGCGTTGCTCTCGTTCGTCCGCGATCCGGTCGGATGTGCACACCTTTCTGCACTGTGGCTGTCATGTTCCAGGTTTTTCTGCGACAGCATGCTCTGTGGGTTTTGGTAATTAAAAGCTCAATCACTAAGTCGGCATTGAGAACTTGAATGACGTTTAGGGTGTAAATTTAAAAGCTGTCTATAGTTATAGGAGACACAACGAGCTAGATCTCTTTCTCCTTCATCGTTTGCGTTTGGTGGGTGGAGTCTGACCTGCCATAGCACAGCTACGTCGGTCTTAGCACAGTCCTAAGTCTTGGCGCCGCTGACTCATCAAGGACCACACCCAATCGTCCTGCCACACCGCGTCATGATTCATTCCTGCGATGTTCTTAATCAACGCGTCGTCTGATGGTCTTTTTGAAAGAAATTGTACAAATCACTTGAGACAAAAGGTGATTCACTATCTTCCCTAATAAATATGCGGGTCGCCCTGCTATGTGGTCAAAGAATACCGTCTCTTCTACCTTTGGCAGCGACTCACTAGTTTTGGAGAAGGCCTGCGGGTGCAGTGCATGCGAGCATGCCCCAGTTGACAGAAGCGCTCAGCAGTTCCAGGATAGGGTTAGACATGCGCACTTATTCAGTTTTGTGGCAAAGCTCTTTAGAGCATAGATACTCCTGTGGATTAGTAGAAAAGGGTGCGGTGGGGGATCGCCATCTATCAGAAAGAGAAATGCAAATGGGCGCTGTTCTTTTGTCTAATGAACGAAAATGATGGGAGCTGCACGAATCGGAGTGGCAGCGAAGGCCAGAACGGTAGACTTACCAGCTCACACTCCAGCTAACCTTAGTTCGGCCAATATCCAGGTTACCAAAAAGAGCCTTAAATGCAGCTCTGCTGACATCTATGGCTTCCTTGGCGCAGCTGGGACACTTGTCGCGCACAGTGACAACCACTTGAGTGCCATCCGGAGCGGAGAGTGTGACCTTCTTGTTACAAAGAGGGTGGCTAGGCAGGCCAGGGCCGGCGTTGGTGAGCGTGCTGATGCTGTTCCAAAACTCTTCCGACACGGCAGCGAATAAACCCGTATCATTCTGCACAGAGTCATCATATCCACAAGCACCAAGGCCGACATCATAGTAAGTGATATCCCCGGTAATGGAGTAAGTGCGTTCGCTGCTAGCAGGCGACTCGGAGGTTTCTTCGGGAGCACCAGAAACCGAAATGGCAGCCACAGAGAAACCCACTACAGCGCTTAATGTGGCGGCCGCCACCTGCGCTGTGTATTCACTAGCAGAGGAGCTGGAGTCTGCACTAGATACGATGACGAGTCCAGAACTAGGCGTGGCCGAAAAGTCCTCTTCGCATCTATGGCGTTTGTTATGCGCGTGAACGCGCTGTTTTGGATGCCGCCGGTAGCGCTCGTGGCCGTGGAGGTCCGCAGCGACAGCACACGCTAGAAGAACACTGGCAATGGTGATAGACTTCATGGCTGTGGTCATGCGCTGTGCTGGGAGATACGTTCGCTTTTGATGCCGTTCTGTCGCTGATAGCGAAGCTGCTTCAGGAGAGAATTATCTGTTCTTACGTAGTTCCTGATGCGGGAGAAAACGTGACAAGTAGCAGTCGGTAGCAACTCGAGCCAGGACCACCTGGGAGTTCTCCAGCATGTAAAGTAGGGTTAATGACTCAGGCTCGAACAAGGTTCTTCGAGAAGCGAGATATATAGGTACAGGAATCTACGGCAGACAAGAAAATGCCCACCTCGCCTTCAAATATGGGTCGTAAAACCACAGGGTGCCGTTGGGATCAGTAACTTGTTGGAAGATGCACTCCATAGCAGCGCACATCAAGAAGGTCATAGTAATCAAGGGCTTACTTTAGTCACAGCCTGTCACGCCGAAGCTTGACCCACGCGTTTCGGCTCCGGTAAAGTCATGACTGCCGCGGACATAGAGATGACCAATTACCAAATGGTCACAGCAGATGCTGTTTTTAGTCTACAACTCTCCCAGTTGAGCGGCATTTTGAGTAGGCGTCAGCTGAAATAGTCCGAGTAACTTGATCATATCCCGCTCAGTAACTCACCCGTTACGTTGCGGATGCAATACGGCGGCTCAGGTACCTTGAGACTGCATACTGCCGCACGTCAAACTAGAATGCATACCGGAAGTCAAATTCGTGTCGGATATAGACCATCATGTCGAAACGAAAAGTATTATGCAACGTCCCGGCAACGGAGGCTCTCGGCAGTATGAGGATTGGCATAATCCCGGGGGAAGTTGAGAAGGTCTCGGGCGCCTTGTGAGTGCCGTGGTTGCGGGGCGTGGCGGCAGAGGTAGGAGAACCTGTAAAGTGGGGTCAACGGCGCCCGAGTCATTCTCCACCAACCTCACTTTATGCCTGAAGAAAATGTGTCATCTGGGAAGAGGCAAGTCGAGTCATACGCGCTGCCCTACCTTCGAATTATACCGTGATCAATTTTCCGTAGAGATGTCTCTGCGCTGCGCCACCGCATGATCCAGAGTTTTCTCGTGGTTATGAAGTGAGATCCTCTGTGGGGGAGCAAAGACCCGCAGCGGGTCCCTTAGCACGCCTCCTAGCTCAACTTTCAACGACGCCTTGCCATACAAGCACAGTCTCGACGACCGGATCAACACAAACCCAACGATGCGTCGAGAACCTAAGCTGACGCTTCCGTGCCACGGTTATCGACTGGTGCGCACCCAACTATCGCGTGAGTTGTTGTTCCCACATGACTGCATACCGTGCATGGCGCCTGAGTTGCACAGGTACAGCTTCGGGGCTTGGATGGAATCATCAACGAATGCTGCGTCGGGACGTTGAAATGATTGAGTGAGCAAATGCGGGTACCAAATCTGCTGGGGAGTTCTCCGATCTGGTCACTACTAACAGGTCATTTGTATCAATGCTAATGTACCGCGAATGACGGAGTTGGCAGGTTGAAAAGATGTCCCAGAACTAACATGTCTGCACCGTCGGGTGTTGAACACTTCTACCTTTCTGCCGTCTTGTTCGATAGCATCGCACGAGTCATATCTTCGCTCGCTCCGTTCGAGTCAAAGCGCGTCGTCATATTCATCGGTACGATATGTAACCGTTACGTTGTATTGATCACGCGGATCGCGTCTCCACAAGCTCTAGTAGCATTATTAGGTACTTAGTCGGTGGCCAACTCGAGTGACTGCTCGCGGGCAGAGGGAAGAAGAGTTCTTTGAAGCTCGAGAAGCAGTATCCCAGATCGCTTAGCACACCGTTCATCGTGACCCCATTTCCAAAATCAACACAATTACAGCGAGCCGCCTGCTGGTGCTTGGGTAGCTGACGCCTTCCTTGGCAAGGCCAAGCTTCCTCGCTTCTGAAGGCGACCCAAGGCTCTGGCACGAATGCAGCCGTTTGTCGCAGGCCGTCAGCGAAATATGAGTCTGAGGCATATACCAGAGTACTATACCTTGCTTGTGCGATACGCGCTTCTCGAAGAACCCCCCCCCCCCCCCAGAACCGATGGCAGACACGGCCGTTGAAGAAGTCGAAGAAGTCAAAGACGTCATCCATGTAGTAACCGACCACAGCGGAGCATTAGCTCAGAAAAAAAGACCATTATGTCACCCATACATAACTCGCTTGAAGAGAGAAGAGCAGAGACAATCAGCAGAAAGAGGACCCAGCCGGAAAGACGGTGGTCCTTGCGTGCCGAGGCGTCGAGGCACGAAAGCCATTACGCGCCAGGGAGACATGAAGCGTCAGCTCACCTGTACGAGTCAAATTCGCTGACAAGGAGTACGAAGAAATCAGAGTACTCGATCAAGTAGGCCATTGCTGAAGCCAATGAGAGAATTTCGTTTATAGCTTTGATTCTTGATATGTGTGCCATTCTCAAGTGATTGTCTCCTTGGGAATGAGTAGTTGTTTTACGATGCCTCATTGCAGTCTAAGTACGCTGCCGAGCCAAGAACGCAAACGTGTAGCACGTTATGCATAATGATAGTGTAGCGGTATATCTTCCTGAGGTGCAACTAAACTGTACATCAATTTTCGACTCCTGTCGATGATAGGGTTGATTCCACTCCAGATAAACATAAGGGTACCCTTCATCCTCGCTCCTCAGCTCTCAACCTCAAGGCATTCTTTCTAGGTATTATTCTAGGAGTCTGTAAGTACCATAGTGATAGCGCCCCCAGGGTCTGTTATGTCTTCTCGAGTCTCTTAAAAAGGAGCATTAGTGCTGAATAGCCTCACACGTGGTTGGCTTGCTGGACTCTACTTTCGGTCAAGCTGTCATATTCTCTTAAATTCCAGTATAAGACGTAGAGAAGCGCTTCGGAGGCGAAAGTAGATGGGCCCAGTTCATTGCGAATGGGTTGGCTTTGCAACTTCTGACACCTGTTCATAATCTACCTCCGCCCCGCTTAGAAATTGCCATAGTGTCCAAAGACAGAGAACAATTGAGATGATACTTCTAATAACTTCGCTTGACGAGTTCGGGTCTACCATGATGAATGGCGTAGGTGCCTACTTGAGCACTGCTCCCGGACAACCAGAGGAAAGGAAGGCTAAAGTTGAGCGCATTCTAAGAAATATCGCAATGATCAATACACAACCCAATGACATATGAACCTGCTGCTTCTTACGCAACCCATGTGGCGGTTGCTCTCGCATGACTTCGTGGAGTTATTTCTGGACTTTTACGTAAAAGTCCTGCGAACCTTACATGGGGTACTTGAGGTCCATAAGCTATACGATCTGACCACACTTACTACATATCGTCACACAGGCCTATTCAGTTAATTGCCTTTGTTCTACCACGGAAACAACTCTGTCCCCACTTTGATCAAGCTCCCGGACGTAGCGCATTTGCAGAAAGTCCGCTATCATGTCCGTAGTCTTCGCAAAGTCTGTTTCTTACGGGACGTCCTCAGACTTCACTACGGCGAAGCCAATAGACTTGATGTCTTTGCCTGTGACTAACATGAGGACCTTCTCGACCACCCACCAACCGCTGGACCACTTGTCGGTTCGCGTTCCAGCGGGAACACGCCACTTGGCAGTGATCGAACCATAGCCCGCGTCTGTGTATGCTTGTCGGAAGAAGGTGACAACTCGTGATGGCTCTTGCCGTGGAGTAGGATCGAACATGTATGCGGTGCCGGTGTCTTTATCCACGTGAAACAGGATCCAGTCGTCGCCGTCGAGCCAAAGGATCACCAACGCTGCCGTGGTCTGGTCCGTTTCATCTGGAACAGTCTTTCCCAGGGTCTCAATGTCAAGTCTTTGGCTCTGTAGCATACGGAATGACGGCAGCACCATACGTGTCGCCAAGAATGTCCCATACTCAACTTGTTGAGGATCAAGATGATGCTGTTGCAGTCGCTTGGCCAAGGTGGCGAGAAGCTTAGGTCCATGGATCCGTCTGAAAGCCTCCTGACTTGCAGGTGATGATCCCGTCGCTGATGTGCGGTTGCTGAAGACTGGATGGCATCCAATGTCGGAAGGCGAAAGATATGGAGTATCAGCCGGTCTGTCGTATAGAAGTTGTAATTTCTCATTGAATGCAACCGTTCTAGATGTTGGCCAGCTCCTGATCTTCTTCGAAGCCTGGATCCAGCGGACCAACGCACTTGCCATCAGAGTTGGGCACTAGCCAATCTGACCTTGGTCGATCGCGGCGATGAAGCGAGTTCCCTCATCGGCCGGACTCGCATCTGGACCTTGGAGATCCCGATGCTTCTTTTCGGGCATTGCTCGGCATGGGCTTTCGTGGGGCGAGTGAGTAGATCTACGACATTGCTGACCTGTGAGCCTCTCTTTGTGATGAGTGATAATGTCGAAAAAGTGCATGCGCTTGGCTTGGACGGCAAAATAATGCGAGTTGAATTCTCCAGGCCTCGAGCTCACTCGGTCGCACGATAAGCAGGCTTGCCCCATGTAGTCGGTTCGCAAGAAGGAGTTGAAAGTCTTAGCAGGCAGGCGAACAAGTCAGGGGCGCGTCCCAGACATCTGGTACTAGGAGCGAAGGAGGACCTGCAGTATTCGTGGCACGTTATTGCTAGACTCAACATCAGTATGGTTCGGCACCTCCAGAAATGTACAGGTTAGATATAGGTCTACCTAAATTCCTTTCTTTAGCATCCTTTGGAATGACCCGGCGTGGTCTAGTTTCCTGGAGACTTACCTCGAGGTAGAGCTGGTTCAAGCCATCAAGGGTGTGCAGCGGATCGCTTATAACAAATTGGCTTTTAATCCAAACAGATTATTGTTGCAACTTTTCGCAACCGTGCACATAAAAGAGACTCGTGCGGCAGAGGAGTATGAGATACTGCTCAAGACTACCACACCCGTAGGACATGCGTCAAGATGTCTACCTTCCTTCTATCGACATTAGGGGTTGATCAAGATGCATTATCGATAGCGCTGGGAGCGGACATAGACTTTCCACGTTGCTCCAGTCCTGAGGTGATACAGCCGAATACGCATCTAAATCAGGATTTTGTCCTTAAGCCCGTCCTAAATAGTGATTGCTCACGCATCACGAGCATCCAGCCAAATGGCCGCAGCTGGCCCCTACCACTCGCGTGCGCAGCTTTGCCTAGAGAGGAGAACAGCCCCCCATTCAAAGGTACACAGATTGGGTCGAATGGAAGCATCAATATCGCTGAACTCGGCCAGGAAAACCAAGCTCTAGCTCAGCGACAAGAGTCACTCGTAACTCAAGTGTACAACTATCTTGACCTGGGAAATCCAGCAGAAGCATGGAGCCTCGACGAAGAGCTCAGCAGTATCAGCGGCATATCTGTGCAGCAGTTACGTAGAGACGACTGCTTAGCAAGCAGCCTAGCAAGACCACCTTCCAAGGTGGGTTTCGTTCCACGGGACATGCATGTCAAGGCAGGCGAGTCACACTGACAGATTGATAAACCACAGGGCAGTGCCGCAGCCCAAACACAGAAGTCCACGCGCTGGATGGCCTTGAAGCTGTATATCCAGGCGTGGGAGACCTTGCAGGAGCAGAACAACACATCAAAGACCCGCGACTGATAGCAGATCCACCCATACAACCGACAGATATTGTTTGATTGACTGTATAGGTCGGCGATTAGCACAGACTTTTCAAGGCACGCGATTCGACATGTTTTCTCCGGAGCGGGTGAAAAAAGGGACAGACGCTATCAGTTCGGCGTTTGGCCATAATCCAGGATTGTTGTTATGGCTGCTGTATCTTTTGTGTCTCTAGCCACTTGAATGAGTCGGCTACGTTGGACCCGTCAATGCCCCTACTCGGGATCGGGTAGTCGTACCATTCCATATAGCCCTGATATATCGTCCGTTCTATTTTGGTATCCCGCATCACATTCCATTTGTTACATAATGCCGAGATCTTTGTCAAGATTTGCGTGCTCAGCTGGTTTCTAATTATAGGAGCTCCACCTCTGCATCCGCTCGTTTTCTTTTGTCTTGAACTCTATAAAGTCTAGAGTTGAGCACACCTCTTTCGTCGTCATCGAAAATCACGATTGCAACTGTACGACTGTGAATACGGTTGCTCCAGCACCTGCCGCTACTATTCATCTTTACTGCGCCTCAACCTTATCTCAAAACCTTTCACAGCAACTAACATGCATCTGATAACACCATTCATCGCCGCCATGGCCTTAATGCCAAGCAATGTCTTTGCAAGACATCATCATGAACAACTGAGGACCCCCAGCGGAGTCACCGTGGAGCTGATCAATGCCGACGGCGACATATTCTATCTTCAAGGCTTTTCTGCCAACCAATCTGTGACTTTGCAGCCTAGTGCTGACTCGGGTTACATTGGAAAAGTCCGCATCCCGTTCACTGAAGCTGCAGGGCAAGCCGCCTCGTCGGACGTTCAGGCCGACTTCCGATGCGAGCTTCGTAATGCTGGCCAGAACAACAACCGAATCATCGTCACGCGAGGCAAGAGCATCGACTTCAACTTCGGAGTTGGCAAAGCTTGGACACTTCAGCCTGGCGGGCCTGTCGAAGCTTCTAACTTGCGCGTCACGTGCGATCCAGCACTGAGAAAGACAGATCCCGATCGGCGTGATGATATCCGCGTAACTGTGTCAAAAAGTGCGCAGGAGTTTGAGCGCCAGCTTGATTTCTCGGACTCGGAGGGTCGAAACGACCAGAGGCAATCGGTTGGTGGCACTTTCACTCATATAGAGCTCTTCGTAGGCCCCGGAGTGGAAAATCAGGCGCTCCGTTGCAAGGCATTAAACGGTGGGCAAGTCGTGCTGCTCAACCGAGGCGTCAACCTGAACAAGCAAACCTTTAGCGACGGAGGCAACGGGAGGTGGACGGTTGCCGGGGGGCATACTGAGATCGACGAGGTCATCTGTAGTCCGACATTCCGCTAGAGGAAGTCTAAGCACCGACAATCCTGCTTCTCTACCCTCTACCACATACCAGCCATTTCCCATAGTATAGATTTCATTTATAGTAGCCCATCTTTATCTGTTCTATTCTGTCTTCGATTAATTAGGAAGTCCAGAGGAATCTGAATCATACTATAATCCGGATGTGACAGGCGGCTGAAATGGACGCCATCTCGAGTCGCAGTCCTATCCAGTCTTGCTCAGGCTCCGCTCAACCCAACCGCCCCATTCCACACGACGACTAGTGTACACTCGACATCTGGGCCCTTTCCCTCCTTTTGCGCCTATAGACTACCGTCCTACAGAATCGTTGGATAAGAGGCTGCACACTGGCAGAACAAGCACAGAACAAATCAAATGGAGACTATACGAGCGCAGCGTGCTTTGTTTTTAAGTCGACTAAGCATATCGTCCGGAGATCTTCCGAGTGGAGGTGCTTGGATACTATAGCAAGCCAATGGAACACGAAGGGAATAAAAATGGGTTGCTCAGACATAAAGACATGCAATGGTCAGCAAGTACGCGGAAAGTCTAGAGGAAGCTACTATTTGTCACGACAGCCCAGTTGATTGGCGCTCTCTGCAGCAACTGCGACTGCACCTGCACACACTGCGGGACGCACAGTGTGGCTGTTGGGCCTTAATAGCACCAACGCGGCCATCACTTTTCACAGCAGCGACATCAGGGGCTGCGCACCCAAGACTGCAAGCCCTCCCTCCTCTACCTTGCCCGCAGACTGGAGGTGTGCCGCCTTGTCTGACTTCTCAAAAAGGTTGTCCCCATGTAGGCCAGAAACTGGCACAATGCTGATTCTATCAGACGCGTGTGACATGGTCAGTTTCGGTAGCCTTGCTGCGGGGGCCGCACTATAATCGCACCAGTCTTACTTGGATTGCACCGGCTTGATCTTAGCGAATGAGTGTGCGACCTGCGCGAAGACAGTCTCCGACCAGTTGGTCAGGTCCCTGAGTCGCGTTAGTCGTAGATAGACATTAACCATGGCAGTCACTTACATTTTAGTAGCAATTATAATCAGCTGCTCCTCGACACGGAGCTTCCTAGAAGACAGGAGGGACGCAAGCCTTTGGCTCGAACACGCTCCGTAGTCATCAGCAGACGCATCTACAGCCCAGAGGGCAACATCGGCATTTCCAGGAATGTCTTCGGTGAAATGGTTAGTCTTTTTCGGATGTGGAGGATAGTCATGGTTACCTATGATCGTGTATTGGGCCGAGGGGCCGTAGAATGAAACGGGCCTGCCTTGCTGTCGGTAAACCGTTGCGATGCCACGATAATCGCGAACCCGACTCTTCTCGATGGGTGCAATCTCAGGAAGGGAAGCGCCGCACTAGAATTGAATGTTTTAGCTGGGATGGGACCAGGGCCAGTCATCTTACTCGCGATTTACCGTGAAGACCAGGTGCCAGGTCAGAGTCTTCTTTCCGGCGTCCGCATCTCCTAGGACGCACATTGTTTTTGAAGCCATTGGACCTGTGTTCGAGCCTGACGTAACTACAAGTGCCGGACGAGGACATGTACGTTCTTGGTGACAGCGGATTAGGGATCACCCTAACCCTAGACCAAGTTTTATGGGTTTTTGGTCTAGTCTATCGGCGGAGCTCGTACAAAGCCGAGGCAAGCAGCTTGTATCTCTCTCTGGGGTCGTCGTGTTGTTTGGAGAGGAGATCGTTCCTTCCGCCCTTCATATGCTAGATCGATGAGTGCTGCAATGCTACTTCCAATGATAGATGAGGATGAAAGGCACTGACTTCCTGGCAAGGGTTTCTTCAAGGCTATATGCACCTATCCTCCTGGCCAGAATTTTATAGAGATCACATGGCGCTTGCCATCTTCGTGCTCCAAGATTACTATGATTCCCCAAGTCCCGTCGATGGGGATAATGGACCCCCTTGTCTCCCAGTGGGGCCACGATGCAATCCTTCTGGTAGGGCTTTGGCTGATGTCCATGCATGGTCTGTTTTTGTCATCGGCTGGAACCATGGCCTGTTCGGCTGGCCGTCAGATTCGTGTCTTTATGCGCTTTCCGATACTGTAGTATTACGACTTACGGCCAGTTAATTCGCCTGCGGTACTGTCTGACTGGATCTTCCATACCATGGATCGATACAAAAGATATCGGAAGATTCTGTTTTTTCCTTCTCACGAGCGACGAATGTTAGCAGACTGTCCCATATCAAAAACTGGAAGTTCTTGAATGATAGTCAGCCTGATAGTTTCTAGGGGAACTCATCCACAAGAACAGGCCGCTGTTTGCAGAAAGAAGAAATGAAGATACCATAATTTCACGACTGCCATGTACCACAATTCTACCGCAGTATCACACCGTGGACAGCAGCAAGGTCATTTCCAACCATCCATCGGTAATGGCCGTGCGTATCATCATTTACCTATCTCATCACACTTTTGGCTGAGATATATCTCGTAACAGTTAGGCACCAAGACAAAGCAATCCACTGGGTTCTCGTATCTTTTACTGCTAAGTTTACTGCTAAGGCAAACCCCCCCCCCCCCCCCCCCCGGGGGAAACTAGCCTATTCTGCCATAAGTTGGTGCAAAGGATACGACGGACGTTGGAGCCCAGATCCCAAGGCGCTAAACACCTCCTGTAACACATGATTTGCTTGTGGATCACCTAATCGGGCAGCGGAAACACACTTCGGGAGTCCTCTACGTGGCTGTGGGTGAGACCCCACCTCTGTACTTGGTAGGGAACACACAGAGTGGGGCCCGACCCACCTTGTCGTTTATCCATTTCCAATGTGTTTGTCTTTGTGCATTGTTTGTTTGAGTTTGTAAAGTTGTTTCTGTACAGCGCCGTAGGTTGTTTTTTGTTTACGTGGGGGCTGCCGTCATTTCCCAGCAAGCAGGTACTGATTTAATCTCATCAGTGCGGAGAGGATGCGAATAAGTGGCCAAGCATGGCTCACATCGAGGATATCACGTTCAAACCGACGCCAGCGTCCAATTTATCACAAATAATCAATAGCGAAGAGCTTTCAATGGAAGAAGACGATGCGTCAGACCTCCTATCCTCTCCTTCCAAAATCCCTGACTACTGGACTCCTCTACGGGCAGGAGAAGTAGAAAAGTTTCATAGTTCCATCAGATTCATCAGACAGTTTGTCTACGCCGCAGCGAACATACCCGGAGGCATTCCTATTTTCATCAGAGACACAATAGACCGGGCGGGCACCCAGCTAAACACACTATCAGAAGAATGCTTCGCTGTCCAAAAGGCCCATGACAAAAGACGAGGCTTTAGTCAAGGATCGTTAGACGGAGCTAAACCAATACGGAGGGTTTTAACCAGGAAGCAATATCAAGTGGAACAGCTCGAGAAGCAATGCGACGTCAGAGATAACACCGCTTTGTCTGAGCAAAGAAAGCGAACGTGGGATGAGTCTAATTGTGAAGAGTCCGAATCGGCGAACCGACCCTTCCAAAAAAGGCAAAGGCACAGATACTATTTCCGCAATAATGGCATCCCTAAAGCTGGATCATCAGTGATGAGGTCTGTGGAAATAAGGCCTCTAAGTGCGACCATGCAGCTTAATATCTAAATAAGAATGCAATACGAAGAAGATATGAAACTTCTTTTCTAACAACAAAAATTCTAGCGGGTACACGTACGTCACGTAGTCGCCCAGCACGAGCAGCACCAGCTCCCGTGGGAAGAGGATGTCGGTGGCATATCCTCGCGTCGAGATGGCCGTGTCGGTCTTGCTCTCGTGGGCGTCGACCTGCCACGCGGCAATCTGGTGGTGAGCGGGGACCGTCTTGCGGCCCGGCTTCGGGCCCCGTGCTCGGAGCGGGAGTAGGAATGTGCAGCGAGAACCGGCTCGCTCGCAGTTGAAGCACTTGCCCAACGACGACGGCGGCGGCGGCGATGTTGTCGTGGTCGCGAGGGCGGTACCGGTTGCGTGGGTGCGGCCCTCGGCCCCGGCAGTCAGGGAGCACCGGCGCTTGCAGAGCCGGCATGCATCGCAGGCCGGCAGAGAGTGTCCCTTTACAGGCGCGGGTGATGGAACTGGTGAGGGCAGTAACAACGACAGCTGGCCATCGCCGTCAGCCGGGCTGGTGGTCATGACCAGCGGCAGCGGTGCGTGAGGGAACCGCCGCACCTACCCTGCGAATGCACCAACCCTGCGAAACCCGATGGGGAAGGCTGGCTGGAAGGAGGCCGCAGATTTGTGCTGGATCACGATGTTCCGCTGGCTGGGCACAGCAGCATGGATTGACGGGATGCTCTTCGTCACAGTTGCACATGTCAGCGTTACTCGCGATGGCTGTACCCAGGCAGTGATGCGTAATGTACGTATGATTGACATTGCGGCTGTTCTCACTGGCGACGGACGGGACCCATTCCCCCGGGCCGGGACCCGACGCTGTCAACCACTCACCGGCTCCGGACGGCACCAGCCGCCTTCCCCACACTCCCCGTGTTCTCGGACCAAATGCTCCGGCACACACCCGGTGTTCTCGGACCAAATGCTCCGGCACACAGTAAAGTAATAGTACGTGCAATTTTGACATCATCTTGGGCTGCTGCCCTACTGCCTATTTTACATTACCACCGCCGCGGGATATCCCTGCCCCCAACCGCATTGAATAGCCAGCTGATGCCAACCATGAGCGTCCGCCGCCAGCTCCGCGGCCAGTGGAAGATGCTGCCGCTCCGCCAGGCCAGCCACGCAGAGTGGCCTGTCCACTCCTCCCGACCACCGATCACGCCGTCGTGCTGGCCGAGGTACGCCAGGTTGGGCTTTTGCTTGTACACAAAGGACGGGGCTTGCAGCTCCTCCTCTTCGGCCGCGTTGAGCTGCCTCGCGAGATACTCTGCCTTTTACACCGCCACCTCGGCCAGCGTAGGTAGCGCGTAGCCTTCGATGTCCGCGCAGTCGCCCAGCGCATAGACATCCGGCATGATCTTGCCGTCATGCCCTGTCTCTTTCCCGTGATATTTATCGCCTGCTGCCTCCGCGCACCTCACGCGGAGCCTCCTGTCTGTCACAATGCGCTGCAGCTTGCCCGCCTTCTGTACCTCCTGCATCTTCTCGACCAGCGGGTTCACCCCATACCCGTTGCCCAGATGAGCATCCCGTACCCCAGCGGGCGGTCCTCGCCGTGCTCCTTGGTATAAATGACCCCGCCCTCCACTTTTGTAATATGGCTCCCCGTCTCAATGTGCACGCTGCGGCTCTGCAGCTTGTGCAGGGCGTACCCGGCGAGCCGGTCGTCAAACGTGCCCAGGATCACGGGCGCCACGTCGTGCACCTCGATGCTGAACAGCGCCCCACCACCACCACCTTCCTTCTCCGCTGGTGTCAAGGTGCGGATACAAGAACCGCAGGTCGTGCTGCCACAGGTCGTACAGCTCGGCCGTGGCCTCGTTGCCAATGGCCCCGCCGCCGACGACGACGACGCGCAGCATGTCGCGCTGCTGGGTGCGTGTGAGCCCGGGAGTGGACGCCGCGTCGAGCATCTCGAGCAGGCGCTGCTGGATCTGCCGCGCGTCGTCGGTCGTGCGGAGGAAGTGCGCGTGCTGGACGGCGCCGGGCGTGCCGAAGGTCTGCACGGTGCAGCCGGGGGCGAGGATGAGGATGTCGTAGGGCATGGTGAAGGTATGGGAGTGGGAGAGGTGGTTATCGGCTACGTCCGGGACCGAGGGGCTGCAGTGCAGCGTCTTGCGGGCAAAGTCGATGTCGTCGACGGTGGCTTTGTAGTAGTGCAAGCCTGAGGCGCGGTTGCGGCGGCGGACTGGCTCCTCGGCGAGTCTGGTCAAATGCATCAGTGTCAGGGACATCACGTATTGTCGTTGTGGCCCTGCGGGCATCAGGGCGGTCTAATAACATTGGTGGCATACCTGAAATTGATCATGCCCGCTGCCGCACTCGCAAGCAGCGGTGTGTACTGGATGGTCCTCATGGGCGAGATGACAGTGACATCGTACTTGGCGAGCGACAGCTCGTGTGCGAGCGTGAAGCCACCCCATCCACTGCATATAATGGCAATTTTGCTTTTGGGCATGTTGTCTAGGGCCATGAAGTGATTGATGACGGCCTTCTCAAGGGTTAAGAGTCGTGTTTGTTGTCCGTGTGAGAAGGCTCGGACCAGCTGAAGATATGAGGACGCCTCCAGGAATCTCTGGGTCCCGTCTCCAAATCTCCACGTCGATTGCGCGGCCTTGCGGCAATGATGCATGGAAGTCCTGCCATCCAAGTCTCGCCATGATGACGAGTGGTCGACCGAGCGTTGTGACATGTACTCCACGCCAGAAGATATCCACAAAGCCAAGCACGTCACAAACGAGGGGTTCTGGGTGATTTTTTGACAATTTATTGGAGGGCCATTACTTGCTGTCTCCATCCTACGAGATCTGCTTCTGGTATTACACTTAGATCGCAGTAAGTAAATTAGAGGGGATAATGGTCCACAGCGGACCTGCATCTACGACGCGTCGTGACTCAGTGTTGGCTAGCACGTGCCCTGCGCCTCTGTTTCTCTGTGCTATCCAATCATGGAATTGGGTTGCCGCCCAGAGCTTTGAAGAGCTTTGAATGCTTGCCGTCTTCATAAGCAATCGGATCAAGCGAGTAATGCGCTCCAAAGAGGTGCCCAACAGCCGGCCGCCCAAGCTTAGGCTCAGGAATGCTCACAAACACCTTGGAATTCTGGTCGTCAAAGCCCGAGGTCTTGTCCTCGAAGTTTGAGATGACGCCTAGCATGGCGACAAAGTCGACCCTGTGCGCAAAGTGCTCCGTGGTGTGCGTAGAGTTGCCCAGGTACTGGATGGCCCCGTCGTCGACGACGCGCCAGTCCATGCTGGGGTTGGCAAAGGGGAACACGCGGAGCTTGGTGCGCATGTCCTCCCTCTCGGGGGAGTCGTCTGGATAGTCACTCACGAGCTGCTGCAGGGTGAGCCGCGTGAGCAGACAGCCTTGCGAGTGGCAGATGAGGACGACCTTGTTAGGCTTAACCGAGCCGTCCTTGGGCCACAGCGTGTTGTGGACCTCGTTGTAGAGGGCCTCTTGCGCGGCCCTGCTCGACTCGGTGCGCTGGATCAGCTTGTTCTTGGAGTTTTTGTGGTCCTCGACGGTCGAGTGCTCGCCAAAGCACTGGATCATGTCCCAGAGGATGCCGTCGCTGCGGTTGAAGACGCCCGTCACCTCGCGCTTGAACGCGCTGCGGATCTTGCGGCACGCCCCCTCGAACCAGACCCGCTCGTTGCCAATGCCGTTGATGTAGATCCACTTCTCGCCAATGACATCCTGGTGGGTTGGGCCGCTGTAGGCCGCCACGTACGTAGGGGAAGGGGGTTGACCGTTCTTGAAGTCGCTGTCGATCTCAATGTTCATGTTGACAGTCGAGATCGAAAGGGGTAGCTTGGGCAGCAGGCCCAGCGTGATGATCTTGCCGATTGTCAGGAGCACGCGCTGGATCTGTGCGCCGACGGCCTGCCGGTTTTCTGGCTTTTTCAGATCGAGCTCCCAGTACTGGTTCTGAGGGCTTTCCCCAGGTTTGCCCTTGGTGTTGACTCCAGAAGGCCGGACAACGTCCAACGTGAAATTGAGCAGTTCGGTGGTGTGATTGACTATGTACTCGATGAGGCCATCGCTGGCGTCGTTGGTGAAGATGCTCTTGACAATGAGGACCACGCCGCCAGATCTCTCCACCATGCCATCGATGATGCTCTGCGCGATCCAGAGGGTGGCCATGACAATGGCTGTGGCACCCGCCGACCTGAAGATGGCCGCCGCGAAAAGAACAGGGACGCTGAAGAAAAAGTGGTAGAATGGTGCCACCATACGGTGGATGGCGTGGGAGATGGCGCGGACGATCATATTGGCGGTGTTATGAGCTCTAAGTCTTGAGTCTTTGTGGTGAGTGTGGTGAGTGTGGTCAGTGTTGACAGACCAGAGCCGAGGGGGTGCCCAGGTGATAATATAGTCGGCGAGCAATAGATCACGCTATCCCTTTGGGACGGACGGGAAAGGCTGTGTCCGGTCTCCCTTCGACTGTGTCACCCACTAAACTTTGGCATGTCTGGCCCGGCCCGTGTCTCACCCGTTTGTGTGTGTGCCCCGAGCTGTGGCTTGGAACACCTCCAGGCACACTACACATGCTGGGGGGAGACATCGTCTTGTTATCTTTCAGCCCCAAAACCCTGAACAGAAATCGACCCTGCCCAAGGTTTCAGCGGCTGAGGTGCATGTCTTGCCATGCAGCCGTGCGCAGTCAGCTGCGCCGCGTTCCAATGCAACTTATCTGCGTTAGGCACAATTGACTTTCCGCCTATGTATGCAGAGTGAGCCCTCCGCATCGCGGCACTCCTCGTGCATGAGACATTTACAAGCTCAGCTGCAACCGACTTGCATGTGGCTGGCTGAGAGCAGGAGCAGCTGCTTATTTTGCATGTGATTATGGCGTTCGGGAATCAACACCACATGAGATTGTTGTGTGAGAGTAAGAATGCGACGCGACCACCAGGGGAAATTCTCCGTAGGCCAGTTGTCACTGGCGCTATTCAATGACATCTAGAATGAGCTAATTACACGCTCCCGAATTACGCTCCCAGATGATGCTCTTCGCCATGTGAATTACGAAAAGAAATTTGTCTCCGCGCGAGATTTTGGCAAGCTCACAGCTAACGAACCAACACCTGGTCCCCCCAGGGCCTCGCAGCAATAGCCTCGAGCTGCTTCATCCCTTGCTCCGAATACCCATTGATGCCATACGCGAGCTGCGCATCGCTCAGCGACGAACGCAGGAACGCCACCACGACCATCTTCATCTCGAGGTTGGCAATGTGCATGCCCAGACAGATCCTCGTGCCCCCGCCGAAGCTGAAGTCGGCCTCCTTCATGGCCGTGGTGGCGTCCGCCCACCGGTCCGGGTTGAACGTGTCCGGTTCCGGATAGACGACCGGGTCGCGTGAGATGCTGAAGCCCAGGGGTGACACAGTCATGCCTGCTGGGACGAAGTAGCCGCATATGTCGCGGCCCCCTTTGGGCTGGTGATTGACACAATGTTAGATTTCAAGTGAAGTGGCAGGGTAAAATGTGTACACGTACCACTTTTCGCGGGAGCGGCCCCGGCGCAGCGCCATACAACCTCATGACCTCGAGCATGAAATAGTCGAGATACTTCAGCTTCGCAAGGTCTTCAATGCCCGGCTTTCCAGGCAGCCTCGCCTCGTCAATCTCCTCGTCCAGCTGAGCCTTGATGTCGGGAAACTTGAACAGCAGCCACAGCATATACGCCAGCGTATTGGCAGTCGTGTCGGTTCCCGCGAGCATCAGGATCACGGCGTTGGACAGGATCTCGTGCTCCGAGATGCTGCCCTTCTCGCGCGCCTGCGTCTCCAGCGCCCTGTCGAGCAGGATCGTGGTGGTGGTCGATCCCGCGCCGCCTGCGGCTACCCGTGCGCGATAGTCGTCAATGTACGCCTTCGCGACCGAGTTGAGGCGCGTGGACACCCCGCGCAGCGTGGAGAAGGGGAAGCAGGGCAGGTGTCTGGTCTTGGACCAGTCGCCCTGCCATAGAGCGAGGCGGAGGATGTTGAGCGGCATGACACGCTTGATGTCTTTGACATATTGGTTCTCCTGTATATTGTAGCTTGGGATTAGGTATTTTGAACCCGTGATGGAGACAATGGTAGCTGGGATATGCTTACCTCGCCAGTCTCCAGCATCCCCAGGGACGAGCCCACACTCAGCTCCCCCGTCACATCAGACGTGAAGCTCTTGAATCACTTGACAAGATCGACGTAGCCCTGCTCCCTTCTCTCCCTCTCTATCTACCGAATCAAGATGTCCACGTACTTTTGGATCAAGGGCTGGAAGGTGATCAGGTTCGACTGGGAGACTGACTTTGCGAAGAGCTTGCGCCACTCGGCGTGGTAGACTGGGTCGGCGGTCGTGAAGACGTTCTGGGCCTCGTCGAACGACGCGTCCTCGTAGAATTGCGTCTTGAGGTACTCGCTGCGGACCTTGTGAATCTCTTTGGCAGCCTTGGGGTCTGAGATGGAGACCTCGTTTGGTGTGACGCGCACGATTGGGCCTGCGAGCATCGGATTGTAAGGTCAGGTGTTAGATAGAGTAACCAGGGACAAGATCAGGGGTTGAATCAATCTACCATAGCGCTTGTGCAGGTCGTGCAAAAAGTACATCCTTGTGCCGCGATAGATATGGTACACGACGGGCAAGCCGGTGAACTTGCTCCATGTTGGGCCCGGCAGACTAGCCAGCGGGCCAGTCAAGCCGACATAGACGTGGTACTAGTAGAAGGTGGCCATTAGTCCTCTATAGATCTTGCCTTCTCAAGCAATGGAAGTGGTCCCGTACTGCTGTATAGGTAGCCGCAAATAGCCCAGCACCAATGCCGGCCACATTGACATTGATGGCGTCCATGGTAATCGTACTTGTGTTGAGGGCTGAAGCTGTGCGAGCGCCTTGTGCGTTGTGTAGATACGAGACACTGCACGATGTCCAGCAGAAGAGTGGATAGAGCCTCTATAATGCCGAAGGCTGCGACGAGAGGATATCAAGATCTTATACATGTTCTACTCCATACCCACGGCTGCCAGGGTCCCCACAAAGTCCATGCAGCATCTCCAAAGGGCAAAGAAAGCTATGCATGACACGGCCGCAGATATATTCCAGATAAGGACCTCCTCGCAGATCCCATCAGTCAATACAAGCCATTGCTCAGCCTGATACAGCCCGGTGCCGCAGGTGTACTACATTGGCCGCGGCTTGCATATGCTCAAGGGGAACCCCTCTTCATGCTTGTTCCACTAACGTGGTGTCACTCATTCGGGTATTAACGTAACCCACGGGTGACCCGCCCACTTTCCCAATCTTTCTGTACAAGCTATCTTCAATCCCATAACGTAACCCACGGGTGACCCGCCCACACGGGTGACCCGCCCACTTTCCGGGCTGTCGTCCGACAATATATAAGTCAATTCAACCACAACGCCTTAAATCAATTAAAACTATTCAGAATCCTCTTCTTCAGAGGCAGATACAACTTTCTGACACGTACGAGCATTATGCCCGGGCTCGCCGCAGACGCCACATCGTCGCGCGCGCGTTTCGGGCCTCCTCGTACGACCACTATTCTGACTCGTTTCCGCTATTAACTGCTGCGTCGCATCGATTTGAGCCTTTAAATCCTTTGCCTGATCAATCGTGAGGGACCCTCCTTTCTGTAGCTGTTTTCTTTGCGTACGACGACGGCGGCTAAGGCGGTCGTTTGCATCTCGAAGTTCGGCGAGGTCATGGCGCATAAGGGTCTGCTCGTGCACCATCATTGTGATTCCTTTATTAAGCTGCCGCAGGCTCTCAAGAATGGACGACGGAGAGCTATTCTGGTGTCGTACGATGCGATTTTGAATATACTCCGTCTGCGATTCGGCCTCAATTGGGTTGTTCGGCGTCTTTGAAACCCATGGGGGTGGTAGTCCAGCAGAGGAACCTGGCGGTGTCGGCGTATGAAACTTCACATCTAGCTGCGAAATCACATAATTCGGGTCGTACGGTACTAGGCCAGTTGCTCTAAAGCCTGCCTGGATGTTTGACTTTGTCATCGCAGCGTCGTACGCCTTATAAAAGGCTGGGAGGAAGTCCTCCTTCGAAACATGGGCTACGTGCGCCCGCATAAGACCTTCGATTTCTTTACCGTACGCCCGTTTCAGAGGTCCAAAACACCCAACATCGAGAGGCTGGAGCTTATGCGACGAATGAGCAGGCATGCAGAGCGTAATTATATTCTGGTCCTTGCAGTACAGCTCGAAATCGACCGAGTGGTGGCTCTCGTGGCCGTCGAGGATAAGGAGCCGGTAAACGCCCTTCGTTACGACTCTTCGTATGGAAATCGAAGTGTTTTACCCATTCTAGGCCTCTCTCGTTCGTCGTCCAGCCATTATCTGAAAGCGCGATTACCCAGTCGGCCGGTAGAGGGCTATTCGCGGTCCAGGAGTCGAGGTGGACCTTCCCCGCGAAGATGATATATGGTGGGATCGAATAGCCGTACGACGCGATACCCTCGATTACTGTAACCCATTCTTGATTACCTTGTTGTACGGCTCTTGGCTTACCGCGTCGATCAGAGGTCGTAACGACAGGCTCGGCGGAGATCTTACCCCTCGCAAAGCCCGTCTCATCGAAGTTGTAGATATCGTCGTCGTATAGTTAGAGCTTTCTGGTGAGGGATATACCTTCGCCACGATGGGGAAAGAGATATCCTCACCGGAAAGCTCTACGCAGTCCAGAACTCTTCCCTTGCTGAGTGCTCTGGCACGAGATCACTTTGTTACATCTTCCGGCAGATGTAAGGTCACAGTCATTGAAACACCAAGCTGACGGTTTTCGTTATTATTTTCTAGCCCGACACTCGGATTCCGTATCATGCATCGAACCCGCGAGGCGATTTGAAATTTAACGAATACGTTATTTACAATCCCTCGTACTTGACCATTCGATACATTCTTCATCTGAAAATAAGTACTGCTAGGTAATTGAAGGACGGAACAAATTGAGATCCCGTAGTCCTGTTACGTTTGATAGAGACTCAGCACCAGTGGACAGCTAGTACTGAATAACTATGCCCTTATAATTGTGTGGCGGAGAACTGTCCTACACCACAGCGGATTTACGCCACTCGGGATGCTTGGAATACGCATTTCCGCGAAGAGCATCCATATGAATGGGAATGTCCCTTTTGCGACAAAAAGCCACTGTTCACAATGGAAGAGTCGATAGAAAAACATATTACCGCAAGTTATCAAAGATTTTAACGGAGCATACACTCGCTGTCATCATGATGTGGCCTGCTGTGCAGATCATGGGTATTGAATCGTACCCTCTCTGCACGGTCTACGGACTAGTGATTCCCGGAACCTGGTCAACCATGTACTACAGCACACTTACGAATTTGCTCTTTGCTCCTTACCTTGGCGATGTGATGAACCACAGCGCGGATTTGAACCCTCAGGAACAAACATTCTGCCGGACGACAAAGAGTACGCCGGCTTAACAGCCTAGCTACTTGCACTTTCATCGCAAGGAGAGGGGATGGAACTTCAGCCCTGGGACTATGACACGTCGCAAGGCTTTCAAACAGCAGAACAGGGCTCAACGCCCAGCACAACCTTGTTGTCCTAACCTTACCCTCAGCTAACCCTGCCGTCTCCCCTCCCATAAAATAACCCACAACATATCCCGCGGTCTGGACGGACTCGCCTGTGAGGCGAAAGCCGTCGTGGTCGCTGATCATACGCGTATCACAGAAATACACCTCATACAGTAACTTCCTGTTCGATCTGACCATCCATTGTTGTTGACGACAGTGGATAGCCATCCGCCGCAAGCAGATTATCGTTGTCTGGCGAGGGCGATACGATACAAGACGGAGGGTGGTCGCCCCGGTGGCCAGGTTGGAGCCTATGGTCCAGAACCTGATGACTTGGCAGCAGGAAGTGCCCTCTCAGACACCGTTGTCGCAAGACTATCTAGAAACAGGTTCAGAACGTCACGGGCGTAGACAAAAACTTGCCGCAGCGGTCTTCCTTAGCAGGTAACGAACGGTGAAGGACGTACTGCGACTCCAGTTCGTATTTAGGTGCTTATGACAAAATTCCGTGTCTGAAGGAATATACGCCCTGGAGATAATCTGGCAGCCAACATTTCGTTTCCAACTGGTAAGGCATGTCCGCACACTCCATTCCTCGATTCCATCTTTCAAATTTATAACAGCCACATCTATAACCTCGAGAGACACACGGCCGAGATCTTCATCTCCAACTTCCACAAGTACAAACTAAGAGGACGCTGTAGTTCTGTAGCCACTAACTGCTTCGACGGGGTTCCCGGTCCACTCTCTCGCCGTGCTATTATGCTCCTTCGCTCTTTCCTTATGGACGTTCTCCCGCCATGCCACTAAGCGCTTCATATGAACAGATACCGTCACGAGTGGGTAGCGACATGACTAATAACAGACCTATCATAATTAGTAACTAACTTATGCACATCCCAACTATGGTCCACCCGAGAGACCAAGCACACAAACGACTACTTGCCTCGAGCAAAGATAACACCTACACTGCCCAACCTCCCGTTATGAACGTGTGAGGGTCGCGACAGCCCCCGTGTCCCTCTGGCAATCAGTCAGGCCGGTGCTTATATGAAAGCAGACAGGCCGAGAATCTCGGTCCCGAAGTATCTGGCCAAGTTTCGAGACAGCGAGCGCAGGAAGGTCTGGCTGAAGCTTTCGACGAGTGCAACGAATTAGATGTACGGGATGTTGTCGGTTTAGTCGAAACACTAAGCAGTAATGTCGTCCGTGCTAGTGCGACACTGAACATTTGCCTCTCCAGTCGTCACTATCCCCATATTAGCATGAAGAAGAAAACTGAGTTGACAGTCGAGAGAAGCAAAGGCCACGGTGAAGACATCGAGACGTATATCAGGGAGATGATGATATTGCCGTGACGTACCATGAGCAGGGGAGGTACGACGAGGCAGAGAAGATCAAGGTGGCGCTGTCGCTCCTCCTCCAAGTATTGGTATCCTGTCGTCGTGTTCACAGCAGCGGTCTTCTTCCTACGACTGCACTGTCTCCGCTTAGTTGCCGCATGGTTCGTGTCGCTGAACTGGCCGTTGGCGGCCGCGTTCCCCTTCCTTCCGCGGGAGGGTCAGTTGTTGTTTGGCGGTTGTCATCTGTTTCCTGCTGCATCCGGCGGCCGACCCTCATGGGCTTGGAGAAGGTTGTCGCCGCCAACGCCGCCCGTGCCACCTCCCAGATCGTGCAGGCATCAGAGCGCCAGACGTGTCGTATGTCGTGTACAGGGTCAGTCGCGCGTCGACGTTGTCCTTCGTTTCTATCCGGTTAGAGCGGGACTTTATGTACAAATACAATTTTGATGTCAACGGACGTATTCTCACCGCCCCGCCGCAGAGTTTAGAACAGAGAGCGCGATGCTATGGGCAGGAGGCTTACATCTGAATTCTTCACGTCTGGGGTGAAGACAAGACCAAGGACAGACATCGGAGCAATCATGGGATGACTTGGCACCCTTCCCTCGAACCCAATCCTTCAGGGGTAACACGAAAGAAACGCCGCCTTCCTTAAGGTGTTAGCTAACAGGCACTCTGTTGGATCCACCAGGATTGTACCGGTACGTTAGAACCTATCGCGAGAGGTCTCATTTCGCAGAGGCGGCTCGCAACAGTGGGTTCAAGTGGTGGATTTCGATATAGTAGAAAAGGAGGGGGTGGAGGGGGTCAAGACAAGGATGGGATATAAGCATAACCCCTGAATCCTTGGCTCACGTGATCCCCGCTCAACGCCCCTGAGCAGCAGCCACGATACTGGCGATATTCCAACAGACACCCCGATTGTTAACGGGTGCTGGCAGGGCGCCAATGGCAAGGCCAATGCGGCGACCATCGCACACACCGGTGAAGCTCTTGCTGCAGCCCTGAGCCTCCCGGAGGCGGACCTGGCCAAGTACAAGAACAGCTCCGTGTACGCGCCGTCGTTCTACCTGACTCAGCGGGAAATACTCAAGGCTATCCAGCGCGCAACGGGCACAACCGGCGTGGACTGGGACATTCAGGTGCGAGATGTGAACGAAGTCGCTAAGGAGTACGAGGAGAAGATCAGCCAAGGCGACGGCGTGGCACCTTCTGTCAAGTTCTTTGTCACTCACTTCCTGGAAGGCCGTGGCGGCGACTTCAACCACAAGGTCGATGCGGCGGAGTTGAAGAAACTGGAGCAGCTTGGCCTGACCAAGGAGGACCTCGACCACGTTACCAAGGCGGCGCTACAATAGCTTTAGGGGACTCGACCACACAGTCAATCACTAGCGTAGCCTCGCTAGCTTTTCCTTACCCTCAATAAACATCCAGACCGGATCCCTTGTGTGCAAGCAGCTGTTTAGTTTCGCGGTTGAGGAGGACGACAATAAGTTCAAGACCGGACCGTCCTTTCCCGGCAATCCACCTTATAAGAGTTAGCTAAACTTAAAATCGTACTTGAAGTCGGGTAGGTCTAACATAACCTTATCCTTAGAGCGCCGCTAGAGCTCAAATCATGTTGATACGTCTTGTATTAGGGTTAGGGTTCCCCCTCCTTTTCTCGTTCTGGTCCCCGTTTCCCTTTTTCCCATCTGTCTACCTCCTGCGCGTTTTCCGTCGTGTAATAGGGCGAGAAATTGGGGCCCAGTCAAGTGCACACCACTCCGGTGGAAGAAGGGATGGCGGAAGAGACCTGTTATCTGCCGATGCGACAACCCTATCATTTCAGCACTTGCTTGCGGAGCTGCGGCGGAGCACGCAAGGGGCCGTTATTCATAGACTGGCCCAGCCGCCCTAGTGGCGGCTATGCAGCGTCCAACCCACAATACAGGTTCTATTTCTGGCTTCCAGGAAACAGCCCTGAGCATCCTACTCCTGCAGAAATGGCCTAGTTTGCTTAACGAACATGGTTGGTGCATCTGGAGCCAGATGCGCTCCCGCTGCCTGCTGCCTGTATTTGGCTCTCCTACCACGCCCAACTACCACCACTCGGTCGCCACTTTCAGCACTCTCTGCTTTCAGTGAAGCATCCTCCACAGCTTGAGGAGAAGTTTAACTAGTAAACAATTTGGTTAATCGTTAGAAGGCAATTAAGACCAACTATTCAGCTGTAAGGACTGTCCGTTTATATAGACTATAGATTACTCCCTTTCCAGTGATCCCCTTGCTGCATCACAGAGATCCCAGTGATCCTTTTCCCGGTCCACGGTTTCTCCGCTCAGTCGTTGCTCCTCGCCCAATCGTGTTTGTTCGTAGCATTGCTTAACTAGACCCTCTTGATCAGTGCGTTCCCTAGCCTCTCCAAGGCCGCCCAACCCCATTCATATACGCGACAAATTTTTCCAACGTCCTCGACGGATAGCGCCCAACGTCGATGTCGGCAATGGCTCGAAGTATAGGATGGCCTGGAAGACTAGTATCAGGTGCATCGTAGTCATAGACCTGGTTCCAAATAGGGGCCCCAGCTATACTATTCATGCCATGGTCGGGTATCATCCTCTCCACTGGTTTGAATAGAATAGCATACGGAGTCTCGTCGAGCCTCCCGAGCCAGTTCACGAGAGGTGAAAAAAACCTTCCCCCCGGGAGGTAGCTGACGATGTCCGCGTACATGTCCCCAGTACCAGTTGGACTCTGATTGATGAGGCGTTGGATGGTGTTGTCAATTGCCGTCTGGATGGGGATCAGAGGAACGGGTCCGTTGGTGTTTGAGCCTATGATGTCGCCACCTCCCTCTGCGCGGATGCCTTTAAGCATCCATATCAAGACCATGTCTGCAAGCTTATGATTAGGCGTGACAGTTTTGCTGAATAAGTTGAGAACAGGAAAGCTAATCGCCTCCAGCCAGCTGCCTCCTTCCCGAAAGAACTGGAACTCCTGCCTCGCGAGGTCGTAATGGCAGCCTAGAAACCACTTTTGGGAGATCCTGAGGTTAGCGAGAGCTGTATGCCTCGGGTCCCTTGATGCTAGGCATGGTTCAAATATCCAAAACCTATCGTGGATCGCCAGGGCATGGTAGACCTTCTCTACCACAGTCGACACCACGTTGTCGTAAAACTCGGGCCACTCGAATCCTGTTCCAGTGTCGTAGTTCAGCCTTGGAATGCCACGACTCCCGACAGTGTCGAAAATGCCCATGAACTTTATTGGTGTCCGTACTGCGTGACTGACTCTCGATCTGAAATCGACCATCTCGGGCGATGATGGGTGGTGGATTGGGTGTGGGTTCCGATACAGGCTGTAGGCCTGATCGATGAGAGCAGTGTTCGCTGGATTTGGTATAATGATGCCGCAATTGTTGATCAAACCGGCAACGGATCTGACGATGTAGGCTCCTCGGCTGATGCCGAACATCCATACCTCAGTGTGAACATGGTGGTCCCAAGTGAAGTTCTGGACAATGAACCTGTAAACCTCGGTGCATTCGTCTCTCGCCTGCGTTGCAAAGGCGCCATTCCACAGGTAGTTCGTAAACTTGCCGTTCGAGCCGACTCCGTCGAAGTATCTGGCCCGTATATCTTGCGGCGAGCCCGGTGGCGAGGAGTATGAAGGCTGTGGCGCTGCCATATTGACCCCGATCATTGTCGCGAGGAGGTGGATATTGCTCCTGGTGTTGGTTGTGCGGCCGCACCATGTGCCATCGTATAGGACGATCACCCTCCTTATACCAGGTGCTGCCGCCATTTCAGCTCACATCGAGAAGTTCAGAGAGGGGAGGAGATGGTGGACATGGTCTGACTGATGTCACTCGTGACGCTGGGTTGAGGACAAGTAAGTATTAAAGGCGAGAAAGGAATCACATGCTTTTTCTCCTTGAATCCTTTGCACGCAACCCCCCTATAGCTCTCATTGGAATGCAAGGCAGCTTCAGCCTTAGTGGTTATCGAATTCCTCGGCATTCTCCGTGTGGTAGTCGTGAGGTCATCAAAGCCGGTTGCTTGCATTAAGTGAAACTCGAAAATGAGACCTCATTCCAAGGCGGACTGTTGCTCGTCGCACGCCTCGCCACTGAGTCCACCCAACCCCCCGACCGATAGTAGAAGGGAAGCTTTGTTTGCATGCCATGTGCGAGCGTCTGGGCCGCGAAGCTCTCGACGCCTCTTGTGAGTTCTTCTCCTTCCCATCCATGATCATGGTTGAAATTCGTCTTATGCCCTCGCTTTCATTCTTCTCCCCTTGCTATCTTGATGTGGCGTACAAGCCGCGGCATCCCTAGCCGGAGAGGCTACCTACTTTACGGGCCACCAGGGACCGAAAAATCCACTTCAATATCCCTTAATCGCCTCATCTCGTGAGGTGTTAGACATGTCACGGCTTTCATCCTTAGCAATTCATTATCGGCTATCATAAGGACCTGCAGGATCTAGCACGTACGCTCCATGCATATTCCTCCTGGGCAGCACCCAAGCACCCAGGCCAGGAATGAATCTCACTGAGCAACACTGAATCAAGAGCCGAAGAGTGTTGTGACTACCCTGATCGCGGCGGTAAATAAACAGATAATCAGCGTAAAGCCTCGGCGTCACTGCATCCAGAATGCCACCGGCGCTAATCTTTTCGCAAGACACGGCCAAGGCCTGGAACGCTATAGCAGGATTACTCAGCACTCACCCTGCTGAGTTTGAGGCAGCGAGGTTATTCAGTACCTAACATGTGACAGACATTTGAGTACGACAACGTTAGTGGAGTGCACGTGATACGCAGCCGTACACAAGAGATAATAGTACTATATATAAGGTTTGAAGCCAGCGCAGTACTTCTCGTATGGTACTCAGCACTCACCCTGCTGAGGTTAAGGCAGCGAGGTTATTCAGTACCTAACATGTGACAGACATATGATAGCAACAATGTTAGTCGAGGACATCTGACGAGCAGTCTTACTCTTGCGCCGTACCTGCCCGTCATTCCGGTCGGTAACGAGCCACACACACACACGCGCGCACGCGCGTGTGCGTGCGCATATTTATTGCGCCCGGTGGCTATCAACCAATAGGGCCACCCTCCCCCTCGACAACCCCATTTCGTGGCACCGGCTGTTAGCCGTCTGTTACGGCTGGGTTTAGCCGCCTAGTATTGCAACCGACAATGCACGTAAATCTTCGCCCCAACGCATCTCCGCCCTAATAGAGGAATTTTGGTCTTCCGTTCTTGGAGCACGAGAGCAATCGACAACGAAACGCATGCACCAACTAGGATGCTGGTGAGGGTGACGCGCCACGAGTCGAGCCTGGTCGAGAGCTCCTGCCACTGGTATCCGTGCCACGCCCCACTCTTTAGGATGGCGGTCAAGCCCACCACCTAAAGGTGGTGCTCACCACCCAATCGCCACACCACCCATATCGCCACTTTTTCCTCTATTGTAACTCGAATCGCTTCAACAACCGGCATGGATAGCCAGTTTCGTAAATAGATACCATAGCAAGCTTCCCTGACGTCCGCCATAAGCGTGCCTCTTTTGCCGTCTCAAAATAGCAACGTTTGAGTGCGTTACGATACTTTAACTCTGCGGCCTTTCCCTGTCGCCCTCGTGCGGAGAACCCTACTTATGAGGTGACGCAGTTGCGCGTACAGTACAGATACTGTCCCTGGACAGGGTCTGCATGGGTGAAACGGCCGGTCGCACAGCCTTACACCACCACCCACATGGTACTGTATCCGAGTCATAGCCTCCAACGGACGAGACATCTCCCAGAGATGATTACTTCAAAGGCAGCACATGAGAGTGGCCAGCCCTTGCTCAGGTCGACGCTGGCTGCCATCATCGCTCCGACCTTTTCGTCATCCCGGCGTCCATTATTCCAGGACCTCGGTCAACACTTTTTGCTTCTTGTGTCGGTGACGATCGCTGAGCACTGATGTCAGCCTTGCCGCCTTGTACATCTCGGCAAACCTGAGCCGCCGGTTGTAAAGGTGTCAGCTATCGGCCATCAAGGTCTTGTGCAGAACGGGCTGACTCGAGTTCTCCTCGAGCCGCAGGACTTTCTCAATGAGGATGACCTCTTATTCACATCTCAATAAACCCACGAACGGGTGGTCCAACACTTTCGACCCGACCTTTGTCTCCGCAGATCCGGACGGCATCCCCAGCGGAGTCGCATTGGGTTGCGCAGATGCCATTTCCTGTTCGAACGTTGGCAAACATTGCTCCAAAGCCACTGCTTAACTGCTTCCAAGACGACGCGTCGCATCATCTGTGGTCAATGCTGCAGAACTGCTGACTAATCCATGCTGACCTCGGTGATCTGCAAAGTTTCGGGTAGCACCCGCCGTCTGATCCCAATATCTTGAAAGCTGCTACAGGCTCTACAATGTTGGGAAAGAGCCGTAAATGCTTGAGGCTCGTCGATTGTGATTTGGGAGTTGAGCCGAAACGGATGTGGCGGCTATCTTATCAGCGACTATGCCCGGCAAGCAGGGTTTGGCCGACCGCCGAAGCGCTCGAACGTTAATCCGAGACGCCCCACTTCGCCGAAATGTTAAAACATTCGACCGGCTGTCCCCAAAATTCCCACTTCTGCTCTTCAACGACTTATCTCCCCGTGCCCGTAAGGGTAACTTTAGTGGCACTGGGTCCGAAAATTCTGTCGGCCGCTAAGGCCGGCAGAATTGGTTGTCTGTCTGACCGCCTACCGGATTTGTCACTGATCCACGCGGACCCTCCCCCAGTGGGAGCCCGTCGAACGCCAAGAGCAACAAGAAACCCGGGACCGAGATGTTTCACAACGGCAGCTAGCGGCCGCAGAGGAGCCGTTACCGGACGAGCGGCCCGGCCGCGGCTGGCCTTCACGGACTTCAAGGGGCTCAGAGTCACCAGCTTGCGGGACGAGAGGACGCCGCAAAGGTCACGACGGGGACCGAGCCAGCAAAATACAGTGGAGGAGTCTCCAGGAGGTACGGGGTTAGGTCTGGCGCAGTGTAGAGCTTGAAACACCACTACCGGCTACCCGCCGGCCAGAGTAGCTAGGAATGCCTGAACAAGTGAGATGAGGCGACAGGTTCCGGGTGATGTTAGTTTGTTGGCGGGCGAACATTTTCGCGCTCGCGGCTACCTTTTTTGGAAGGCGGTGAACTAGAACGCAAGTGGCGGCTGTGTCGTTATGAAGATAGAGAGTATAGAGTAGAGATGGAAGGTCAAGATCTACGCCCGAAACTCAATTATGTCTCGAATATACCCTTTACATGAGGCTTTCCGACAGCTTCTCCCTTGTTCAAGGATACGTTGACTATTTATTGTGTCACGCATGAGATTATTCAAATCTTGGAATAATCCATGACACTGCAAGCGGGTCTCTTCGAGGTAACACCAGCAAATCACCTGAGGGCAAACTCTGAAATAGCGTGTACATGTTGCAGCATTTCCACCAAGTGGCTCCTACCGCTATTCCTTAATGGCGTAGGACATCTCATTGCAAAATGCTCTCCCACAGATTGTCTCGCCACTCATCTTCACTCCTGTGCCGGCTTGGGTTCCACAATGAACTCATCAGGCCAGAGACGCAGCTGAAGGCTAGTGCCCGAGGCGGACACCACATCATCCAGGTTTGCAAGCCTCTCGCTGTCGAGCACCAAAATCTCGTCGTCATCCCCATGCTGCGCCTGCTTCCGCAGCCAAGTCTCAAAGCCATTCAGATTTCCGTGTCCCTCGTTGAAGAATGCCACGACGCGGCGGAACAGCTTTGGCCAGATGACAAGGTCCTCGATAGTGCGCTTGTTCACCTGCGTCGCCGGGCCGTTCGGATCGGCTGTGGACCGCCGCCACAAGCCCAGCTGGCCCCGTCGAGCCGTCTGCGACAGGGAAGCCAAGTTCGTGCGCAGCGTCGGCGCCAGAGTGCCATAGAATGCCGGAAACACGAGCCCATCAGCAAGCAGCGTCGCATTGACCGACTGATTGGCGAGTGCCTCGTTGAGCAGGACGCTCGAACCGTGATCGCCAGGTACGTCTTCACCACCCGCGAAGATAAAGCCGATCACGCGGCCGTTAGGGTCGATACTGTTGGCGAGGACGTAGCCGGGCAGCTCATCATTCTTGGCCGATAGGACCTTGTTGCCTTGGAACACAATGTCGCGGAAGCCGAGCCGGTAGAGTAGCGCATCGCGAGCTTTCTCGGCACCTTCCTTCTCCTGGCGCCACATGCGGCCCTTGGGGAAGTGCGTCTCCAGCGCGTCGATTGCCTCGAGACGTATGCCGATGTTGCCGCGGCCGCTGAAATCGGGCGCCCGGCCTGTGCGGGGAAGGTCCTTGACCGATTTCTTGTCGTTAGGATGGAACGTGATTGTATCTCCGTCAGGCTCTGGTCCATCGTTGGGCAGGTCGCTGTAGCGGATAACGAAACTCCCAAGCAAGAGCGTATAGGACATGGTGGTTTGAAGCTGAGCTGCAGCGACTTGAGAACAACGATTGTGCAAAGTGTGGCCCTCTTATGGAGCAGTTTGATGCTGTGGTTCAGGAAATCGGAAACATATACCTATTGCTGGCAACGTCTAAGGTAGCACTTTAACCGGAAGGTGGCCGTGCTTTATAGTAAATCAATCAGTTCTTCAAGAGCTACTGATTTCTGTCATCTTCCTTCTCGACGTGGCGTGGCGTAACTTGCCGCCGCAGCTGACTGCTTTCAACAGTCAAACGCCGAGGGCTGATATGCAGACCCCCGCACTCCCTGAGACATTTGCCGCTCTCGAAAGCACAAGTAGTCTGATTCAATCAAATCAGACGTACACAAAATGCCGGGCATCATGAAAGGTCTTGGTTGTCTGACTGGGCACCGATGGTCTGGACCTTTGTTGGCTGATGTCCGAGAGACCCTAGGCTCACGGCACAACCTGGCAGAGTTCCAGGCAAAGTTGGCCAGATACCGTACGGTTATTGCGGTGTCGTCAGAACTCTGTTGTTTCGCGATCGACGATCCGGCCTTGGTGTTAATGATGGCATTGTCGGAATGGCTGTATAAGACTTCCCGATTTCTCTCTCAGTGCACTGATTGATTAGTCTTAGTCATGATCACAACGGGTTCATTCGAGTTTGGCACCAAATACACCATATCCGCTCTGATCAGGAGAGTGTGACTACGATTGCCTGTATTGCGCACATCTGTCCGGCGAAATCGTTCGTCACCTGGAGGATTATGCGCAAAGCTTGAAAGAGTTGGATCCTGAAAGAGCCCACGGTTGTTTTGGCGAGAGCAGCTGATGAGCACCGCGCGGTTGGGGAAAAGACCTAGAGTGCCTGCAGGTCTCCAGCCTCATGCTTAAAGTCGGACATGAGCCTTGGCAGTGAGCCACAAAACTTGGCGAAGCCCTTGTTTATGCCATCCGAGGAAGCACCCGTCAGCCTCAGCCAGTCTTTCCAGACAATTTTGCCAAACTTACGTGAACCGGGCCATCGAAGACGCAAGAGGTGTGCGTTGAACATGATGCGTTGGTCTGTCTGACAAGAGCGGCAATGGACGTTGCGCGGCCAATAAAATAATGCATGGCGAAATTGGACAACAAGAGCTATGCATCAGTTCTGAACACGCGCTCTGTAGTCCTCCAGATTGTATACCTGAACTTCGGTCCTGGGAAGGCGCGTTTACAGATCAGTGGACTAATGCAAAATTACATGACCGGGTACCCCGCTGAACTCACTACGTTCCCACCACGTGGTGTCGACTTGGTGAGTGTCGATACATAGGCACAGAGAATCGTGCTGGCCGACTGGCCTCTAAAGTTTGGAGCACAACTCTAAGCATCTGCGTCTTGTTGTCGCGGGCTTCCTGACAAAAGGGAACCATCATGTCGAGAAATCAGGTGGTGGAGCTCGTGGCTGCGAAACAGACCCGGATCTGGCAAGTCTCCAAGCGCTAGGTACCCTATTGTATTTAGACATGGAACTTTCACGGTACTGTAGGGCGGAGGTCGGATTTGCTTCTGCTGAGGAAGTGCTTGCGCGTTAGACGATGATGGGATGTCCACGTCACTTGTTTCTCATGATGACGAATGAGTAAGTTACCTCGTACCTCGCACATGGAGTCGAAGTCGACCGTAGACCGCAAACTTGGCGGGCGCTCTTGCAGCTGCGACCCATTGGCTCGTCGCGATCGCGCACGTGTCACAGGCAACACTTCGGCCATCGAGCTTTCGACACGATGGTGCAGGGCCTCAATGAATGCCCGATCTGCTCTAAGAGCTTCGCATCGCATCAGAAGCTGCGCAAGCCTAGTGAGTTCAGCTTGGTATGTCAGAACGTATGGTTACAACATCTACGAATATGGGCGCATCGGTTGCAACATTATTGAAGATTCAGGCGGCAGACTTCTGCATGGACGCAGAATGCGGAACAATGCCCTCATGCTGAGATGGTCGCAGTTAAGAGGAAATTGGAGAAGCATTGTGCGGGGGTAACATCGCGATCGGCCCTTACGTAACGGGAGTTCAGCGAGAGCCTGTGCTATGCGTGACGTGAGCCGGGACATATCGGACAAAAGTTGTGGAGCTTCCGTCACGTCGATACAGGTTATTATAAGAACTCCATGCAGGATGACGACGTTCGGCCTACCTCCATGATTTCTCCTCTTTCAACTTCCAACTGCGAGCATGGATTCTCCCCAAAACGAGAAGCCCTCTGCCGAGGGGGATAAGCTTCTCTTGAACTTGTATGGAAAGATTCCAACCAGAGGAAACCTTCTTCATCACCAGTTAGAGGTATCGATATGCTCTACCGTACTGCTAGTCAGTTCGAACCAAGGTAATCCGGTCATCGGCTCCAGGGAAGGAAGTACTTCGATTCCGGTGACTTTACACTCTCACAGGCCCACAAATGCTCCAACATCGGCGCCGTAAATACCGGCAGCGAACTCCCTTCCGGAAGAGCATATCTCATCCCTTATCTCCCGTACCAACATCCAGCAACGTCGACAATGACGCTAACCAGCAACTGCAAGGCGAGATGACAACTGGCGAGTCAAGGTCTGCTAGCAATCTCAATCAGGACATGGTTCCTCAGGCTGGCAATTCGCAGGGTAGGCCTGAATATGCGAAGCAGGAAAAAAGCGTCTAGATGCTGGCGTCTGTGGCACAGCTAGCCAATCCCCTGAGTGACCAGCGATCACAGAAGCTGAACGATGGACTAGGGGCCATGGGCGGTGGACTAAGGACCATACTCTTATCCTGGTACGGTGGCCTAATATATGGTGGTGTTGATCCGGTAGATATATGCGAACGAGATATTCGACAGTGTGACCTGCACATGCCTCGCAAGGACGGGTACTAGGCCTGTCGAGAGATACGACAGTGGGAGAGCGAGAACGGTTACCCGAGGCTGCCCATAATTGCGCTGTCGGCTAAAGGCAATTGATAGGGAGGCATGACGAATTGATACGCGGGCATGACCCTTAGGGGGGCATGACTTTTTGTAACACTTGATTCGGAACAAAGGCGGTGAAGCCAGCCCAGCCCTCTTAACAAGCCCAGATTTCGTGACCGCAAATGCACCCGACCAACACTGGCCCTTTGGGGCAGGCGTCAAAGAGAAACATTGCTTTCGGTACTGTTAAGGAGAAGGTACTGATCCGGAATAGGCACGCGATGGGAAGTTCTCTGTATTCCAAAAGGTCGCTGTCGTACAAGACTATTGCTTTACCGTCGCTCGATTGGCGAGCGCCAGGCGAGCGACAGGTAAGAGACGGGCGCTCGCTGACTCAGCGAGTGCTTCCTAATTGAGTGGGTGCGACCCCCTCACAGGTACATGGTATTCAAGGGCCGTTTCATAACCAAAGCTGTCTACGTCTCCCCTTACTACTATGGAAGGAAGAATCCCCTCTTCGCCATCAGCCAGCTCCCATTGATTCCTCCGTCTCCGAATGCTGGGCTGCGTCCTCCGCCCGCTGGCACGAACTCCTGTGGTTCTTCCCGTCCCTAGAAGGGTCGACTGGCTGCGTAACTGGCGCTGATTCGAGACATCAGCTTGGCCACTGGCCTGTCGGCTCGCCCCAAGTTCCATTCTGGCCTGAGTCGACTTGTTCAAGCTGCCCTGTGGACGACCTCGCCTACGGCTCGGGGGCCCCTGGCCGACCGGTTGACCAATCGGCTGACTACTAGTCTCGATGGCTAGCCCTGATGGACCGGCCTGCTTGGCGTTCTTAGGTCTGCCACGGAGAGCAGTGGCGATCTTAGGGTCGAGGATTCGTCGGTATGGATCTCGAGAGGATGCTTCTCGTAGGTGCCACCGAGGATGGACGTCCCATTTCGTGAAAGGCGTACCATTATTCAGCTTTGAGTAGATCCTGTGGCAGCAGGGAATTCCAAGCTCGATCGACAACGAGCAGTCCTCGCCGCAATCCCCGAGGGATTCAGGGAACGGATTCTTCCCGGTCGGCATTGCTTTCCTTGCAAGCCGATATTGTTTGTTGATCAGTCCAAGGCCCTTGGAAGAGAGCGCCGTCCGGAGTTCGCCGAGATACTCCGAGCTAGGCCCAATGTACTCTCGCGCGGTAAGTACCTCGTCCGCTGCGCAAGCGTCGTTGAAATCTCACTCCTGGTTCCTCATCATGTCCTGCATAGCCTCCATGAGCCGATAGAGATGGCTCATACCATTCAGGAGATAGCTCTTGATGTTGTTGTTGCTTGCTTCTGTACCAGAGGTGACGCGGACGCCGAAGTTGCGATACTTGCGAATGAAACAGCGCGCCCACTGCGCCCGTACAGGCATAACGTAAATGCATAGCGAGTGGGCCAGCATAGCGAGTGGGCCACCTCCATCACTTCACTAGAATTCCATCTTCTAACATATCTTACTCAACAACCAGCTATGGAGACCCCTTCTAAAGATAACCAATTGAATCTCGCTCTTCAAGCTATGGACCGTGATCCTTCCCTTTCTATACGCCGCGCAGCTGCAATCTACAACGTCTCTCGAACAACGCTTACCCGCCGCTATAAGGGGACGCCTTCTCGACGCGATAGCCTACCAAATTCGATGAAATTAACAGAGCTAGAGGAGCAGACGATTGTCGACTATATTCTCGACTTGGATGCGCGAGCATATCCTCCTCGGCTAAGTGAGCTTGGAGAAATGGCGAATCGACTGCTCGATAAGCGGGCTGCGCCACGCGTCGGTCCACGATGGGCGTCAAACTTCGTTAAGCGACAACCACAGCTCCAGACGCGTTTCTTTCGCAAGTACGACTACAAGAGAGCCCAATACGAGGATCCCGACGCGATAAACGCGTGGTTTCGGCTTGTGCGGAACGTAGTCGCGAAAAACGGCGTAGCGGACTCCGATATCTACAACTTCGACGAGACAGGCTTTCAGATGGGCGTTATCGCGACCGGGATGGTCGTTACAAACGCGCAAATACGGTCGAACGTTAAGATGAAGCAACCAGGTAATCGGGAATGGGTTACGGTAATCCAGGGCGTTAGCGCGACTGGATTCTACGTCCCGCCGTTCGTAGTATTTGCCGGCAAATATCACCTCTCGACCTGGTACCAAGATAACGCGATTCCTCGAGACTGGAGAATCGTAACATCCGCAAACGGCTGGACTACAAACGAAATTGGTCTAGATTGGATTCGACTTTTCGATCAGCACACAAAGTCGCGAACAAAAGGCGGTTATCGCCTCCTCGTCCTCGACGGCCACGAAAGTCACCACTCGGTCGAATTCGAGCTCTACTGTAAGCACAACAACATTATTACGCTCTGTATGCCTCCTCGCTCGTCTCATATACTCCAGCCTCTCGATGTTGGCTGTTTTGGTCCGCTGAAGAAAGCATACGGTCGGCAAATTGAGCTTAAGATGAAGGCGGGTACAACGCATATCAGCAAGGAGGACTTCCTCCCCTTGTTTTTAGCGGCATTCCAGCAGACAATGACGGAAAAAAACATCCAGGGAGGCTTCAGAGGGGCGGGACTTGTACCCTATGACCCTGAAGCCGTTTTATCCAAACTCGATGTGAAGTTCAAGACGCCAACACCCTCGAGGACGCCTCGGACGTCACCGGAGCCATGGACTTCCCGAACGCCCACCACCGCTATGGAAGCCCGTTCACAGTCTAATTTCATCAAACGTCGGATCTCTCGTCACCAGGGAAGCTCTCCAACGTCAATTATTGAAGCAGTTGAGCAGTTCACGAAGGGAGCAAAGGGGATCATGCACCGGTTCGCCCTAATGGAGGCAAGGATGAAGATGCTTGAAGACGAGAATGCAGTACTTAGTAAGCGCCGGAGAGCTAAGAAAACACGTCTCCGGAAAGGCCAGAGCATGACTCTAGGCGAGGGACAGGACCTTCTAGCCCAGAGAGAGGTGAACACTCAAATAACACAGGAAACGCAAGAAAATCGAGGTCATGCAGGCGGCACTACGCCAACGCAGCGCCGCTGTGGTACCTGCGGGATGACTGGCCATAATGCGAGAACTTGCCAAATAGTTACTCTAGGGTCTGAACTCGAAGATAGCGATTAGTTTATATCAATTCAAGACGTTTTGGTTTTGCTGACGAGGTTTTGATTCTCGAGATGTGGTGGGGGTGGCCCACTCGCTATGCTGGCCCACTCGCTATGCATTTACGTTACATTTGAAACTCATTATACCTACTCACTTTCTTCATGGACTTGAAAATCCCCATTGCTTTGGCGGTATCTATCGTACTATATATATTTGTACGTCCAGCCAGAATCGACAATGCTAAGCCCCGCTACTATTCGGTTTCATTCTCCTCCTTGGATCACTTTCAGAAAATATTCGACCCTCATCAAATTGAGAGCTTAGCTGTAAGTTAGTCAGCTCACGCCATCAGCTACGGATCTAACTTTTCAAAGTCTTTAGCTGAGGAGCTTTTCGAATGTGCCAAGAGCTCCGTTCCGGATGGTCTAAACGAAAGAACCCTAGTCCTGAATGCTGCAGAACCCTTTGCTGTATACTATATTAGTGTGCTTAACCACATTCGGGATGTGCAGAATTTCCATGACCGTGCTCAAGACAAAGCAAACCGTCCTATAGCAGCTATTGTTTTCGCTATTTACGATAATAGCCAACTACGGCATCAGTGGTCCTTAGAGACAGAGGATCTAGCAGAGGCACTTGATAGATTCTACGAATCTAGTGGGAAGACCTATCACTTCTCAGGGGAGATCTAGATTAGCATTGATGTGGCGGCGCGCACAATGTGTGTATTACAGCATCAGTGGCCGTAGGACACAGAGAAACTAGCAGAAGTGAAAAGTCGCCCCGCACTCATACCCTGGAAGCTTATTCTCTATCCCTAGAACTACCTCCTCTCCCGGAAGGCTGTTTTTCAGTATCCTCAGAATACGGCAAGTAAAGTCCGAGTTAGCGGAAATGGTCATTTTGGCAGTGCCACTTACATGGGTGAAGGCACAGTACCCTAAATATTCAAGTTGCAATAACCACGAGTAGGCTTACATGTTACAGGGACTTTTTGTTATGCGGGGCATAGGCATTTCGGAGTAGATTGAGGTAAAGATAGAGGTACCATATGCCTGGTTGCCTGACCTGTGCTGCCCCCACCTAGTAGGCAGATATTCAGGCAGTCACCCTCGTCCACGCGTGCCTCTATGCATGCAGGAGGCCAACCAGCAGGTGTCTTAAATGGAATGCACTCCTTACTTGATAAGACTCTGAACCACCTACAATATGATTTCAAGATTTCATGAATATCCCTTCAGGAATTGTCGCTCTGCGAAAGGACAACGTTTCTCCAAAACTCCTTACTACAACATATTCTTGTTATGATCATTTCGTTATTCGATCCGTGAAAGAATGCAAACTTCAACCCAGTTTTCAGTTACTGGCACAATTCTGAAGCGGTTTATGCAGGCCAGCACACTACTGTGGTTGTTAGACCCTGTCCGTGGAGAGCCGACCACGCATAACCTTGACAGGCACCCTGATGACATCCAACAAGAGGCTACGGAACGCCAAAGCAGCAAATTTCTTGACTCGATCGCCTTAATCTGCGCGACAAGGAAAGACGGCGATACTGTCTCTGCCGCTGCTCTGGAAGAATGGTCGCCAGACGGCACCATCATTCGCGTCGCGCGGAATACAGAACGTTGAAGCAGGTTCAGGGGATCTTCGAACTCCTCAACGACATTGCCCAAATAGATATGTCCGTAGTTTCACCTCACGCCCCACGCCGCGCTAATGTACCTATCTTAAGGCTTTATACCACCAGATACAGAAACACTGATACTCGAGCGGATAATTGAGCTCGATCAACACAAAATTAACCATTATCTACAAATGATTCAAAGGCATTCGCACGGGCTCTGCGAGCCTTGGTGCCATAGCTATGCTTCAGCATGGTCAATGGCCTTTATTCTGATATGTGTAGAGCTGAAACGGTCTACTTCTTCTTCCGCAGCTATCACCCAAAATATGTAGGGCGCCATTGCTGTAGTAGGCGTGCCATAAACTGCCAGTCATAATTTCCACGTGTTTCCATCGGTCTCTTCGCTGATACGCAAGGATACGTAGGGAGGGTGTTGGAATATAGACCCTAGGCAGCCACAAGCTGTGTTGCTCCACGCATCATGTTCTAGTTGTACTGAATCGCACCACGGCATTCCATGATCGCTGAATGCCCTAGAAATCTGCTCGACCTGGGGTATGGCCCATCACATTACTACTCGTACTGCTCGTTAGTCGTCGGGGCAGCGGATGATACCCTTCACTTTGGCCTTCTAGGATCGTATGTTGCGATGTGCGACGAGAATGTGATCGGAGCAGCATTTAAATGGCAGCATTGCCACGGTGGGACCGTGCTGTTGACCTGGAGTGCCCACTATACTGTAAGCAAAAGTAAGCGAACATGGTCTGCAACAAACAAGTTTGCTAAGGGTGATTGTGGGGAATGGAACAAAGTAATGGCTTACCTGTTAGCGTTTTCGGGGTCTTTTTGACACCCACCTCGTGTTCGAAGAAGCGTGTCCCTAAGCCCTCACCCATCAATCCTAATTCAGTTCCAACACGATTGCCATCGTTAGTGCGGCATAAAGCTGTATCAGCGTTACAACTCGGCCTTGAGGATAGTCTCGCATGAGATTCTATAGGCTATAGCACACTACGGTGTGAGAAACCGAAATTTGTTAAAATGCGCCCGAATAATGGAAAGACTCAAACGTTGCCTCCACTGCCAATCTCGTAGCTACGGCGCGCAAACTGAACCGTAGAACTCCTAAACGTATCATTGTATCACTCTGCTGTCGTGCTAACTTCGAACGCTGAGGTTATCATATCCGGCTCCACGGAGTGTGGCTCAATTGTGGCTTTGAGCTCTGTGGCTTGAGCGGCTATGCCAAGCCAATTCTGGAGACGGGTTTCTAAGGCATCTTGAGCTGCGTTTGGCTTAGCTCGTGAAATATGGTGTCGGGAAGGAGCGGGGTCAGCGGTGACAGCCAGCGGAAAATAGAAAATGAGAACTTGGGTACATCTATTATAGTGGGAGACTCACTTTATCATATGTACCCTCCACCAATGAGATTCTCATTTTTTATTTGCGGGGCCTGCAGACTGCATAGTGGCGCACACTCAACACATATCTCGCGCCGTTCGCAGGATGACGTCCTGCCTGCTGGGTCCGCGATTGCACACGCGATTTGGGAACAATGAATCCATCCCTTTTGCTCATACAGGCAAGGCTAGGGAGCAGAGACCCAGCTCTATGCATTGTAGGCGTGAACTGCGCAAGATACCTTCGCCTGCAACAATGTAGCCTCTCGGGGCGCGGGCAACTCGCGGGTCACAGTTCTCCAGCAGCAAAAGGTCCCACGTTTTCCTTGAACGGCGACTGATTCGCCAGGTTTCACTCAGAGATACACCCAACCCCTCCCTGTCGAGACTCTTTACCGGCCAGTCGCGTCTTTCGTCCAGAGGTCTTATCACTTTTTGTGTCGAGCGCAAGATAACTTGGACGGGCGGCTGTGCATTGCCTCTCCTGCAGGCGGGCCTCACCGGTAGGTAGACTGCTGTCACTTGACCGCAGCCCGAATCGTGGCGGTCCACTTCTGCTGTGACTCTGGTCTGGGGTGCGTCGTGTCCCGCCTTGGCCGCCGTGCTGACAGTCTGGAGCTGCCGAGATCTGATTTCACCGTTTCCGCATCGTGCGACAGATGGGAAATATCGCTGCTTTACGACCTTGCGGGGCGCGGGCAGTGGGTGACTCTGAAACCACCAGACCTAGCCATGCAAAGTCTATCAGCGTTTGAATTGAAATAAGGTCATGATGCTAAAACTACAGCAGCAAACCTGCACTCTTGTGACAACCAAGGTCTCCCCCCACCTCTCTCGCGCGGGAAAGTATAATCACTCGACGCCCACAAGCTTCTTGCTGAGCTCCCACAGCCTCGCCTCCTTCTCCGGATCAAACGCCCATTCGGCATAGCCAAACTCGAGCAAGTCGACCGCGTCCTCCGGCACCGGCCCCGCCACAGAACACCCATCGAGATACAAGCCCGTGCCGCCGCCGGGCCCTCTCCCCGCGTTCTGCCTCCTCACGTACTCGAGTGGCTCCTTTGCCACGGCGCCGTACACGGCCGTCGCGCACGCCTGCTCGTAGCTGGCGTGGAAGACTCTGAGCCGCGGGTCCTCCTGCCACATGCGCATCTCCTCGGCCGTGCAGTGCTGCTGCAGGTTCGGGCTCATAAAGGAGCCTGGCGTCGCGCTGAAGCCGTACAGGTTCCTATCGCCGTAGAGCCGCGTGATGTGGGACGTCATGTAGATGTTTGCTATTTTGGACTGGCCGTCTTGTTTTTTGTTTTTTCTTGGTCAGCGGAGAGCTCATCTTTCTGAGGATCTGTTTTGTTGCTTTCTTTTGTCTTTTTATAGATGTAACCACAAAAATCATAGAAACAGGGGGAAAATACTTACAAGCTCTCCACGGCGCGTAGGCGCCCTCCTGCTCCAAGTTCAAATCGTCCAGGTCGATTTGTGTGTACTTGTGCCCTGCCGACGTCGAGCTGACCACCCGCGAGGGAAACTCCTGGCTCGCGCTGTCGAGCAGCACATCCCGCAGCAGCCAGAACAGCAGGAAGTGCGAGAGGTGGTTGGTCTGGAACTGCAGCTCGTGCCCGTCCTTTGTGCGCACATGCTCTGGAGTCCGCATGACGGCTGCGTTGTTGATGAGGATGTTAAGCTGTGGTCTGTTTGTGTGGCTCACAGCGGTACTGAGCGCCATGAACTCGTCGGCGCAGCGCCGCACGCTGGACAGGTCGGCCTGGTCGAGGTGTAGGATGTGTACCTGGCCACTACTGCTGCTGCTGCTGTTGCTGTCGCTCCCGGCGACGACGAGATCATCCCCAATGGCCCTCTTTGCTTTCTCCACGTCCCGCGCCCCGACGTAGATGGTCGCCCCCGTCGCCGCGAGCGCGCGCACCATGTGCGGGCCCATGCCCGACGAGGCCCCCGTCACGAATATGACCTTGTCAACAAGAGAATTCATGCCTTTCGCGGCGTTGCTGTTGTTGTTGTCGCCCTGGTCGGACGCGAGGAGAAGGCCTTCGTCTTTGATGATCTGCATGGCCGTGGGGCGTGCGTCGCCCGGGCCATTGAGGACTTCCCACCTGTTGCCATCGGCGTAGCGGCCGTGGAGGGGGAAGGGGGATGGTGATTTCGGAGACATGTTGAGTCCTTGGTGCGGAGGGGAAGCTGGTGGTGTTAGTGTCTTGTGCTGTGTGGCTGGGACTGTGTTTGAGGGAGATTGTGCGTAGACGGTCTTTGTGTGTTCGAGGACTGGTGTTTGTGATGAGGGTCTTTGGACATTGGCATTGGCACTGGCAACGGGTGAGGTGGACACGTCTTATATTTCTTGACATGGAACCGGGAGGTGCTAGCCATGTTGAGGGCTGGGAAGTAGCCGGGTGTTGCCTTCGTTTCCTGAATCTCATTGTTGCCTCCCATTGCTGGCCCTTGTAGCTGCGGAATTACCACGTTGCTACGACGTCGACGACGCTCAAGGCAAGGGCAGATGCACGATTCGGAAGTGTGACGAGTTAAAGCCGGGGTGCATGCGCTCGATGCAGGCCCGTCCATGCATTCGAAACACTGTTCCCACAAAAGACGGCTGTCTCGTCGAATCAGAACCAGCCTTGCGAGGACCCTCGAAGGGGTCCTTGGAAATAGAGGCAAAGCTGTGGCCAATCATCTTACACGGCCCGGCAATCTGAAGCCCTGTTGGCGCTACGCTAGGTGGGGCGCGCGCCGCACCTTATGCAGGCTGCGGAAGAGATGGTGGCGGGCTGCTTAAGTCCGGAGGATAGCCTATGAGCCATCATGACCTTGTTCCGCCACCAGCTTGCGGGCGCGGTGCCTGCTCTTAGTAGCCGATATGGTGCGCATCGCTTGTGAGCCTTTCTTGATCCGCATGGCGGAGCTAATCTATACTGCCGGCTACGAAGATGGGCATCATGCTGCCACGGGAGGCTTGTCTACTAAGTTGCGCTTGTGCTTGGCCCAGCTATCGACAAGGCCAGGCCGATGATGTGCCCAGAGCCGGCGCGAGCAGCTTCTTAACACGACCACTCAAGAGCCTGCATCCATGTGCTCTTCACGTATGTCAAATCTTGGGCAGGTATCAAATCTGGAACGCAGGCTGTTGTCGAGGCCAGCAGCAAAAGGGTGCGTTTGCAGCCGTCGGCAAAAGCCAAGCACCTACAGCTCCTGTTCGGCCAGTCTGATGCAGCTGATCGAGCCGTCGTGACCGCGAGCCGCCAACAGCAGCACCTCCTTGCTGGTCATCTGCTTCCCGCGGTGAGTTGCTGGCACAGTCCTCGAACGCTGCCCTCGTTCCAACCCCAGCTGAATATCCAACTCGAGTGCGGGGCCACGCTTCATATCATCGAGGCCATCGACAAGAGCCAGGGTCGCGACCATCACGGCACCCCGACCCTCTGCTGCCAATAAGGCAGAGTAACGTCGTGCTATGGCCCTTTTCCGCGGTCCGCCGTCACAGGTGGGTCAAAGAGAAGCAAGTCCTGCGAAAAGGCATTTGAGCGATGGGTCTAAGGATACCTCCTCGTCTATTTTCGACTCCTTCGCCAATATCAAGTCAGCACAGCCCAAGGTACGAGTAGGCACGTCTCATCCGGAGGAGGCCTGGCGCCAACAGATAGCGTTGGCTGCCACTGGGCGACTTTGCTCACCGTTTGCCAGACTCAGCGTCGGTCCGCTAAATCAGGTTGACTCCCTGGGATCGAGCGGGCTGTCCCGCGCCTATGTGCAGTGGACGGTCCTGTCACGGCCCGGCAGCCGATTCTCTGAGGCTTGGACGTCGGCTTGCAGCAGCAGCAGCAGCAGCCGCGGCTGCGCATAAAGCCAACAGGCGTGAGCCTGGTGCTCTTGTGGCAGTATACATAATGTAATCCACGCCGCGTGCTCGAGCATGTATGTCTTCATGTACCAATGCACTGCACGCTCTTGCTTGTGACAGCATCTTCAGGTCCCGTCTCTCCTGCCCCAGACATGCTCCCTCAACTGAATCGACTGAAGAAAACATTCCGGAGAGACAGAAGGACCCCAGATCCCACCCAGCACCACGACTCGTCCCCTGCCTTCGATGGCCGGCCTCGACTGCGCCTCCAGGATCCACGAACCATCTGGGTCCGCAGACGAGTCCGGCACCTTCTGGTACAGCGAGCAGCGGGACTCCAGCCAGTGAAACTATAGGGCTCTTCCCGATCGCCGACACCGGGGCGGACCACGACGGCACTGCTGAGCCGGTCGACATCATAGCAGTCCACAGCCTCAATGGAAACCCGTACTCCACATGGACACATCCTGCCAACGGCAGCATGTGGCTCAAGGATATCTTGCCCTCCTATGTCCCAGGCGCCCGCGTATTCACATTCGGCTACGCCTCAAGGACCGTGCGCAATCCCTTGATCGCAACCGTGCCCGATTTTGCTAGGGCTTTGCTTGATTCTCTGAGGAACCTCCGGCAGGAAGGAAGCGAGGTGCAGCTGCTTCGTCTTTGAGACTATCGTGTGGTTCACAGCTGACTCTGCCGGGCCCAGCGAGCCACAATCTTCGTATGCCATGGTCTTGGCGGCATCGTCTGCAAACAGGTAAAGGGCCTCCTCAACGTTCCTTGCACCACGTGCTATAACTCTTCCACAGGCACTGGTGTTTGCACATCTGGACCAGAAGCGCTCTGGCGCAGTGCTCGATTCCAACGTTGGTGTCGTCTTCCTCGGCGCACCCCATTCTGGCAGCAGCCTGGTTGATGTGGAAGGCACGATCGGCCGTGTCATCAACATCCTGTCAGCAACGACCACGATGGGCACGGTTCCCAGGTTCATCAAGCGCGACTTGCTTGTTGCACTTGCGTACGACTCGAGAAGCTTGCAAGAGCCGGATCTCGGGGTCTGGCAATGGCTGGGCAACATTATGGTCGTATCCTTCTACGAACTGCTCCCTCAACCTCCACTAAGCAGCCGGTAAGCACGTGGTCGTCGTCCTCGTCGTCGCATCTTGGAACGATTTGCTTCTGACAGTGATTCTGCTGCAGGTCGTGAGCCCGCAGTCAGCGATATTGGGGCTGCCTGATGAAGAAGTGTTGCCATTGAACGCCAATCACCGGGACGCGTGTCGCTTCGCATCCGACACATCGGAATGTGCGCGAGTATGCCAGGCGGTTCGTCGAATTCACAGAGCGACCCCAATTCGCCGCCCGCAGACGGCCTCTCCGGCAGGAAGTGACCCTTCTACTCCAGATACGCCACCGTGGTCACGAATTCGCAGATGGTAAGCTCGGCTCTAATGACAGAATCCAAGGCTTCAATTTATCCCGAGAAGTCGTGTACGAAGTTGTTCAGCCACTTTGGACTGACAGATTATCGGTCAAGACTACCATTGCCGGTTCACGGCACGGGTGTCTGGATCTGATCGCATCCTTTGTTCGTCTCCTGGGCGACGAAGGCAAGGAGGAGACACGATCCGTCTTGT